TTTTTTTTTTTTTTTTTTTTTTTTTTTTTTTCATCATAAAGATTTTTTTCATTTCATTACAATAGAAAAAATCTGAATTTTACTGAGTTTAAATTAAAAACAACAGTAATAATGATAATAAAATTGCATTTTCTTCTTTATTTATTTATTTTTTTTTTTCTTTTTCTTTTCATTTTCATTAGTGTCCTCACAACCATTAATTATTATTAATGAACGAACCTATGACGGAAAGTATAGTTTCGTCCTCTGTCGATCTAGAAAAATCATCTAGTAGAAAAAGTAATGACCATCAACATTCACCCTTTCGATGCTCTCTTGAAGTCGATCTTGAAGATGGACCCCTCTTTAGAGCTACGTTAAAAGAGTATGAAGGGAAAACAAGTACACTAAGACATCAACTTAAACAAATTTTAAAAGCTGCAACAGCCTCCTTTGATGCCAAGTGTCTTGTACTGGAAGAGGATAAAAGATTTATGGAAACCTTAAGGGAGGCCTCCTTTTCAGAACCACTCTTTACACATTACTTGGACCATATCTGGGATAAACTGAATGAACAACAAGAGAGACTTACGTTTTGTATGCAAAATTTGTTAATATCTCCTCTACAAAAATTATATGATTTTGATATCAAGACAGCTGAAGCTAAACGACGTCAATTTGAGGATGTTAGTAAAGAATATTATTCAAATTTATCAAAGTATTTAAGTATAAAGACAACTTCTTCTAATTCAGGTACAAATTAGTTAGTTTTGTATACAAATATAAAAAAAAAAAAAAAAAAAAAAAAAGAAAAAATTAATATATGCATTCATGACATGCTTATAAGCATATAAGTTATAGAGAAAAGAAAGTTAAAAGCCGAATCTGAATTTATGCTTAAAAAGAGACATTTCGATATCGTTCGTTTTGAATATTATTCATTTCTACAGGACCTTCATGGTGGTAAAAAGGAACAAGAGATCCTTTATCATTTACTTAACCATTATGAAAAACAATATGCTTATTTCATTCTGTCACAAAGATTTTAGAACCTTACAAATTCGGTCTTGAAGAAATTGCTAATAAAGTAGTTGAAGCATCTAAAGAACAAAAAGTCGTATCTCAGGAACGTGATGAAAAGAGAAAGATATTGATTTCAAAATACATATCCTCACCTACAATTACTGAAAATACGTCAGTAACCTTGAATAAGACTTTAGAAAGGAAAAACTCTTTTCATGGTCGTCATAGTATATCAACTGATATAGCCTTATCACCACCACCACCACCTCCTTTACTAAATGAGAATGATATATCACCTCTCGAAGGTCTTGATGCTAACAAGAGTCGAACTTCTAAATTTAAAGGGATCCGTGATATGGAACAACAAAATCATCGTTTAGCTGCTACAATGGGACATAAAAAGGAAGGTTTCTTATTCGCACCATCAAAGCCATCTAGAAACATGAATTCATTTGATGTATCTTCGAATATTCATTGGCACAAGTAAGTTTTATACATCTAATCTAATTTACTTTTTACTTTTACTCTTACTCTTTTATACTTGTGATTCTTTCTTTCTGAAAGGTATTGGTGTGTAGTAAGCGGTGGTCAACTTCATGAATATGTCAATTGGAAAAAACAACTTGAACAGCATATTGGAACCCATCAATTTACGCTTTGCTACAATTAGGGAAGCCAGAGATGCTGAACGTCGTTTCTGTTTTGAGGTCATTACTCCCAAATTTCGACGTATGTATCAAGCAACATCAAATGAAGAGTTATCTGAATGGCTTGCGACTATCAATAATGCTATCATAGACTTATTAAATGGTTCAGCTAGTGCTCTAGATTTGTGTAATGAAAAAATGACAAAAAAGTCAATTTCAAGTTCATGGCTACAGTCAAGATCTTTATCAGGAGCTTTGAGTGGATTAGCGGCTGCAAAAGAAAAGTATTTGAAGAAGAAGAAGAAACGAAATATGAAAAATAATAGCAATTATAATTATAATTATAATAAATCAACGCCAAGTTCATCACAAAATCCAACTAATCTTACTTTGGAAAAGGAGAAGGAAGAAGGGCTTAAATTATTGAAAGAATTAAGAAAAGATGAATCAAATATGATTTGCGCTGATTGTTCAGCCAAGAGTCCTGAATGGTGTTCATTGAACCTTGGTATTCTTTTGTGTATAGGTAAAGAAAAAAAAAGGGGGGCCATCATTTTATAGTAAATTGAAACTGTCATTATTTATTTGTATATTCATATATATATTTGTATATATACATGTTAGAATGCTCTGGTATTCATCGTAGTTTAGGTACACATATTTCTAAAGTTAGGTCCTTAATTTTAGACAGTTCCTCTTTTACCCCTGAAATTGTTCAAGTATTAATGTCAATGGGTAATCGAAAAGCAAATGAAATATGGGAATCTGAATTACTGTCTAATGAACATATAACGTCGATGAACATAAAGAAACCTATACCCAGTGACTCAAGAGAAACTAAGCTTAAATTTATTCAAGCTAAATACATTGAACGAGCATTTGTGAAATGTAAGAACGATAGATCGATTGATTCCATGAATCTATTATACACTGCTATCGAAAACAATGACATTCCACAAGCTATGCATGCTATTGCTCTAGGTGCTGATGTAAACAAACCATTCTTTCAAAATGATCATAATAATCGGTCAATCATACCATTAGTTGATTTAAACAAAGAAGAAGAACGAGAAATACTTGAAATACCCTACCTGGATCGTCATGGAAATCAGATTTCAAAAAATAACATAATAGTAACCTGTCCACTCCAATACCCACCTCTTGAACAAGCATATAAAAACAAATTTATTGTACGATATGCTTTGCATTTAGCCTTGATTTCACGACATCATTCAATAATGGAATATTGTTCAGAATTATCAGATGAGGAAATCATCAGCAGTGATGAAAATAAATACACAATACATCAAATGAAGGATACGACTATAGACAATCGTCTTAAGAATGAACCTCAAGAAGTTATTTCAAGTCCACCTAATAAGCATCATTCTAGATACCAAAGCTGTAGTAGCTATCATAGTAGTAGTAGTAGTAGTAGTAGTAGTAGTAGCGAAGGTAGTTCTCAGAGTGTTAACAGTCGCAACAGTAGTATCTATAGTCTTTCAGAAGAAGTAGCTCAACCTCGACAATTTATAATGGCTGAGTTTTTACTACAAAATGGTGCTGATGTTTCCATTGTGGATTGCTATACAGGTCATCACTTGGCTGTATTGATTGGATTAGGAGATTTAGTTGATGATGAGGCCCTTGATTATTTGAATGCAAAAAATAGCCTACGTGGTCAAGCAGCTATTCAGCGTACTCAAGTTATACCCCAGCCTATTACCACAGGAAAATGATAGTAATTATGATAGACAAGAAGTATAATCTTGTTTTAATGCGTATAAAATAATATATCGAATAATACAATACCAATGTTTAATACATATAATAGTTACATTTTAGTCATTTTATTTTTGTTAGTGAGTTTTTAGTTATTTTTTTTTTTGTTTCACAGTCATATTGATACAAGTAATAATAAGTCTTTATTAGAGTTATAAAAGATATAGATCGCAGCATTTATTTTGTCATTTACGAAAAAAAAAAAAAAAAGGAAATTTCATCATTACCACCTCACTATTCTGCTAAAGAATATCATAGCTTTAATAAAAATTATACAACACATCTTCAAAATACAAATATGTATAATTCTCTACTACTAGTAAACATAGCACAAAAGAATATATGCATCTGGTTTATCACACTCTTACAATTCAAGCTTATCTAGAATTTATTCTGTTAGTATTTTAATAAAAAGTGTCGTCACTAGTACCGGTGGATTACTACTATTAATAACAACAACAATCAATACTTATTGTCATTAAAAAATGTTGTCAATTTTTATTTTTATTTTAATATAAATATCTTAAAATAATGAGTGTGCTTTTTTATTATAAAATGTTTGATAAACAAGTCTCAAAAAACCAATTTATACAGTCAAACTATGACAACTACTTTATCAAGATTTCCGCAAACAAGAGAATAGACGATGGAAACAGTTTTCTGATGTTGACATTCGACAGGTGGATCTTTCTTCTCTATGAGGAGGGAGAATAGCGGTGCTCTTCATCATGCTTTAAGGTCTGTCTGTGTAAACTTTTTGTCCATCAAAGCTTGATCTTTTTCTTTCTAACGAAATAAAGATATTAATTATATGTATAAATATGTTTTGTATATCCTGTAAGAAGAGAATAGAAGGTGTTACTTTGAATTCACTTGTGTAGGATAATACTTGTATGTTGTAAAATAAAACCTCTATTTATTTAGCTATATAAAGGATAATCATTTCGACTTTGTATTATCAAGGAAACATAATTACATTATCATAGAAACTGAATTCTTAGTCATCAACTACTAGTATTTGCTGTTATTTCAAAAGTTAACAAGATTCCATTATCTCTTTATTCTGTTAACATAAAGCAAATTGTTTAGTGATTCTCTGAAGCGTACTCGTCTTTGTACGCTTATTCTATTCTTACACTAATATTCAAACTAGCCTAACAAAGCAGTGTAGATGTTGACTAATTATTTCTGTTCTTTCCCTTAACAATCATGACTCCAATATATACCTATTTATGTTATTAGGGTCTATACATGCTCTTTTGCATGTATATACGATGTTGTTAAACATGTAGAAACTATTAACAAATACTTTATAATAGACATAACTAGCAACATTATAATTATCATGTGACAAATGATAAAATATATTAAGACGTGTTTTTATAAATAATTTAACTACTAGTCTTGTTCTCCTTTTTATTTTTATTTTTATTTTATTTTTATTTTATCTTATTTATTTTTTATCTTATTTATTTTTTTTTTATTCATTCTTGCAGGTTCATATAAAAATCACTGCTTAAAGGAATCAACCTATTTACATATCTACATTGTTGAAATATATATTCAAACATGAATAACAATGAGTTAATTGGTAAAGAAAATAAAAAAAAAAAAAAAATAAAACATAACTGTATAATATAATTAATCTTATTTTAGATCTTACAAATACTGAAGAGAATGTGAAACAATTTTCTACAAACTATCTTTTACGTGATCAAATCCATAATCCTTTTTTTAATATGAATGATACCAATCACTTTTTAAAGAACAATTTAACAGGTAAAAATGGACTAATAAATAGACAAGATATATAATAAAAATATACACACATCATAACAAACTTCAGAATTAACATACATAACTTTGAAATAGATGGCAATACAAACGTAATCATCAGCCATGATACCTTTGATCAACCAACAACTACATCTAATATTGTAGAAGCTACATCTAAAGAACACATTCATAATACTGTAGAAAATCCTAAACCAGCTACTATGGAATCTTTAAATTCCCTCTAAACGTGAACAATCTTCAGATGATGATCTTGGACCTAATAACGAGAACGGCGTGGTGAAGATTTAACCTCTAGTGGCATGGATATCCAAATTACTAACAATGAAATACCTCCTAGTTATGGTCGTGGTCGTGGCCGTGGTCGTGGTCGTGGCTGTGGTCGTGGTCGTGGTCGTGGTCGTGGTCGTGTCCAAGAACGTGTTCGTGGTCAAGGACGTGTTCGTGGTCAAGGACGTGTTCGTGGTCGTGGTCAAGGTCGTACTAGCCTTAGCAAATCATTAGAAGAACCTCAACGTAGTACTCGTGTTTCTGCTAAACCAGCTTCGTCGAACTCTGAAACTCTAATGCAAGTTGATTATGACGCATGTATTGGTTTTAGTTCAGATATAACACAAGCTGTTGAACACACTTTATCTAATATTGAAACTTCAAAATCTATGACTTCAAAACCAACTACTATAGCTTCATTAATGAATGATAATACTGTCACAGATGAAATGTCAGAAGTTCATATGACTGAAGCATTTCAGTCTGATTTTATAGAACCTAACTATGAAAGATTTCATAATAGGGTGCCAAATAAAAAACTAACAAATTCTCAAAACATAAATGATACTAACACATCAATATTGACTCAACAAAACCAATTATACCAGCAAAATATACATGAGGCAGAAGCAGAATCTTTTGTAACTATAGGAGATGCTGTTTCAGCTATTGCCACATCAAGGCAGAATCATCAATACCAATCAAGTAAATTATCTGAAAATATCACCCCTAATATCCCTGGATTGATCAAAAGTAAGAATGAGGTTAATACCCCAATTAATCAAAGAAAACCTGATAACTTCTACAGCTATATGACTACAAACGAACCATTACCTGTTACTTCTAAATATCCTACTCATAATACTTTTCCACTCTTACTGAGATACCAAGTGAAGATATAAATGCCACTAAATATTCTTTACATACTACATCAATAGATAAAGATTCAAGTATTGCAGGTGATATTGAAACCCCATCAAAGAAAATAAATCAGTACATATCAAATAATCAAAAACAGGCAGAAAATTCAACTCATGTTTCCACCGAATCATCTAAGCAATTACTCAAAGTAGAAAATTTACTTGAAAACAAAAAAGAATCTACTATTGAGTCAAGTGCTACAGCCAATACCATTTCAAATATTGAACCTCAAGCTAACTATGATGGAACAGTTGAAAAACGAAAACCTAAAAGAGCATATGTCAGACGGCAAAATAAAACAGTCAAGACAGTTAATATGAAAGATGCAAAACCCAAAAGGCCATATCAACGAAAGAATAAGGCTAATGCTATACAAGTTGCAAAAGATAAAATAAATTCTGAAAACATTCAGAATTGTAAAATGGATAAATCAAAAAAGAAAAATACCAGCAGTGAACCTGTTATTTATACCGAAACTGTAAAAGATACCAAGAATATTCAAAATACTACTAATTTATCTAATCAGATACCTAAAGAGTATTGTCAATATGAAACAAACCCCTATGAAATGAACACTGTAGCAAAATCTGTAAATACTGAATCCATGAATGCTATTCCTCTGTCAATTGAAAAACAAAATGGTAAAAACGACGACCCTGCTGTTGCAATCTCTAATAATGCTACTCAATTTAAACAAAGCAAGAGAATGACAGAAGCTCTTGAAAATGACACTAATGAACAAATTTGAAAATAGAAAATCTTATATGAACGCATGACTGAAGTTGAACAGCCTTCTCAAGTATTAAAACCAAAACGCGCTACTCGAGGTAGACCCAGAAAGAACATAGCAGAAAAGAGGGTCCTAGTACTGCCAATACTATTACTACTACTGCTGCTGCTGCTAAAAAAGCACCAAAACGTGTTTCACGCAAACCAAAAAAACAGAACACTGTAATAAATACAGAATCTATATCTAAGGCTATTATTACAAATACTGAAGATAATCCTATAGAAGAAGAAAAGACGGAAAATGAGGCAATGGGCCAAAATAGTACACCTGCTGCCCAAACCATACATTTATACACAAAGAGCCAACGAGTGAAGAAATCCAGTCTATTCCAGATATTGCTTATGCCGAAAGTTCAAATAGGCCATTCAAACGCGTATCAAAACGTAAAATAATCGATCTTGAACCGTCTATGGCAGATAACGTTGCTGAAGAAAGTTCCAGTACAAAGCGTATACGTCAAAATAAACAAAAGCAGTCTATTAATGAATTTAAACCAACAAAATATATTCAATTTGAAAAAGAAGAAGATAAGATTTCATCTGAAGATCTTATAGAAAAGGATAATGCAATGACGATAAACCAAACACACTCTAGACCCAGAAGAAGTGTCAGAGATGCAAAAAAGGAAAAACAAAATTATGTTATTGATGACTATGAAGAAGGCATGTTGTTTGAGGAAGAGGAAGAGGAAGAGGAAAATGAAAATGAAAATGAAAATGAAAATGAAAAACTTAAAGCATTACTTGAAAATAGTGAGAGTTATCTTACAGAAGCAGATTTAAGGGTAAGAAACTCTATTCTAGAATCTTAATTGTATATTTTATACATTATTTAACATTTATATGTAAATAGTCTTTAATACCAGAATTACTTCAAAAGCTTCCAAAAGAAGAGTTACATGAACTCACAGCGTTGTTGCCAGAGCCAGATGTTATTGGAAAGGGGAAAGATCGTGAAATTGCTCCTAACTTTGCATCTATTTCTAACAACCACTTTTGGGAAGCTGTGGATCGATGGCAGGAGGTGCTACTTATGGGTGGTTTTGATCAAAAGAAAAAGCTTGAAAAACAACCTGAAGTTGAAGAAGATACTTCCTTTAAGGATGATAATTACGAAGCATATTGGGGGGAACGTCTTGAACGAGACCGTAAACAAAAAGAGAGGAAGACATATATGGCAAATAATGCATCTGACCGTGGACGTGGACGAGGACGAGGACGTGGACGAGGACGTGGACGGGGTCGTGGAGGAGCGGCTAACAAAGACTAAGGAAAGGAGTTATTCTGTTTATTTTTATTTATTTTTCATTTCACGAGTAGTCTATGTATATTTATTTATTTCTTCTTCTTTTGTTTACAAGAAAGGAAGAAGAAAAAGCATATAGCATTGTTTTTTTTTGTACTTGTACATAAGCATTCATATATGTTTGTTTTTAAAATAATAATAATAAATGAAATATTATTTACATTAACCCGTGTATTTTATTATTATAAATATCCCTGACTTTAATACAGCCAGTACGATGGATATTGTCGCCAATTAACAAATATTTGTCAGCAGTTGAGAAACAATTGTAGTGTTTTCCTCTTCCTGAGCTCTTCTTTTTGTTTAATACTGTGATATTTCTTCTAAAATATCAAATAAAAAATATTAGAAAATAAAAAAATAATATTAAGACAAAAGAAATCAATAAGTTCGAATAATAGTTCTAAAGTCAATGATTTTATTTAATGAATTTAAATTGATAGGGTATTTATAAGAATTGTTAAAGAGGTCTGAGGATAAGATGTGAATCAGAAAAGTGATAGTTACGACCGAATAAGGTATTTTGTTGACAATGAAGTGTTAGTGATTTTAATATTATTAGATGGAGCGGATCAAGAGAGATTCAGGATAGAATTTCTTAAATAAATTTATGATCCGCATGTTTAATCATGAAACATGATATTATAAGTCAGCTCATGACACCTCCCTTATATTTATATATATTTACCGTAGATATGTATATTATGTATCTTGGTATCATTATGGCCCTTAAGCTATATGAAGAAAAATAGGGTGTCTAAAAAGCCTTATTTTATGCCTATACAGATACAAATCTATAGTTGTTATGTTTGATAATACAAGTAACGTAATATACAGACTCTTTTAATTGATTAGCAGCTTCTCTAGCTAATACTATACATTATTATGGCTTACTTAGGAACAAAGACTATAAAAAAAAGCTCTACCAAGAATATTGTAATAACAATCAATATCTCTATAAACTAGTGTAAAGAAGAATGTTCTCGATTACTTCAAAAAAGAAGATATTGACAAATATAACAATTCTATCACTGTAACAGTAATAAATGCAAGGATATTTCTTTTCTGACAATATTCAACTTTTTTTTTCTCCTTTATTTTACTGAAACTTTATCTGGATATTGTATAAACAAAATGAATAATCTTAACTTTTCCTTTATCCAATTTTATATTTAAAGTTCATATTTTGCCTCATCAAAAAAAAAAAGTTGAAATGAATTACCTAATAAATCCCTTGTTCTATGTAGTATATTGTCATATATTTGTCAATGCCTACAAACTTGAAGGCTAAAAGAGGTTAAGAATTATATTTCAAAAGCCGTAAATTATACAGAAAAGATAGCTCTAATAAAAAGACAGTAGTAATACGAACATTATTGCTATAGAGTATATATACATGTATATATATTTTTAGGGAAAATAGGTATCATCAGAACTAATTATTCTCATTATTATCTTCATTACAAAAGGAGATATTCCAGAGCTAAAATGTAGCAACAGTAGAGATTTGAAAAAAGGAATACATTTCCTCCTTTATATTTGGTATATAGTAACATGTTGTCTATCATTCTTCTTGTCTCCCTTTTAGTCTTTATAAGAGTTCTTTACAGTCATTGTAATCATTGGAATAGAGCCGATTCATTTTAATGTACGTTAAAAATTTATTATGTGCTGACTTATAATGTCATGTTTCTTGATTAAACATATGGATAAGGAATATATTATCTATAACATGTCTTAGTATTTAAAAGGGATGTAGGAAAGATTACTGTGAATGCAAATCAAAGATACTTAAACTGGTTTTCATAGCATACGTCAAAGAAGCTAAAATCGTTAATCTTTACAATCTCATTTTGGCAAACAATGTATGTGGTAAAAAATGATTTTAAGCACAACATAAGGGAGACTAAATGAGATGCATATTAGTTGCCTAATTAGGAAAAAGAAAGTTTATGAGAATATAAACAAAAAAGTGAAAAAAAAAGACATTTATTTATTTCTTTTTCTTTTCTTTAACTAAACACATTTATATAGTCATAAAGAAGATATAAAATTGACAACATTTTACTATTCTACACATTGTTACTTTTTATAAGAAAGAAGAAAATTAAATAATGTAACTGTGTGTGTGTGTATTAAATGTGGGGTAACACATATTCTTATCGATTTCATATGATTGTGACTGTAATTTACAACAACGACCTCCTTATTCTTATAAAAAAGTAGATATTCAAAGTTATTTTTTCTTCTTTTTCTTCTTTATTATTACTATTTCTTCTATAGGTAAGTCATTAAATAATACTATTTTATTCTTCTTCCCTGCCCTAGGAGGAAATTCTTTTTCTCATGGTTACCACTTATGTACCGGGCTCTTGATGAGGAAGACACCCTATCTTGCCCTCCTTGAATTAGGAGGACATTGTAGGGTATCTTGTTGATTCAGAGGGCGTTACATATTGTGATCGCTATGGTTTTTCTAACCTCCTAGTAAAAATAAAAAATACAAGAACAAAGAAGGTGCAAAGAATCCTAGCCTCCACGCGGCCACCTTTGGACTGCAGTAATTATTACTGTTGACGAATTGGGGATTCACTTTTTTATATGAAATAAAAATGAAAATAAAAATAAAATAAATATTTCTTTTCTTACGCGTCTTTTAATAATCTTGTGCCTTCTTTAACTATTGTTTGTATAATAAAATATCTTTTTGCTCCAAATTGACTTTAAGAAGTATAAAAACAAGTAATGACTTAAAAAATACAGAAATATAGGATATGGTGTAGTGGTGATTATGTAACTATTGACTAATATCTTATCAGAGAAACTATCATGATTACTATTCCTCCTTTACAATCAGATTATTTTTCTTTAAAAATTAACTAAGATAAGTACAATATTTTAAAGATATTGTGTACTTATTCATCGCTTTTCTTGATTTTTATATTTTTTTTATGTATGCATATTTCCTTTTTTTTTCCGTTTAATGTATAAAAAAAATTGAACTTGTCACTAAGAGTACGTTTTGTTCCATTTTCTTTATATTTAGAAACGAAATAGCTGGAATATTCACTGTGAATTAATATTAACATAAGCAGGATTATTCGGAAACAATATTGATGTATAATGTTTTATTATACCAGTATTTATTTATTCATACCACTTACCTTGCGAAAATATATAAACAGCCCTTGTCGTTTTTCCATATTATTTTTTTTTTCTTAATAAACTATACAGAGTTTTCACATACTTGTCTTTTCTATTTTCTCTTTCTTATCTTTTGCATTTAAAACACTGTCTTTATTTGTGAAATGGTAGCCATAACAGTTAAGCTGTCATAGATCAACTTTGCCAAAAAAAAAAAAAAGAAAAAAGATGTCATATCACTTGTAAAACGTATTATCCCGCGATATTTTGCACGAGATAGTGAGGAAAATATCAATCAGCCTTACTTGTTTAATACTTTTATATCTGTCAGCTACAATGACTCGACTACCATTTACTGTTCTTACAGGCGTGATCATAACTTTTACAATGGATCAATTTTAATAATTCATTATCAATTCAATTTCCAAGTGATTTACGTACACCTTATGTAATTTCTATTATATTCGACCCTTTTTTCGAGCAACCATCTATCAATGTCATCATATGATAGCAAGAAATATGAGCCGGTTTAATATCTGAAGTCTCTTACTCGTAATCCTCTTTATTGATTCACTAATTGACTTGTAGTAGTCTTACATTTCAAAATTGACACTATTTGGACGGTTTCTTTATTATTATCAGTATTAGTATTAGCAAGGTAAGGTAAGGATAAGGTTACAAATGAAATTAACATTTTTATTTGGGGGCTACTAAACTTGAATTGTATTTCTTTCGGTTTATCAACCGTTATACTTTAAGATTCATTGTCCCAAAAGAGTGAGGGAAAAAAAGGCGTTATTACCGATTCATTATCAAGTTGTATAGAGTCTCCTGGATCTTCAGCAGATAAGCCATTATTAAGTATGTCATGTACTATTCGATAGTAACACTGGATTATAAGCACCTTCTTATTAGAGGTCGTGGATTGTACTCTTTGGCTTTTTACTCTACTAAAAAAAAAGGATATAAATTCCTAAAAAGAGTAATGTTATAATAGTAATTAACTATACTTTCTATAGTCAACGACGACACAATCTGCCAGGGAAATAGTTTAATTGCTGAATAAAACTTGGCGATCTGCCTTTTTTTTTTTTCTTTTTTATGAAATTTTTAGAAGAAGTCTATTTTAGTGTAATTTAAGGTGAATAAGATAATAATAAGAAAATCTACTCTATATTATAAGTAAAAAAAAGAAAAAAACAGTCGAGTATTGTAGAAGGGTTCAAGTTAGCGATAAATAGTGAGTGCATCAACATATGAATTATGAAAAGAAGTCATCTAATAGCAAGATGCATCGTACATAATAAAAGATAGCAGTAGTTTCTTATTAAATGTATGTTCACATCATGTGCATTAACTTTAGTTAATTTATAGATTTTCCTTTAATTAATCCATATAAGGAGACAAATTTACTGAAGGAGCAATTACCCTTTATATTCTTTATGAAGTCAATGCTCATCCAAGAGCAATATGTAACTGGCAAAAACCTCAAAACAATGATGACCTTCATTAATACCTCAATAAAAGACTTTATCTAACAGTATCGTTTCCAAAAACGTGTTATTACATTTTACAGGTGATGTCAAATGGAAATCTTTTTTTGTTTTCATGATAGACTTCAATAATACGTTTCTTGTATTAAGTGACATTATAACATCCGTAGATACGTTACTGAGGAGTAAAGGGATTGTCTTTGTAGAAAATTTTGTAATAAAAAAAATCCTTTGCAAAGGCTGAGATATTTCAACAACTTCTTTTCGATGAATCGGTCAAGCCTCCCTTCAGTCTTTATATATATAACTACTCAATAATCAATACCCAAAGAAAATTTTTCTTGGAGAAAATTGTGTTGAAAAAAAAATCACTAGTTGGAAAACCAAAGTTAGTTTATTTCCAGTTTAAATAATGGATATTTATGATGGCAAGGCTTGAAACAACTTCAAGTTATACCCTAAAGATGAACAGTCTTTTGTACAGCAATCAGATTATGAATGCTCATTATGAATGTTGGCTAGTTTTAGTCTTATTCTGACAATGTACATTCTAGTGATGCTGAATTTATTTAACCATACATAACTTACCTTGAGAGGAAAGAAATCTTAGGGAAAATATACAATAATCTTTTTAATATTTATACACTGTGCTGTTATAGTCTTTCACCACTTTTGTTATAATAAAATACTTATTAGAGAAGCAACTTTATTGTAGAACACGATTTTATTAAATTATTTTTTTTTTCATTTTTATTAATATTATAAAAAAAGATGCTTTTCTTAGTTCTCAAATCTCTTTAAAAGAGACTTGATACTAACAGGATTAACCACGAGAAGGTGAAAGCATATCTAATCCCAAAAATAATATTACAACCCATACAATTACAAATTGATACGGGCTGTAATTTTTTCTTCTCCCTCTAAATTTCTACTTGAAAGATAAACGTCCAATTTCAACTAGTAGACACTTGGCAAAGTCCAACCTGGCCCAAGCCTTGCAGAAGAAAAAGATAGGATTCCTCACTTCCTACCCAATAAAAAATACAGTTGGATGTAAGTTTCATTGGAAGCCGGGCTAAACATTCTGACCTGTAGCGTGGCGAAGTGGAAGGAATCCAGATACATGAAGTGCACGACCTGACTATTGTTTACCTGAGAATGTCCCTTCTTTGACCCCTAGCATCTACTTTTGACTTAACAGTAAATACAAGTTGGGATTCTTCAACTAAATAAATAGATGAAAAAACCACGGTCAGAAACGTAAGCTGTGCATCCTTATCTATTTTTATTTTATAAACAGCAACTAGATAAAAATAAAAAGAAGGAAAAACCTCCAAAAAGAAAAACAGAAAAACTAAACCTTGAGATAAGCCCTTTCAATGGTGCAGACAAAGAGTACGCTAATCTCCCTAAAAAAGGAACAGGTTTACAATTTCCAACCCCAAGTATCCTTTTTATTTCCCTCCTCCTTTGGAAATAAATCAAACTTGAGCAGTCAAAATTCGATAAGGTCCCATCAATTATCTAAGGTTGCAATAACCCAAGGTGAAGGCGGATATGCATGTAGTAACCAAAAGAGAGTCTAGGCCCTCTCCTTTAGCCATGTTATAAACGGACAGTTCTACAAACTCAAGTAAGCCAAGCTATGTGACTTGAGCACACTTCATAACCCTGACAATGTCTACCCATAGTTTCAAGTAAAAATAAAGAAGAATAGGAAAAATAAAAAAAAGCTAAAGAAAAGAAGAAGAAAAAAAAGGAAAAAAACGAAAAAATGTACTTTTTTTTATAGTAAAATTCAGGAGAAAAAAAATAAACGAAAAGAAGGAGAAGTTATTAAAGTTTAATCTTAGCGTATTTTTTTTTGTTTTTAATTTACTTTGCGTTAAATCTTCTCTCCTGCCTTTCTCCTTTTCTTTTTTTTTCTCTTTTCTTTTTAATACTTTAGAGATAAGTTTTGCCTTTTATTTGAATGTAGTAAAGCATTACTGTCTTCTTTGAAAGTAAGCAAGAAAGTAAGAAAGTAAGAAAAAGAAAACAAGTTTGTTATATGTATTCATGTGAATATGTTGAGCATTCTTGTAAAATAATTAAGCTAAAACTAGTTAAATTGCAGTTACACGACAGAGCATGATATTCATACATTCTCCAAAAAGAATAAGAGTAAATAAATAAGCTATCAATAATATAAAAAATGTCATTTTATACAGCAGTTTTATTTTCAATTGTACAAGATATTCTTGGCAGTTTATGCATTTTAAATAGTTAGGCTGTAAGCTTTCTTATTACTGTATTATGGTAATTGAGCTCTTTTTTATGATGATCATGATAACAAGGCTCTTTAGTTTGATCAGTTTGAAAGGAATAATGGCTTTAAAGAGAAGAAAGAGATAGAGTTTCAAAGAGTGTACAAAAAATATGTTATCTTTTATTATTATATGTTCAGGTTTATAGTTTGTCCTGTATTATGTAATCCATCTTTTATAATATTATTTGTGCTTATATCCAGAGCTTGTTCTATAACAAAATTATCAAATGTATATATAAAGAACCCCTCTAAAAGAAATTTTAATACAATTACGATAATACGCTTTTCCTAAAACGAAATTTCTTTTGCGACAATTATTTGTTAATTGGCGACAATGTCCATCGTATTGACTGTATATATGTATACATTAAATTTTATAGGTCTATGCATACAAAGTGTCTTTCTTTTTTTGTTTCAAGTCCCTAAGCCATGTATGCCTATCTAATGTGATAATTTATATTACCTAATAGATTTATACAGTTTATATGTACAATAAAGATCATGCATCAATATCGTCTCAGTTATCGAGATATTTCAATCTATAAAAAAAAGGCTATTTTTCTTTTCTTTTTTGGATACTTTACAAATATTACTACCACTTCTATCCATATTATATATAACATCAAAATTATTATTTTATATTTATTAAATTAATATTTACTTCTTTTTTAATTTTTCTCAAAAATGCCCGGAGATCAAATCATTCAAACTCATTGTGATCTCCTTTGGTGCTTCACGATCTAAAGAGGGTCCAGTATATACAAAATTAAATTTCTTTTCATTCTTATTGGCCTTCATGAAATCACTAAGATGAAGAGTAATCTCTTGTTGTGAATTATCAGCTAAACTCAAAATAAGGCTACGGTCTTCCTTAGAAAGATCAGCTAGGCTAAGTTTAATTTCAGCGGTAGGGGGAAGTTTAGTATTTGTAAAGTCGCTTAAGCGAATGGTTGGCATATCAACTGTGTTATTTGGAGTAGAAATAATATCCTCCAAGCGAACAGCTGGCATATCAATGGTTATTGGAGCAGCAGTAGCAGCAGCAGTAGTAGTAGTAGTAGTAGGCTCTTTAGTAGTCAAAAAGTCACTTAATCGAATAGTTGGCATTTCAATCGCCGCAGATGGATGTTCATTATTAGTAGATCCAGGAACATTAGCATTTGATTGCTTCCAGAGTGGCTCCACTTGTCGTGATTGTGATTCTTGTTGCTGAATCATAGACTCTTTTGGTTTATCATTCTTCTTGAATGATTGCACTGCCTCATCATTATGCTTGGCAAATGAATTCCATCCAGCAATGTTATCGTTCTCCGTAACAGATAATATATCCTTCCAACTACTACTACCTTTAGTATTAGGTTTATGCGTAGCAATAGTATTGTCTCTACTTAGTATATCATTCAAACTTGTGCTCTCACTTGTAGTTGGAAAGTCCTGTTGTTGTGCGCCCCATTGAGTTTCTTGTTTGTCATTTCCCCAAGAAAATTGTTGATTATCCCATGTAGGCTGCTCACTATTCCAAGAGGTGGTGTTTGTATTCCAAGTAGTCTGTTCATTATTCCAAGAAGTAGTGTTTGTATCCCAAGTAGACTGATTTTGTGAAACTTCGTTTTTTCCCATTTGATCTTCTACAACATTTGACTGTTTGTTCTTAGTAGTATCCATCACCTCCCACTGATCAGCCAGGGACTGAGGTGATGGCCAAGCATTTGGGTCCCAACTTTCATCATGTTCCTTCTTAGGCTCTTCTACAGTAGATGAAGTTGCTGAAGAATTCCATGCATCGATGGCGGTAGCTTGTTGCTCGACAGTCACTAAAGGAATGTTATTTTCTTTCATCATAGAAATCTTCTTTTCGAGCTCTGAAGCTTCTTTATCAAATTGTTCTGCTGCAGTGCTCCATGCGTTCATTGTTGCAGTATTGTTTTCTTTCGTAATAGCTATATACAATAAATAATCATCATACTTAAATAACATATTATTATTATTATTATTACCTTCTACTGTAAAAACATAATTATCATTAGAAGTCCATGAATTTTCATCTAAAATTACTATATCAATACACATGCTGCTCATAGGTATACTAATTTATACTACCATTCTTATTATTAGCATTCGAATCACTACTTTCATTTGTGTTTAATTTAGTATTATTGTTCTTAATGTCCCAACCATTATCACCTATAAAGACTATTTAGAAAGGAAAGTAAAAAAAAAAAAAAAAAAAAAAAAAAAAAAATACTTAGGTAATTAAGAAGATACTTACTATCTTTTTTAGTATTTTGTAAAGTGTGGACATGCGAATCCCTGTCTTTATCTTTATCATTGTTAGGAATCGTTGGGCTCTTGTGTGGACTATTAGAGTATCTACGGGTTTGATAAGACGGTGTAGCCCAAATGCTTTTAGCAGTATCACTAAAGTCAACTGTATTAAGCTGATTTTCAACAGATTTTGGCTTATTGGATACCTTCTTTTCCCAACTCTTTGTTGTAGTTGTAGTCATATTTTTGAGTCGTTGCAAGACTTCTTTAGCAATTATGGGTCGAGCACGAACACGAGTGTGAGTTGTTTCATGAGTATCCCAAGTATATTTATCATCCTCTTGTTGACCGAAATGACTCCAGCTAGTGGAGGCGTCATTAGGTATTGTTTGAATTGTTTTCAATTGTCTTAGTATCCGACAGTGAACTTCCTATAGCCCATCCTTCAGTGTCCTTACTAGTGCTAATAAAGTCACCCCAGCCACTTGACGCATATTTAGATATACCAACCTCCTCCTCCTTAACAGGCTTACAAACTCCCTCTTCATCTTTGATGACTAAATTTTCAGTCTGCTTGTTTATATAAGCAAATTCTGACAACCATCGATTGCTTTATTATTCTGATCAGCCTCTTTATCAACAAATTCAACATTTTCTTTTTCAACAAGTGAATTATCTTCAATAAATGAATTTTCAGAATCATCACTGGCGTCCATAAGATCAGCCCAACTGATATTACCGGTGTTTTTAGATTGAGGTTCTGACTGAGTTACTTCTTTAATAGGTGCTTTTGATACAGAACTTTCGGGCTGTATTACATTTTGTTCTTCAATAGGCTCCTTTTGCACAAATGATTCGTTTTTGTTTTCTCCAACAGATTGATGAACTTCTTTTTCCAATACTTGATCAACAGGCTGTACTTTTTCATTGTCTTTGACCTCTATAGAATCATTAGTTGAAATTGGAATCAATTTTTTTAATAAGCTCATCTTGATTCTCTATTACTGTATTTTTTATTTTATTTTATTTTTTATTTTTATTTTTTCAGGTTTGTGCATTTTTTGTGTTACCTTTTTGTTAATATCATCGCTATAGTTTCCTTCCCGGTCTCATCAGCAGGCTTTCCTTCTCCCTCAACAATCTGTTTTTATAGTCTCCTTCATTACCTTGTTGAGTAAAAATTTTAGTTTCATCAGCAAGTTGTTCATCATTAGACATGCCATTAACTTGTTCATCATCAACACTATTTTCGGTGACTGATATTTTTTCTTTATCTGAAATAATAGTAGTAGTATCACTAACTTCTACTACTACCTGTTGTTGTTTATATATCCTCTTCAATGGAAATCGTTTTGACCTAATGGCGAACTAATTAAATCCAGCTCCTCTTCTTTTTGTGCTGATTTAGTGTCGCTCATCGAAAACAAGTTGTTATTCAAGAGTTCATTGCTAGGTGAAGGAAGGTCGTCAGGATCATCGTCATCTAACATGTCAGCCCACGATTTACCATTAAAATAGTTGTTGCCATTATAACAAACTATGCAATTTATGATTAAAAAACGGAGAGGAGGAAAAAAAATGTATTGAAAAATCGTCGGGCAAATATAATGAAAATTATTTATTTATTTACAGCCTTCGCTATAAATCTGATTCAATCCACATTCTTTCGACCTTTAAAAGTTTGCAGTTACGGGAAAAAAAAAAAAAAAAAAAAAAAAAAAAAAAAAACTGATGTGTTTTTTTTTTCTTCTCCTTCAAGCCAACCATTTTCCTTTATCAAACAGTGTCTCGAAGACTCATTTTCAACCTCTTTTTTTTTTAACTACTCTTTCCTTTATGCTCAGTTATTATTATTATTATATAATATTTTTTTGTTTCAATTAACAGAAATTCCAGCTTTTTCCTATCGTTTTGGTATTGCAATAAATAACGGCTTACGCTTGGCATTTACCATAAAGTATTTGTCAATGACTTTAATTTTTGAGGTTTAAAAATAAAAAGGGACGGCAAATTTAATTTAAAGGATACAAATTAGATGGCAAATACGATAAAGCTAAATACATTAAATGAATATTATTACATAATATATGTATGTGTGTGTGTGTGTGTGTTTTCTGTTCTTTCTTTTTTTTACTCTAAAAATTAGAAACAAAGACTAGTTCTTGGAAGCAATATCCTTCTGTATTAATTACTTTATCACCAATCTTGATATTAAGCTGTTGCCTTATCAAGCCACTGATAAATATATGGCACTAAAAAACGTTTGTACTAGCTTGCGAATGACATATGGAATTTCAGCCAAGATATCAATTTTATCGATCAAATTCTTGACCTCCACGACCATCTCTATTGACCACATCTTCTTTACTTTTCGATCGTTTTTCCTTTCCAAGACAGTTTCACCCTTTGAGGAATATCATATTGAGTATCTTCATCCTTTTTCATTTCTAATAAGTCGACGTATTTTCAACAGAGACCATGATGAGCTTGTTATCCAATACCAACGAGCCTGGTTGACATGAACGGATCCATATTGCTTTGTAGTCTGAAATTGCATCATACCTAGAGATGCCTGATCAGAATGAAAGTTGGCAAAGTTCCAGGTGGAAGCAATCAATTGGGGTTGCATACCCTGGATTGCATGAACGAACATACCATCACCTTCCAATTCATAAATGGTTTGGTTAATGATGAAGGTCCCCTGTGCATGCGCACGAGGCCAAAATTTGTGTGAGACAAAGCCTGCATCCTTGCCCAAGTAAGTCTTACCCTCACTACTTTAAACCCTTTATCGATACGTTTAAAGTCGAATGAGACAACTAATTCAGGGGAGTAATGTTGATTTTGAAACACTCTTGTTTCTCATCAAGCGTGATAGAAAAGAAGTCGGTTTTACAGAGCGTTTGTTGGATGAAAGTTCAAATTTGCTGCTCATATTAATATTTTTAAAAATACTGGTATTCGTGGGTGGATCATAAAAGCGGCAAGTAAAGAAATAGTAGGATTCCATAAACTATAGAAAGAAAGAAGAAAAAAAACCAAAAAATAAATAAATATGTATATAAAGATGATGATGATGATGATTACCCAATATTAGAATGAATCAGTTGAACAAAAGCAAATCCACCTGTCTTGTAGTTATATAAAAAACTTGATTTTCAGTAGATGAACCTGACGCTAAAGTCCATTCAAGATCATGTTCATTAAGAGGAGTAAAAGCTTCACCATCTTTAATTGTATCTGCTACGGTTCGTAGACCATCCACTGCCGAACCAAAGCCAGTTACATTTGAAACAGTACTTGAAAGTTGCGAAACTAACGTTTAAAGAAATATTAAATTTATAAAAATTGAAATTATAACCGTAAATTAAAATACTTTACACCAGGAAGACATTATTTATTAAGTTAAAAAAAAAGGGGGAGGGGTAGAGAAGATGAGTAAAAAAAAAAAAAGGCTTTATAAATATTATTATATTATTCTTGTGACGTGAAGAATAATATAGTTGTCGTTACACTTAAATTATACTTGTTGTAACCATAATGTAATTAACCTTAGAATGTATTAAACGCAGCAATAAAATGGTTTATGCAAAATTTATTTATTTTTATTTCATTTTTTTTTTTTTTTTATTATATTTATTATTTTTTCTTTTTTTCTAAATAGTCACAGAAAATAAAGAATAATAATAATTTTTTTTTTCTTTTCCTTCTCTTCTCTTCTTTTTTGTAAATGTATAGTCTTCCTTTTAAGCAAGCCTATATTTAGTTATAGATATTCCTCTTTAGAATATAATTCAAACAATTTTATGCATGTACTATAATCCACCTCTGTCATCGAGTCGACGTCACAGTACGTTTGACAAACCTAGTTACTTAAGCCTTGTCCACCTACGAATGAGAATTGTCATTGTAAACAAATTAATACGCCAGAGGGTGCTTATAGACTCGTCTGCGATATTTTCTTCGATACACCGCCCCAGTTTATGACAGGTACACATATTTCCCTACTAAGCAATCTTTATCTGTCACCTAACAAGGAACATTCATCATCATTATCAAATGAAAGCGACGACCCAGAATCATCTGCTATCCTATTATCCTCTTTCTTTAACCGATACCATCATCACACTACTAATAAACGACCTAAAAATAACTTGTTAAAATTAAAATCGTCATTTTTGATTCCTATAATATAAACGTAGCAAACACGACAAAGACTCTATATAACAACAAGCAATTATTTTTTAATTTGGGATTAAACTTTTACTGTATAGATATGAATGAGCCAATGAAGGTAATCATAATAAGCAAGCAAGCAAGCCTTGATTATCATAGAACCTTAAATGTATGTATGTATGTATGTATATATTAGGATCCGTTATGTAGTTAAGTTTTGGTAAAGCCTATCCAACTTGTCATGACGTCAATTCTTTTGATGTGTTGATTGGATTTCTTCTGGTGATATTATATGGTATGATACGGACTGTAATAGATATACACGTCTAAACAAGAATGTAAAGATTAAGAGAAGAGAAGGAAAGAAAGAAAAAAAAAATACAAGTTGAATAACCATCTTATTACATCCTCTTTTTTTTGGGGGGATTAGGGTATCATGAATGCCTCGAGTGTGACGATGATTAAATGGATTCCAGGCTTTGAAGACACCTTTATGGCTTCCTTTGAAGACGGATCTATTTTGATATTAGAAAAGGACCGAGATGATCAAAGTTTTCAGTTAAATGAACCTAGTTCCTGGGCAGATGAATTGAAAAAAAAAAAAAAAAAAAAAAAAAAAAAAAAAAAAAAAAAAAAAAAAAAAAATGAATTGTATCTAATAGGAAAAAAATAAAAATAACTAAAAGATTGTCGCTCTTTTTATAGTTTTCAGATCACGAAGCCAAATAAATTTAATAACAAATATAATCCAATAGCCCATTGGCGTGTAAGCAGGAAAGGGATTGTAGGTAAATTATATATATAAAAAATAAAATAAAATAAATAGTCGAATTACTAAATGAGCACTTGCGTGTTTTTTTTTTCTTAATAGCTTTTTCATTTTCACCAGAAATCAGCATTTAGCTATAGTTGGGAAAGATGGATTATTAAGAGTTATTGACTATATAAATGAATGGTATTTAACATATTCAATTGCATTTTGCATTATCATTTAACTCATATTATGCTTTTAAAGGCTATGTGATGTGTTTGTAGGGTATTTTGGTGGATTGTTATGTGTAACTTGGAGCCCCGATGGACATTATATCTTGGTAAATTAAAGCTTATAAAATAGAATATGTATACATGTATAATTTATTTATTTTTTAATTATTAGACAGGTGGTCAAGATGATTTAGTGACAATTTGGTCATTTAAAGAGAAAAGAATTGTAGCTAGATGCCAAGGTCATAAATCATGGGTAAGTTTAAAATAATAAAGCTTATTTTACTTTAGATTAATTTTTTTTTTGATTTAATATAGGTGACAGATGTAGCATTTGACCCTTTATATTGTGATGATACTGAGTATAGGTTTGCAAGTGTAGGTGAAGATTGTAAACTTTTATTATGGAACTTTTCAGTCAATGCTCTTCATAAACCCAAACAGGTAAATAAATCACTGTGATACATATAAAATGAAATTAATCTATTGAAAAAAAAAATCTAGATAATAAGAAAAGATTCTAAAACTACGCCTGTAATGACTGCATCACTTTTATTACATATCCCTAGAAAGAAGAAAATATAGTTGAAAGACCTCAAAAAAAGTTTTCTAGGAAAAGGCCATCTCTTTTGGAAGTAGTAGTAGTAGTATTAGTAGTAATAGTAATAATAATGGAAGCAGTAATAATACTAGTAATGAAGTTATTGCTCCATTTACACCCTTAACGACACAACATACTAGATTGCCTACTATTCATCCGCTATTGTTTAAAACGCAGGTACCGTCTTTACAGCCAATAGTGAAGCAAACTATTCATCCTGATCCATGTGTTGATGTTATATTTACTGAGGATGAAATTTTAACTACGGATCGACGAGGAAGGATTCGTTCATGGAGTCGACCTTGAAAAAAAAATGTCTTTGTAAACTACTGTAAATATATTTCAGGAACAAATTAACATGTTCCTTTTTTTCAAAAAAAAAAAAAAAAAAAAAAAAAAAAAAAAAAAGAAAAGAGTTTTCTATCCTTTTGTTTTGTTTGTTTATTTATTTAAATAAGCTTGTTTATTGACTGTTACGTTATTGTTATTTTCTATGGTCAATGACAATATAAGGTCACAAACTCATTGATCATTTTCTTTTCTATTCTTCCCCACTCCCCTTTACTTCTTTTAAATAAAATAAAAATGCCTTCATCATAGCATTCCTTAAGATCTTCTATTAAAGCACAAAATGATACATTTCCTCCTTCTGCAATTTATCATGTTCTTCGTTGTTACAAAAGAAAAGAATATATCAAGGTCTATTGTCGCATGGCTCCTTATTTAAGAAATGAAAAGTCACGTCGTGGTGAGCGATCATTTGAATTAAATGTATATGATGCTTTCTTAAAGGAGACAGCAGTCATTCAGACAAAAGGGGAGAATCATGGAAAACTTTCTTCTTCAGCTGAAAGCCATGCTATGAATCATCAAGAAAAGAAATTTTTTTGTTATACTACTATGAGTAATGGTAATAAGAAAGTATCATTATCAAAAGAAAAGAAGAAAAACAACAACAGGCTATTACTATGAACAAAAAAAAGAAAGCAACGTGATAAAGTAGCAATGCCAAATCCTAAGAAAAGATGTATAATAAAGCAAGAAAAGACAATAGTAAACCTTAAAAAAAAAAAGAGAGAGAGAGAGAGATGTATATTAAAGCAAGACGCGATTTCTTCTATTATACCAAGGGATGCATTTTATCAAATTGATATTGATAGTTCTGATTCTTGCTTTTATCCCAAAGATTGGATACCTTCCATTGCCTCCCTTAATAAAACACATCTTGGCAAAATAACCTGGAAAGGTATAAATGTATAAATATATAACTTTAATATTTATATACATATTCATATACAAATATATGATAATAAAGCATCTCCTTTGAAGATTGATTGCCAATCATACTTTAATGTCTTACACTCTATTGAAGCAGGTATAGCCTCTGTATTGCGTTTAAACTCCTATTCAATATATAAGATGCAAACGCACATTGGTTATGGCTGCAAAGACATTAAAAGAACATCATGTGCCATTTACTAAATCAGTTGCACAAAAGTTATGCCGTGTAGATGTCAATAAAACAAGTGCATTATCGACTGTGTTTCATCAATTAGGCTGGTTCCATGATGAAACACTTTAACTTATCAATCAATCGCACACACACACACACACACACACCTTTTTTTTTTTTTTTTTAATTAATTAATTAAAAAATTAGGGTTAGTGGTTCTTCTTGTTTATATGTAATTTTATTATTATTATTATTATTATTATTATTATTATTATTATTATTATTATTATTATTATTTAGAAACTTCTATAATTCCCTCATCTCCTGTTCTGTATATCCTAGTAACATCAACACGTATTTAAGACTTTGTTGATTAATACGTGCACCCGCTTGTTCTTGAACACGAGGCTTAGCATTAAAGGCAATACCTAAACTGGCTTTATTAAGCATCCAAAGATCATTGGCACCGTCACCCACGGCAATGACTTGTTTTAATGAAAGTCCCTCTGCTTGTGCAATCACTTCTAAAAGCTCTGCTTTACGAATACCATCCACAATAGGTCCTACCGTTTTACCTGTTAATGTTAATCCATCAGATGATACTTCCAACTTGCCAAAGAAAAAAAATGGATTAACAAATAATTTTTTTTTTAAATTTTATAAAAAAAAAAAAATTGTATAAATTATCATTGGAGTTGTTTGTTATTTTACCTGATTAGCAAAAGCATAATCTAACCCAAGCTCTGATTTTACGTAAAGCGCTAAAGGCATAAACCCACCTATTCAAAAAAAGAAAAAAAATTACTTTTTACATTATTTCGCAGCATAAATTAAGCTATTTACCACTAATGACAGCTAATTTGAATCCTAATTTTTTAAGTGCACGACACAAGAATTTGGCCCCTTCTGTAAATGTCAAACTTTGTCTAACATTTTCTAATACGCTTACACTAACACCCTTTAATAGTGCAACACGACGACGTAATGATTCTTTAAAATCAATTTCACCATTCATAGCCAATTCTGTGATACTCTATTTATATGTATTAAATAAATATCCCTTTTTTTTTTTTTTTATATATATTTTTTTTTCATTATATACATGTAAATACTATTATTATATACATATATATATTTATATTCTTACCGATACTTGATCTACTACACCAGCATATCTTGCAATTTCATCAATCACTTCTTGATAAATTAATGTAGAGTCCATATCAAAGACAACTAATCTTTTGTTTTTCCTATAGATGTCATCCTTTTGGAACGCAATATCCGTACCACATTTCGTGGATAAATCAAATAATTCACGACGAAGTTCAATCATATTTAAACCACGAGGGACACTTAATTTAAAATCTGCACATGATAAACTAGCACCAGGTTCATTCAGACGCATGAGCTTTTCGACGAGATACGATGTTTAAGCAACAGACGAGTCCATTGACTCAAGAATTCTGGAACAAGACCATTTTGATTCAAAAGAGTAGCTGTATATTTATCACGCTCTGAATAAGGAGCTTCTTCAAGTGATGCAGGCTTTGTATAGTTGACTACAGGTGAATCCTGCTGCTGTTGTGTTGTTGTTGTTGGCGAGGTACGGGCTCTCTCGTTTGAGAATCAGGTACGTCATAAGTCAAGATAGCATCCCATTTTTGTGCTGCCTCTGCTAAATCTCTAAAGATAGAGATAGAATCGGATTGAAGGGTGATAAGGACACCAAAGGTCACATTATGATAGAGACGTGAAATCATGACATCTTCGATACGACAGGGGTGACGTGCAAGACAATCAAGGACGGCACCTACAATATCCGTACCATGTGGGCCAGAGAGAGAGACAAGGACTTGTTGATTAGGACCTGCAATAACAGGTGGTAGAGCAGTTGCAGCTGTATTGTTAGATCGACTACGAACCATAAGTGGTGGATAAGCTGGAACATCCACAGTTGTGAAGCGATTCATGACACTGCGTTTAAGTTTTGTTAACTGATCGGCTCTCACAAACGATCTCTCAGAGAGCGACGTAGGTAAGGTTCTGATAATGACAGTCCAGAGTGTCGATCGTTCTTTTTAAGAATTTTAATAATGCCCGTATAGTTTAAAAAGACAAATCGTTCAAGTGTGATGATCGACTTGAGTAATTGAGCTTCGTCCGATTGACTATCATTGGATTGAGAGAGAGCAACCAAACGTTGCGATTCAACATCAAAGAAAGTGGTAATTTTATCAACTTCGGCATCTAACTTTTGAATAAAGACATATTGACATTTCTGAAGCTCGCAAAGACGGTCTGAAACGAGTTGAGCAAAGGAGCATGCGTCAGAAGAAACGTTATTAAGTCTGATAGAATGGGCATACACTTCTGTTTTAAGGAATTGTTTAAGTGCTCTATAATCGATACAATGTGAAACGTACTTGGCTGGTAGATTAGCCTTTCTTTCTTCCAAATAATTGCCAAATTTCATAATGACTACAGCAAAAGAATAAATAAAAAGAACAAAAAAAAAGGAAATAAAAAAAATGATTAAGATTTTTTTTTTTTTTTAATTATTATTATTAAATCTAGAAGTCTTTAAATTTATTTCTTTTTTAAGGAGAAAAAAAAAGTAGAAGAAGAAGAATAGTCTAAATTTTTTTAGAAAAAGATGTAACCAATGAATAATATTTAAACAACGTTATACTAAAGATATTTTGTATTTAAATAAGATAAGATTAGATGTTATAAATATAATAGACTTGTAGTCTAAACAATAAGACAAAAGGAACTAATTTCCTTAAGGACAAAATGGTATCTTGAGGAGTAGCGTACTAAAAAAAAAGAAAAAAGGTGAATGAGGCAGGTAGGTAGATAAACTATGGCTGATCAAATAAAGGTCTTCATATTACAAACGATATGATCAGGAAGATTATTATCATTATTTTTTTTTTTTTTTTTTTTTTTTTTTTTTTTTGTGAGTCAAAAAGATGTAGATCACTGAAACAGGAAAGTGACAGCTAACGGATCTGGATAAATTTAATAATAGAAATAAGCTATAAATAAATATAATAAATAGGCATATTAAATTTGTTGTTGAAATGATGAGAGCATATTAATGTTGTATAAGAGTGATGATTAGGTGACTGTGAGCATCTAATTAATGATGACAATCAGATTAGCAAAGTTTTATTTTTTGAAGAAAAAAATAAACGAAATTCCCTATTCAACATTCATATTATTCAAAAAGAATATTTTGTTTTGTGTTCCCTTCCCCCCTTAAATAAGCTCTAGAAAAACAAAACAAAGAAAAAAAAACCCTCTATTTTGTTGTTTGATCTAACAAAAAGGGTTCATTGTTACTACTTCAAGTTCTGACAGTTTTTTTTTTTATTTTCTTTTCTTTCTCTTCCTTTCTATATGATAATTAAGTATTACTTTCCATGTTATATTAAATCATTTGTTGCGTCAATAATAATTCATTACAGTATTAGTAAGCAGTAGCAGCCGTTGCTGTTATTATCATTACAACAGCAACAAGCACTATTATATAAATAAAATTTTGTATTTTACAATGATTATCAAAAGAAGAAGAAAAAAAATAATACATCATGAAATAAATATATTTGTATATATCAGATAATAACCCGTTTATGGCATTTGTACACTTTCACATGTACTGCGCCAATGTCCCTATCTATCTACTATTGTTATGGTTTTCTATCATCATTTTAAATGAAAGTATTTTTTTTTTCTAAATACAAAGATCTCTTTTGAATGCCGCGTTTCATGTTTCGATTACACGACCTCATGGCAGGTTAATATACTGCCAATATCAATCTCTGTCTCTAAAAAAACTTTTTTAATAAATTTTCTGATAGATATTTGTACTTGAAAATTATTTAATTTTAATGACGTCATCATTATCAACGAATGATAGTAGTTGTCGTTATGAGTAGTGCGGATAGCAAATTAACATTTTTTTTTTATTTATTTTATTTATTTATTTTTTCCTTTTATTACCACTGATAACTTGAGTGATAGGCAACTATTAATGGTTGTTAGAACTAGATTCAGCATTCCTTTTTCATTTACAGAAATAAATGTTAATATTCTTATTTGAATAAGTAAATTTCATTAACAATGATCCGCACGGGCCAACTACTTGTAAATTTTAATATGTATACCATATATATATACATGTATACATTTACGTATATTGACAACTTTTAACTCACTTATTGCGCTTACTTATTCTTACTGGCTTCTCTATTAGTCTACCGTATTTACTCTTATAATGAATAGATGTGTATTTACCACTATCAATTCTATCGCTCCTTGATATGTCAAAATCTAACACGGTATACAGTTTTGACAATCATGAAAATAAAAGAATTAGTGTGAATTGCCCTTTATTTAACGGCAAATACATAACATATAGAGAAATAAGATCAAAAAATGAGTTTCAACTCATTTATACTAATACATATTCCTCCATAAATCACGTTGCAATACTGGATTAGCAGAACTAATACTTTTCTATCAGGAATATCCTTTTATTTGTTTGTATATTAAATGTGTTTTATTGATTGATAACTAGAACTAGCATTTAGTCTTATTGACTATTATATTAATATCTTTACTTGTTGTATTTCAACTCTTCGTTATTGAAAGCAAGCAGTAAAAAAAAAAAGAAAAAAAAAGCAACTAACCTTATTTGTAAAAATAAAATAAAATTATTTCATCACATCGATGTTAAAAGACGAATCTTCCCCTTCTTTTTTTTTTATATATGTATCTTTTGTACCTTAAAAGAGTTTTTAGATTTTATGACTTGACCAAGATGATTTCACATTAATGTGCTCGTCAAAGGAAACAAAGGAAAATTAATGTTGTTTGATCACAACTTTATTTTTTTATTTATCGTATTTTACTCCCTTTTTTTTTTTCTTTTTTATTTTTTCAAAACAAATAAATATATGAGCATATTTCCACTTTTTAGTACATCTTGTCTTTTTTTTTTCCCATAATTTTTTAAAAAAAAAACTATGATTCCTTCAACTGATTCTGAATCAAGTGATTCTGAAAGCGTTTATTACGATTGTGATTTAACCTTTGACTTTAGTCCTTCTTTTCAAGACGTATTTAACAATCTTGTAGTTGTTATTACAGTAGCTGACGAAGATCAATTGTTAAATAATAAACTTTATTATGGAGCAATAGGCAGATTATTGGCTGACATTGCTTATAATGAAGAAGCGCAATTACATTTGCAAACTATAGCTGATGAGATTAGAGCTTTACCTATTGAAAAACAAAGACAAGGAACTAATGAGTTTAATGAAATATTTAAAAAATTATTGGAGAGCGTAGCTACTGATATTGCTGTAAAGAATAACAGCCAAGTTTTATCTAATCAAAATATTGACGTAAATGGAGTCCATGATAACAATCATGAATCTTCCTCTCCAATATATGTTATAATTGATGATGATGATGATGATAAAAATATACCACAGCCAGTAATAAACAGTGGTAACAGTAGACTATTAAAAAACAAACAGACAAGATCTTATTCAATTTCACCAGAGGTAATATATATACATATACATACATGTATAACTGGTATTATTTATAGAGAGATTTAAAGTACATTTAATTATTTTTAGCTCGAGTGTTTATTATGTGGAGTTAAAATGTATTTAAATAACAAGATTGGTAAATACCCTTTATCTTGCTCTGCATTCCCCATTTATAAGCCTAATGCACCATTATATTGTCTTGGATGTACCAGGTAAAACAACACGCTATATGTAAAGCCAACCAATGAGATAAGATACTAAAAGAGCTATTATTATCTAATATGTATATACATATAAACATATATACATTTATATAGACTTCGCAACACAGTCTTTTCTAATGAAGAGTTTGAAATCATGATAAAATGGTTCATCACAGGAGATATTGACAAGTTTTCTGTACCAGTTGCTTATCCAGATAATGTAATCAAGTTATTTAATCGTAGAGCACTACTTATGAAACAGCGATGCCAATACATTGCTGGACCCAAAAATGCCGTAGCAACAGGAAAGGACTTGTTTAACCTATATGCGCGTTCTAATTGTAAATGTGCAGTATCAGGATTAGGTTGTTATATACCTGGCGCAATAGACAATTATAAAAATCATTTGAATCATGTTGACGATGTTAGAAAATATTTAAAGCGTGATTACTATCCCTTTGGGCAGTTACCTTGATCATATTATACCAATAGCAACAGATCCCAAAGCTGGAAGAAACTGGAGTATCAATAACATTCAAATCCTTTGTTATGCCCTAAACCAAGTAAAGGGCTGTCTACCAGATGATGAACTTCGTCGATGGTTTCATATTTTTCGTTCTAACAATATCAGCAAATATAAATAAGTCTTTATCTTCTTACAAGACTTTACTTTTTTCATGAATATACATTTATATAATAAAAGAAAATCGCTTAAATATGTAATATTATGCCTTCTTTTAATTGAAAGCTGTATTCATAATTCCTTACAGCTAAAAACTCTAATTTATTTAATATATATACATATAAACTTAATGTTTACAAGAAGACTTATTCATTATAAAAGACAATTTATATTTATACAGTCTGTCTCAAGAGACTTTATCATTAAAATATTTGAAAACTATTCCAAAATGGCTTTTGTGTTATAATTTGGCGCGTAGAATAGTTCGCATTTCTTGTCGAATAGCTAATAAGATTTTGATTGCAAACATAAGCTACTCCAGCCGCGTAAGATTACTTTCTTTCTTTTTTTTTATTATTATTATGCTTTAATTAGATGCAAACAGTTGGTGTGTTATGTATTATAGGAAATAAGCTTTAACAGTTTAATAACTCAGCAAAAAAAAAAAAAAAAGTGGATATTCCCTTCCCCTTTAAATCACATGTCATTTAAACAATCTTGCTGTAAATATCGTATTAGATGATAACGAAAAAGGCGATAGATATCTTTATGGAACGATATTCGTCATCTTTGTGTATTCATATTTATGTCAATTATCGGTGAATTTCGGAAATATCAAGTAAATAAACGGTCATCAGGTTTGCGTTAATTATAAACATAATAACAGCATCTTGACTAGTACAATAAAATCATAATACTTGAATATAGCCTTTTTTTTTTTCCTTTTAATAAAGGACTTCAAGCGTATCTAGAATCCTCAAGCATATAATAATTATTACTCTTTTTCAAAAGTCAGGCAAATGGATAACTCTTAATTATTTGATAAGGTTCAAGTGTCTCTGTGAGAATATTTATCTTCTCCTTATTTAATACTGGTTTCCTTTGTTTATTTAATTTGTTAACATCTAAAAGTCGTTTTTGATTGGTATTCTACTCCTTATTTATTCCATAATTTATTATTTAAATAACATGCGCGTCACAAAGATACCTTTTTTTTTTTTTTCTTCCTTTCTTTCTTTTTATTTTAACATATTGTTAAACATTTAAATAATCTATTTGAATTAACATTTACCACATTCTATTTTATTATGTTTAACCAAAACCAATCGGTCTTTTCAGGAAGAACCAATATTCCTACACCAACTCATCGTTCAGTATTTGCTGATTACCTTCAACAGCAGCAGCAGCAACAACAACAACAACATCAACAACAACAACATCAGCAGCAGCAGCAACAGCAACATTCTGCACCAACTCAACAACAAATTAACGCAACAAACTCATTTTATGAATATTTTGGTAGTAGACCTTCTCAGCAATCAGGAAGAGGGAAGATATCAACTTTTAATCGCAATCAACGTAAGCAACATCCAAATGCATCTATTTAACAAATAAATCTATCAATAATCGAATTCAAAAATCAATAGTAAATAAGAATGAAAAGAAACCAATTAGCCTTTTAAGACAAGTTTCAGAAGTGACTAAACAAACAACAGGAAGACTAGGTCCACGTCGTAAACAAAAACTTTCTGATGTACAAGAAGAAAGCTCTTCTTCAAGCAAAATCTTGCCTGAAATTGTAAAAAGACAACAACGCTTTAATCCTATGCAATGATACCATGGAAGAAGCAGTCGCAAATAATAATAGTCATCGTATAACAACAGTAGCTGATCGTGCTGAACGATTTGGAAATAATAATTCTCAAATGGCTATCTATCGCAATGTTAGTAATCCTCCTCTCTCCTCCCTCCCTTCCAATACTATTTTTTTTTATCCTCTTAACATAAAATATCCAGTGATACAAACGTCGAATAAGGAGCCTAGTGGGAGAGAAAAATCAATATTTTTTTTTATCTTATTTTACTTTAGCTAATTCCAACTATCTCTTTTTTGTTAGTATAAGAATAGAAGAGTACAGGAAAGAAAACGCGCTATTGAAGAAGGTTTGATTCCAGATCCAGATAAACCTATGCGTTTACAAGATGCTATTGATTTTGTTGGTACTTGTACAACTATGTGTCCTGAATTTGAAATGGTTGAACGTGAAATACAAAAGAATATTGATACCTTGGAGATGAATGAACAAGGGAAGCCTGATCCTAACAAAATTGTTAAAGCTTATAGAAGATCTGCAGCTGGTAATGAACAACCATTACCCTCAGATGTTCGAACACCAGAATGTCTTGTGGTGAGTTACTATAGTCAAGTTTAATTATTAAACTAGTCTTTGTCTTTTTTTTTTAACATATATGTATATTTATATACATATATAAGTCTACGCTTGATTACTTAATCAATAGTATTGTGTCTAATTATCCACTTGAATCATGTCATGCATTTGTACGTGATAGAACAAGATCAATTCGTCAAGATTTTACTTTACAAAATATTCGAGATAAAACAGCTGTGGAAGTGCATGAAAAAATTGCACGTTTTCATATCTTATGTTTACATGAAATGTGTGAATATGATGAAGCTAAATTTAGTGCCCAACAAGAAACTGAGCAATTACGAAAAGGTAAAACAAAATTCTGTCTGATATGAAAGCTTATCTGTTTATTTACCTCTCTCTCATACACACTTTTTTTTTTAATATAAAAATACATATATACATATATATGACTATAGTTTTAATCAGTTTGATGGAATTCTATGACGATCTTCGTGAAGAAGGTATTGAAACAGAAAATGAAGCAGAGTTTCGTGCCTATCATCTCCTAAGCCATATTCGTGATCAAGACATGGCCCGACAAGTACAAACCCTCCCATTATATATCTTTGATCATCCCTATATGAAACGAGCCCTTGAATTTTATGCTCTAGTGCAACGTAATAATGAAATCCTGGAGACTTCATCACGTCGTAATAAACCAGAAAATGTTCCTGCTAGTGCCAATTTTTATTCTCGATTTTTTAAAATGGTAGCTGATCCTAGTACGCCGTTCTTGATGGCTTGTATGTTAGAGACTCATTTTTCAGAAATCCGTAAAGGTGCTTTAAAGGCAATGAATGCATCCTATATGTTTAAAGCAGGTGGTGTAAATGCAGACTACATCCGCGGCGTATTAGCATATGATACTTTAGAGCAATTGTTACATGAAGCCAAGCTATATGGTCTAGTTATGGATATGTCATATGGTGAACCTACTATTATGTTTGGACAAAGACATTATACCGCCAAGGTTCCCGTATTCATAGGTAGATACATATACACATATATATATATATATATATATTGATATAGATAGATAGATGAATTCAACTAATAATACCTTTCTTTTTTAGAACCATTATCAAATCCTCCCCAAAGGAAATCTAAGCTTTTAGTTGAACCTAAAAAGGGAACCAAAAGTTTTAATGAAATTATCTATGCTGAACATGAAGATACCTTTATGTTCAGCGATGATGATGATAACAGTGTTTATGATAATGTTGAAGATGATGATGATGAAATGCTTGAAGATAATCCCCCTATGTCTATTAAATTACCTTATAATGTACCTATTACTTTGCCTGTTAGCTCATCTAGCAGCCACCCTCTTATTCCACCCGTGAGTGCACCTATTGATAAGCCTCATAAGCATTCAGTCGTGTTACCTATTATACCACCTATACTTGCCTCTAAAAATTCAGCGGTAGACTATATAGAAGGACAGATATATACAAAAGACCAACTTGCTGATATTCGGGAAAGAGCAGCAGCAGCAGCAGCAGCAGCAGCTAAAGAAAGAGAACTCTTGATACAACTTGCCAAGAAACGAGAAGAGCAAATACGAGTGAAAAAACAACAACAAGAAGAATTACAAAAGAAGAAGAGCGTAAAAGAGCAGAAAGACAATTAGCTGAAGAAGAAGCGCGTCGACAGAGAGCCCTTGAAGAACAAGCACGATTAGAAGAAACAAGCCAGATTGGAAGAACAAGCACGTTTTGAAGCTCAACGACTTGAAGAACAAAAGATTGAAGAGATGAGAAAGCAAGTCATTATCTCACAAATCAGCCGTCGCTATTTAAATGATTTAATCGATACCTTTGTAGAGAAAACAGCTAAAGAACGCGTTAGAAAGGTCTTGAAAGCGAATCAAACTATCAAGCAACGTACAGTTCCATGGATTCAACGTGCTCGTGGTCGAATTGAAAAGCGAACCCAAGCAGCAGTTGCTAAAGTCAAAAAGTGGCGATTTGATCGTGTCTTGTCCTTTTGCAATCCATATTCTATTATGGCCAATGTGTTGAAACCATTACCTGAGCATTTTTCAGGTGAAGGAGTCCATAGACGTGCCAAACAGAGTTTAGAAGCGGAGAAACGTGTTTTAGATGAATATAATCTTAAGGTAAAACAAACATATATGTAAGTTAATTTTTTTTTATTTATTTACTTATTGTGAAATAGAGTAATCATGAAGAACAACATGATCTTGTATGGAAAACAGAAAACTTTGCATTAAATATATACCCCGTGTGAGAGACAAGATTGTAGCTCAACAAAACCAAAATCCTACTACAGAAAAGCCCATGTATCAACTGTTAATACACACAGAAGATCAAGAATTAGAATCATCTAATTGGTTCAAACACAAGTTTGGATTAGATGAGAGTTTTCAAGACGAGTAGAACGTTATGCTGGATTTGATATAACCAGTCGTATGATTACACCTGAGACAGACTTACCATCACAGTGGGTGAGTCAAACAGGAGGTGTTATCTTCTCATTACCTGAATATACTACCAACATAACTGAAGAGCAAAAGTAAAATGTTAAAAATATATACACATATTATTATACGTTTTATTTTTAACCTTTTATTATTAATTTTAGAGAGGAATATTGGGAGAAATGTAGACAACGTATGAAAGATTTAACAGATAAATTACAAGCAATAGAACCAGAAATTTGTATACCTTTTGTTTTTACTTTTTTCCCATCACCTCAGTTATTAGAAGATATATCAAGGGTAATTAAGAAAAAAAAATATTTTACTTAGTACTTGGTATTTATTTCTAAACTTTAATAGATACCAGAAAAGCTGCACCTTCCAGCTCATGAAGCAATTAAAGATTATCATATCTTGTTAATGAATCCAAAAACGATCCCCACACGTATAATTGAAGAAGTCAACTGGCTTAGCTCTTCATTTTAATTGCAAGCCATTTAAATATTATATGTTAAATATTTTTATATCTTTATATATATATTATTTGTAAATAAGAAGAAGAAGTAATAATAATAAAAAGAAAAATGTATATTTTTCTTTTGTTTTAATAGAAACAATGTCAATTGTAAGCCTGTTTGTTATTAAGCAAAACTAATTCTGTATGAAAAAAAAAAAAAAGCTATGCATGCATGGCTTAATACCCCCTATTTAATCTCTCATCTTTTTTGCTTTTGCTTTTAACATGTTTGAGTCTACTCTCAAGCAGTTTACTATTGAATTCCATCCAAGCCTTTATATAACAGCTTATATCTAATGTCCTTTCTTCTTCTTCTTCGTGCCTGAATCTTTCTGATCGCAAGTGTTTATTCTTATTCGATTTTTTTATTGTTGTCTTTCGATTCTCTTGTAATTTTAATTTAATTGGAAGAAAGCGTTCATCAACAGTAGGTTCTTCTTTATCTTGTATAGTGAAATGCCTTCCTTGAATAGAATATGGGTGTTCTTCTTCATTTAATAGACAACTAGGATCTATTACTGCACCATAATCTGCTTTCTTACCCTTGTTATGGATTTTTATAACTGCTTTAGTCTCTTGTGATGATGAAATAAGGTCACTAGATTCTTTATACACTTTATTCTTTCCTGTTCCCATTATCTTAAAATGGGCTATCAGTTCTCTTAGGTCCTGCTTTGATCGTCTCTTATTCAATTCAACATATTTTGATTCCTTTTTAGTTTCCTTGTTTTCAAATGATAAAGTGATCAGGCCAGTTTCCGAAATAGCTGCTCTTTCTTCCTCCTTTTCATCAGGTACCATATATCCTATAATAATATATGCAATACATATATATTTGATCGAATTCTTTCTTTCTTGTTCTATGCATGCAATAAAATAAAATAAAATACCTTTTTGACCTCCAGGCTTCTCTATCACTTTTACTTTTGAATCATATACTTGCTTATTTTCTATGATAGGGACTTTGAGTAAACCAATAATAGGTGTTTTAATCTTTATGGAGGGGAAATCCCACAGGTCAGAGACAAGTTTCATGATAGTTTGTATATCAGGATCATGATTCATTTCTTGAAACCATCTTGGTCCATGCAAAGGATGTCTCTCTAAATGAATGATATAGTCCAAGCAAGTACTGTATCGTGATCTAACTTTGATATATTTTACAAGCCTATCCTTCATTATCGGGAAGGGCTCCCCTAACCATTGTTCATTTGCAAATCTTTCATAGGCTTTGCATTGTTCTGATATCTCTTCTTTTATCATAATGGATGCCATTAATTTGTAATAGAAATATAAATATAAGAAAAAAAAAAGGGTAAAAATAAAATTTGACAGTTGTCAATAAATATAACGCGCATTTTTTTTTTTTAAAAAAAAAAGGGGGGGAGGCAAGTATGTTATCTTTGATTTCTTTGGGGCCAATATATTGAATACATGGTCGCCTTATAAAATCAATCCTAGTGGGCTTCAAGGATATTGGTCACTCTAAATATTCAATCCTAGTGATTCCTCTGGATATTGTCCATCCTAAATATTCGATTATGACTTTTTTCTTCATAATGGTCTCCTCTAAACTCTGACTACTCTATATATTTAATCTTGACTCTTTTCTTTATAATGGCCTCCTCTAAACTTTAGCTACTTTAAACATTCTTTCATACATTCTTTTTGACTCTGGTTAATAGAAATAAATCAATCTGCTTCCCTTTAAAAAACTGAATTTTGTTATCTCTACAGCCATATTAAAAAAAAATAACGCGTAATAGTCAAGCTCTACAATCAAGTTTGTACTGAAATAATAGTACACTAAACGGTTCAACTATATTTCTTACTCTCATAAATGTGTATAAATAAATAAATAAATGGATGGATGGATTCCTTTAATAAATAAAAATATTCTTGATTTTAAAAATTTGTATAAATATGTAGAAGCTCATCTAACTATAAGAGAAAGGGTCTTCATTAAAAAAAAAAAAAAAAAAAAAAAAAAAAAAAAAAAAAAAATTAACAGCTATTTCAGATCTTGTGAATTTTTCTCTGAATTAACTAAGAAGTTAGCATATTTTCCTACAAAATACATTAAAAAATAACTTGGTATCCGATGTTGTCTTCATAAAGTTAACATATTTCATTTTCATTATCCCATTAATGCTCATCATAAAATCATTTATTCTTCTAATTTCCTCAACTAAATATTCCATAATGATCTTGTAAAAATGAATATTTTGTAGTATGTCAGCTAAATCAGTCTTAAACTCTAGTAATGATCTTTATTTTTGTTCAAATAATAATTCAGCCAGAAAAGGCTTTTGATTCGTTTTTTTTTTTTCATCTTATTACTGACATAGTATCCACAATAAAGATAGATCATCTATCTTACCTGCATAATCCTAAACATTCTGATTGCTCGATGTATATAACAAAATGTTTATTCTCAAATATCATACAATTGAAGTCTATTTGAAGCTAATATAATTGCATTTGTATTCCCTATACACATTTATACCTATTTTTTGTATTACTTGTATTTTCCATGCTCAGCCATTGGAATGGAAGGCTGCTAACACAGTCCTTGGAGGATTCATATTCTGAAGTCGGTATATATTTAAACTAATTATTATTATTATTTGTTAAAGCCTTTAGATGAGTGAAATGAATAGATGAAGAACATCTTAAAATAACAAATAATTTATGGGCAGTGACTAGAAATTTCTGCCCTGAATATTTCTCTTCAAGATGAAAATTGCTCCCAATTAAATAAGACTTAACAGGAGAATATATAGTTAACCTAAACAACGTTATCTTCCAATTTTTAATATTCGAGGTAATTTTAAACTATAAAAAATAAAAGAATTTACGATTACTTTTATTCCAGTTGTAAACAAAGGCGATATTATCAATATAGTCAGTTAGTTAATGCATATTTTTTTTTTGTGACCAAGATGCTGTCCTTTTCATGTGTGATGTGGAATGCCGCTTCATCGATGAAGAAGCAGTTGCTCTCAAAATCTGGATCAGTCTCTGACCATTTAACTACCCATTCGTGTCTTCTTCTGGATCTTTTCAAGTGGGGGGGGAGAGGAGTTTCTTTTCTGTAGAATAAAAAAGTATGCTTTTTTTTCAGTGATAGAATGCAATCTTCTGTCATAAACTTATGAACAGTTGCCCGAAAAAAAAAAAACTTTCAGACCATCAAGCCATCAAAATGCTTGATCTACTGTTGTGGAGGGATTGTGATCAAATGTCTGCACAAGTTACTCCTTGTGATTTTTTTTTATTATTATTCAACCATTTCTGTCTTCCTGCTTTTATTCATCATCATTCCTCTCTTTCTCCTTATCCTCAAGAGACTTTTGTATTCTCAAGCTGATCCTTTCTGGAGCCAATTGTATACGCTGTCTTGCATGGGGAAGGATATTTGCTAATTTTAGTAACCTTTTCCTACAGTTAACCCTTTTCTCATAAACGTGAAAAAAAAAATGTGCTAGGAAAGCTTTTAATTAATATTGTTTGCTAAATCTAATTATGGAAAATAAAATTGTGCTATAAAAAAGAAAAAGCGTGCCATGTGATTTAAGAAAGAGTGTATTAGAATCTCAGATATTATTTAATTTATTACATATTTATTAGAAAAGAGGCGTGCTTTATAATTGTATAAGGTAATTAAAAAAAAAAAAAGGGGTGGGGAGAGGGAAAGGGAAACAAATCAGAAAAAAGGAGAGAGATTATTTCATAACCTATTTACATGATAATTTGTGGTTCAGTAATATTTGAAGAAATAGACTTGTGAGGTAAAATAGATCCACCATTAACATAGATCTCATCACCAATAGAAACATCGTCACCAAGTACAGAACAACCTTCTAATCGTGACCATCGTCCGACAGAGGAATGCCAGCCTACAATGCTAGATTGAACCCACGCATAATCTTTGACTTTTGCACCTTCTAGAATAACACAACGTTGTAAACGAACACCATCACCAATTACGACATTTGGACCAATCACAACGTTAGGGCCTATACGACAATCTTTTCCAATTTTAGCGGTTGGATGAACCATCACATTACCCTTATAGACATAATCGTGATTAGGATTTGCAAGTTCTTGTGGTTTGTGTTTTGTGAGGTGAGATAAATAAAGACAAGTGCCTGTCAAATAATCTTTAGGTTGTCCTACATCCATCCAAAAACCTTCCAAATCAAAAGTATGTAATTGTTCATCACGAGCAATACCAGGGAAGATTTCTTTTTCAATTGAAGTAGGTTTCAACTAGAACGAATAATAATAATAAAAAAAAAGTTAAATTTCAACCTGGGTTTTTTTTTTTTGTTTTAATGTAATCTAATGTATATAAATGGGTCACTTACTTCAATACGATTTAATACGGAAGGATTAAAAAGATAAATACCAGCATTAATCTTGTTACTAATAAAGGTTTGAGGTTTTTCAACAAAACGCTCTATCTTTGTTGAATTTGGATGATTAACAACCACACCATATTTAGAAGGATCATCTACTTTTGTAACCTAAATTAAGATGGACGCATTTAATAAAACAATACAATTTGCATTTAAAGAAAAAAAAGTACTTACAATAATGGTGCCTTCATCACCATGTGATTTATGAAAGTCTCTTATCTGTTCAAAAGGATAATTACAAATGACATCACTATTTAATACGAAAAAGGGGGAATCATCCTTTGCAAGAATGTCACGAGCCAAAGCTAGTGGACCAGCTGTACCCAAAGGTTCTGTTTCAACAGAAAAAGTAATTGTGACTCCATATTCTTTTTCATATTCTTTCAAGGCAGCTACCATAATTTCAGGTCTATAATTTACAGCCAAGACGATATCCGTAACACCAGCCTAAATAATAATTAATTAAGATTAGATAAAAAAGGAAAAGGAGATTTTTTTTATATGTAATAATACCATACCTTGGCCAAGTTTTCAATTTGATGAAGAATCATAGGCTTATTAGCAAACTCAACAAGAGGTTTAGGAAGAGTCAAAGTAAGAGGTCTAAGACGTGTACCAAAGCCTTAATAAATAAAATAAAAGAGTCAATGAGAATAACAAGAGAGAAATGAAAAGAAATCATTTCAATTTACCACCAACAAGAATAAGTGCCTTCATAATTTATGAATTGAACAAAAAAGCGGATTGAAAAGAAAAGAAATAAAATAAAATGAAAAAAAAAAAAAAAAAGAAAAAGAGAGGAAGATAAGTAATTGTAGATAAAATAAATAATTCGATTACAGCAGCAAAAGATATAATAACTTTCAACATGATTTCTCTAGTGAAAATTGAAATTCAGATAATAATTGTAAATGTGATTTGACATCAAAGAGGAAAAATTGTCGTGTTGTTACGGCGGTAAATGGATTGAACTTGAAATAAAAGGTTTAAGGATATTTTATTCTAAAAGAACTCTAACCCGTCATAATGAATAGAAAGTAAAAGTTCCACTACTTGTTTATTCTTCTTTAAAGTAGGGTCTATTCTATATTCTTTTTTATCTTTATGAATAGTAAAGAACGACGATATATCACTTACTTTAATAATAACTTGATTAGTTATGCTAAAATTGAAAGAAGAGAGTCATGCTGGTTTTTTTTTTTTTTTTTTTTTTTTTTTTTTTGTTCCAGAAAATTTAAAAGATATAGTTTAGATATGATAGTAATAATATATTGTATTGATAGGCGTTGTTGTTGTTCTTTATGATTAGTCTTGATTTCAGTATCAAATTTGTTTAGTGTATCAACCAAAATACTCTTAATATGATAAACATTATTATACGTAAATCAGTATTATATATCATATTCTCCCTTTTATACATGCATGCTTTACTAATAAACCGAGCAGCTTTTAAAATAAGATGTTACTATCCTATAATAAACTTTTTTTTTTGAGGATTATTAAGATAGCAACGTTTTTGTCATTTCTTATTGTTAAATAAGCACATGATTATTATTACTATTAGCAGTAATGATACCAAAAAGAGCGGGAGAGTGGGGTAGGTAGGTCTAGAGACTGATTGATAATATTCTTCCTTCTTCCTCTTTTTGACTACTACAAATAGCACACATAGAGAGCAGCTATATTATAAATTTCTTTACATCTATTATCATCATTTAATACTTTCTGATCATGCTTTCTCTTCTTGTAGTTTAAAGTCATGAATAGTTTAGTAGGCTTATCAGTTGTCTTTTTTTTTTTTTGATTTATAAAAAAAAAGATAGTATAGTATATAATCTGACTTTAAATATTTACGCGACATTGGGGTTCCAAAAAAAAAAAAAAAAAAAAAAAACCACTCATCTCCCCTTAATAACTGAAACACCATTTTTTTTTTTTTTTAAAAAAAAAAATAAAAATAAAAAGGATGATCCATTTATAACTAATATTCATCGTTTTAATTATTGTTCTTTGCTAGATTAAATAACTAACAACGACAGTAAAATATGAACCAATAAAATGTCGTTATTATCTATTTATTTATTTATTTATTTTTTTAAGGAAAACAAATTAGTGGTGAAAATAGCGCTATTTTTTTTTTTTTAGACCATTATGAATACAAATGAACTACTAAATACTCTAAATATAATTCAAACTAAAATAAAGCAATGCCAAGAACAAAAAAGAGAAATAACGAGAAAAGTAAAATAAAAAAAAAAACTTCAATATTATTTATTAAGGCAAAAAAAAAAACTTCATGTTATCTTTAATAGATGACTAGAAAACAAGCATTGTTAAACGACTCTCAAAATATATTAAGAAATGATCTTCAGCATGCACTTGAGGAAGACTTTATAAAAAAGAATACCAAAATATCTAATAATCAACATTTGAAATTAAATCATGTACATGGTTGGATACGTGATAAACGTATTTGGATTCAAGCTGAAGGGCTCCCATTGTAAACCAACACACTGATTTATTACTAAATGCATAAACTAATTCACACTTTCTTTCAAGATCAAACCATAGAATTGATCAGGCATATTTAAGCTGCTTACCTAATATTTTTTACCTGAAACAGTATGTCTAAATAAAGGACACGATTTGAACTTGTTCCTTACCTTCGATTATAATCATCATTTATCATCACTACCACCCAATCAATTTCAAATTTATTGTATTTATGACTATGAAAATGAAAAACATGTCACTGAAGCATATCCAATTGAATGGAAATCTCCAGATGATTTAACCTGGTTAGTATGTCTTGATAATGAAGATGATAGCTTATTCACTAAAATACATACATATAATAATAGAGTCATTATCAATCTCACATTCTATTTTGCAAGCTTATTTCCCTTGTCATATATCCATTATAAAAGATGAATTACAGAATACAAAGGTAGATAATCATATACAAAAATTGACAACACGAATAAATTTTTATTTGAAAATAGAATATCCAATTTTTAAATGATAAAGTAGCAGTCACTTTGGATCAAACTGTACTTATTCATTATCATCAAACTCATGTGATTGATCTTTACGGTCTCTCTATGTCCCATATCTTATCATCTTCTTTAATCACGAACAAGCATATCATCACTAACAAACGAGTCCTCAAAATTTAATCGTCGCTCTCGGTCACACTTCATTTAATTCTAAAGCACGTGCTACCAGTTGCTATGCAATTGAGCCAAATCAAGCAATAATAAAATTAAAATAAAATAAAATAAAAAAAAGCTGGGGCTGGCTGGCTTGCTCGCTCACACACACACACACTCTCTCTCTCTCTTTGAGTTTAGTTTAGTTTAGTTTAGTTTATTTATGTAATCACCTTTTTTCTTTTCTTGTCTCATCTCTAAAGGATTCTAGCACTCGCTTTGCATTGCCTGACTTGATGGATTCACGGGCCTTTTCCACACCTTCTTTAAAATCACTGGCAATTCCAGCCATGACTAAAAGAGCCGATGTGTTTAATAGTACGAAATTTAAAATGGGATCTTCATCGGATAATTGATTATTTAATAATTGATTCAAGATGTGAGCGTTTTCATGACAATCACCCCCTTTGACTTGAGATAAAGGATAGGTTCTCTTTAATCCAAAATCGACAGTTGATGTAATACGCCTGTCTTTATATCGTTGCCATCAATTCTCCAATAATGCGTTTCACCTGCAGGACTAATCTCATCTAATCCCTCTGCACCACAGACGACTAAGCCCTCTTGCACACCTGTTAATCGAAGTGCATTCGCCATCAACGCTCCTATCTCAGGTGAGTGTACCCCTACTACCATCCGACTTGGTTTCGCTGGATTTGACATGGGCCCCAAGAGATTAAAGACGGTGGGGACGGCTATCTCCTTTCTCAACTTGGCTACATGCTTCATCGCTGGATGGAAAGTAGGTGAAAATAAAAAGCAAAAGTGAGTATTGATCTAGGATATCCGCGACTTGATAAGGCTCAACTTGTGTAATAGCACATCCATGGGCCTCCATCAGATCCGCTGATCCTGATCGTGATGAGGCGGCTCGATTCCCATGTTTAGCTACCTTGGCCCCTGCCCCCGCTGCAACAATAGAGGCCGTTGTGGAGACATTGTAGGTATCATGGCCATCACCACCTGTACCAACGATATCCACCACCTGTCCTACAAGCTGAGGATGGTGGTCGTAAGGGACAAGACAGGCATGGCTACGCATAGCTGTCGCACAAGCTGCCACCACTTGTGGATCTTTGTCCTTTTCTTGAAGTTTTAAAGAAATGAGAAAGGCAGAGATTTGGCTTGAGGTGGCCGATCCTTGCATTATCTGATGCATCGCTCTTTCTGCATCCTCTGGAGAGAATTGTGTTGGTTCATGAACAAGTTTTTTTATAATCGTCTTCATCAAAAAAGAAAAAAAGAAAAAAAAAGGAGGAGGAGGAGGGAGTTCTTTAAAAGTCAAACGTAGATGTATATATTTATATAAGTGTATATGAAAGAGGAGAGGGAAATTAAATAAAAACACAGTATTAGTTATCTTTTTTTTTTTTTTTTTAATGAGTCATTTTTAGTAAGATAAGCATGTCCTGAAAGAATTACATAATTAATGAGGAGATTTCAATTGGCGGAGAAGAATGACACTTGTACAAAGATGGATGACGGCTAAATAAAAAAAGGCATTGCATATGTGTATTTTGCTTCTTGTTACGATTAAATTCTGAGTTTTATTATTATTATTATTATTATTTTTTTTTTTTTTTAAATTTTTTGGCAATGAGCATGTAGCGACGAAATAAATGCGCAATATTGCCCGAGCCAGTTATAGAGGGGAAATAAGAATAAAAACCTTCCTAAAGGACAAGAAGGGAAAAAGGAAAACGAGAAGGAAAAAGAAAGAGCAGTATTTTGGAATTAAGAGAAAATATAAGGGGAAAAAGCGAAAAAAGTGAGAAGAAACAATTTAAAAACAAATAAGACCAAAGTGACCAGGAAGACGCACACTATTACTTGGATAACCAATTCAACAGCTTGAGACCAGGATCGACAGGATCAGGAGGAAATTCATCATGGAAGTAGTAATCAAGTTCATGTAGAATTGTACAAAGAATAGGCCATAAAGTATATCAGCTCGTACAATCAGAAGGACGACGAGGTTTATGTAGTGGAAGCAAGTTGAGGAGGAACGAGATGGGATCTTCGACTGAAGTAGGCATGTAGAGACGATGATGTACATGTAAGCACTCAATAGCATGTTGCCGGCTCCAATTATGAGACGGATGAAAGATACATTCTTTAGGTTTACCACCCGGTAGCCAGCCAAGTCGCCAACGAAGCACTCGGCTACGTTCTGAGGTAGTCATTGGTAAGTAAAGGATGGGATCCAATTCAAGAGTGGGGCGTGAGGAAGACAATAGGAGTGAATTAGTATCTTGACGAAGATTTTGAAATTGATCATCTAGAAACTTAGCACGAAGAGTGTAGAATTGTTTTCGGTCGAGCGTTGAGATATTTGGTGAGCATAGGTGTGTCCACATTGTAGTTTGAGTCAATTTATACCAGTGGGAATGACTATTTGAGAGCTGAACATGAGGCAAAAGATGGGCAAGAAGAGTATCTGCTGGTAATTGGGAAGTTCGAAAGAGGTATTGCGCTTGGAGCTTCTTGTTACGATTAAACATTTTTTTATTATTTTTATAAATTAAAATTTATAAAGCGACCTATGGGCACATAATATGTTTGTTATATTGGATTGCCCAGGTCAGTTCAAATGATGTGAAAAAAAGTATCTAAAAACCCTCTTATGGGACAAGAGGTAAAAAGGTAAAGGAAAGGAAGAAGAGAAAGTGAGAAAGAAAGGGGAATATTGCTAACAAGTTTAAAGAGACAACCAGTTGAGTAATTTTCTGCCTGGATCAAGAAGTGGAGGGGGTAGTTTATCGTGCATTAAATAATCTATTTCCTGTAGAATGGTACACATAACTGGCCAGCGATAGAACCAAGCAGAAACATCCTGAGAATTTCGGTGCTTATGCTGAGGGAGATGATTTAAAAGAAAGGAAAGGGGATCTGCAATTGATCGTGGCAAGAATAAACGAGTGTGCATGTGGAGCTTCTTGTTACAGTTTTTACGCTTTAAATTTAGGCGATGTTAGTTTTTTTCTGGACGAATCAAAATTAATTTTTAGACAATTTGCTTACCTTTTTTAGACAGAATAAAAATGGAAATTAGACGAAAAAAAAAAATAAGTTCAAACACTTTGATGGTAAATGTTCAGACTTTTTCTTTACCTGTAATAATCTGAACTCCTTTCGGAGAACCGTGTTTAATACGGCGATTTATGTAAGACTTAACCTCTTTTAAACGGAAGAGGACGCTCTCCATCTCTCCAAATCGACTGAGCAATCTTCATTATGTTTAAAGATGCATTAATATCCCTCTGCCACAGTGTTTGACATGTTTTGCAAACAAGAACACCACAGCCACGAACACCAGTAAAAACATCCAAACTTCTTGTCATACATTTAGAGCATACTTGGGAGGTAAGATACTCATCGATGGTAACAACTATCAAGTCACCATTACTTTCTCTTCTCTTTAAAGTCTTGTAAAAGAGTTCAGTGACTCCACTTCTCAATCCCTTGTAGTGCACCAAATCTTTGCCAAACATTCCGGCCCCAAATACGACCAAGGGTACCTTTGATTTGTAGTTTTTATACTTGGTCTCTCTATCAGATACATTTGTATACATGCACTTTTTCAGTAAAAATAATAATAATACTAATTTACTGGGTTTTTTTTTTAACTACAAATACCTTGGAATACATTTCTTTTTAACTTCTTTTCCTTTCTTTTCTTCTTGGTCCCCCTTTTTCTTCTTCTTCTTTTTGTTTTTTGCTTTCTTCTTCTTTTTGCTTCTTAAACTTCTGTTGTACTTTTTAGTTCCGTTTAGCAACATATTTACCATTAGCTCTGGCGCCCTTTGCTTTCCTTGGTACAAGAAGAAACGGTCCTTTGCCGTAGCAGCGTTATAAAACTCGAACAGAGTATCTAAATTATTGAAAATATAAGTGGCATGCTGCAAGTACTTTTCTGAGTCAGAAGTCTTGTTGGTTGGTATAGAGCTTTCTATGATGTTAATGCCACGCTCATTTTTTAGTCTGTTCAATTCAGAACTGAATCTTGCTGAACCTGTCAAATGATAGTATTCCTTGGCTGTGCATCGTCGAACATCGCGATCTAAATCGGTAACTGCAGTAAAAACGGTTTTCTTCCAGGGTCAATTGCTATTGGAAGATATGACTGTTCTATTTCTTGACTCTTAAAGTCATCGACTTTGAGGTGTATTTGGTTAACTTTGACAGCCATATCATTTTGATCATTTCGTCTTTTGTAGAACAAAAAATCAACACTGAAACCGTCTGATCTGATCAAGTTTCCAAACAACTGTCTATTTCTGCCATTTGGCATTATACTTTCAATTCTGGAAGTATGTTTGCTTTAATTATTATGATATCACCCTTTTTTTTTCAACTTACGTTTTAATTCTCAATGACTGGAACTTTAATACTTTAAAAAAGAGCCGAAGTTGGTCATTATAACCTCTTGGCAACTTTTCACGAGGAAGAAACGCAGATAATGCGTTTACTGACAAAGTTATAGAACGCCAGTGCAAGGAAGGTGTTGGGAACAGACTAAATCGCCGCGGAAGAGACAGTCTTCTTACATCGTATTCACAATGGTTGTCGTGTTCAGATTCAATGATAGAGAGCAAGTGTATCAACAAAGGAGTAAATCTACCAGGGGATTCCGATAGAGTTTTCACTGTTACTTTGGTATTTAGAATGTCCCTCAGAGGCTGGCAAAATTGAACAACTTTTTGTCTTATTGTATCATCATTTACAATTTCACTTGTTGGCCACACTGGATCCCCTTGACAGATATATTGATAACAATATTTTACAGCAATATTATGAACGTCTTTTCGATCCATATTCTATATTTATTTTTATAAAATTTGTTTAGTTCTTTATTACTATTTATATACATACACTTTTTTTTTTTTTTTTTTTTTTTTTTTTTTTTTTTTTTTTTTTTACCACAAACATGATTTGAATCTTGTACCGAAGATAATAAATCAATCTATTTTCAAAGGTCTTGACGATTGCATTCTGATATGAGGTAGCTACCTCTGTGCACGCCTCAGCCAGACATTGACTTGCACCACTTATTAAAGTTACGGCATAGCATGCCTTAGGGTTTTCTCTTTTGAAGTTATCCCATTGCTGTAAAAGATTTGGACTGACTACAGTGCTATTGGTAGGCCTTCTATTATTGACCAATTGGCATATAGTATACCAGAATTGTTGTTTAAAGATGAATCCTGGGGCAGGCTCATTGGGATTTTGTAAAATATAGTAATTTACAAACAACTTCGCTCTGTAGATAAGCTGTCTTATAGAATTGCAGCAGGTGATAATTTTTTCTTTCAGGACACCTTTGTATTCTTCTTTGATACAATTATCAAAAGGAAGCTTCCGTGTGTACGCAGTATAATTAGATCCAAGGTTGAGAGCCAAGGTTTTCGCTTTTGATAAAATATAGAAAGAGCATTCAGGGGAGCGTGCAGAGCTATGACCTGAAAGCTTACATCTTGAACAAACAACTTCGGTACTTGCTTGTGTTTTCTGTCTTTTAGCATCCTTTTTAGCTCTTTTAACGTTTTCTGACTGTTTTCGTTTTTTATTAGTACTAGTGCCAACTATTCTTTAGTAAATTAGTAGATGTTTAGCACCTTATTCTACATACGAACAACTATACCTTCGTCACCAGTCTCGGGTGAATATAATGAGCATTTTTTATAGTTTTTTGTTAAGTGTCCCTTCTGACCACAATCAAAGCATGTGGCATCTATGATGTTATTGTTAATTTTGATTAGATATGTGCACTAATAATAATACTTGCTTGAAAGCTCATTCTTCTCTAGACGACTGTCATAAATAGCTTTTTTCTTGTTAAAAATAAATGATCGATGCATGTTTTTGTATGAAATAAGCAAAGATCGGTAAAGAAGGTAAAGAAAATGTGATATGTTTGTGGAAAATTTAAGGTTGATTTGCACTTAAAAAAATTAAATAAAAAGCCAATAGAAATCGAGTGTAGTCCTTTTTTGGTAAATATTCCACTTATTAAAAAGGCTAAGGTCTTAAGAAAAAAACAAGAGCAACATTTTGATATGGCATGTAAATTATTTCTCTTACAGCGTTCATTATTAGCGAAGTCATAACAATATCTTGAGTAACATCTTCTATTGTTCTGTCTGTCACAGCTATCATCTGTTGGATGTAGTTTGAACGCGAAACAACATAGAGTTGTTAGTTACGCAGTAAGTCTGGACTCAACTGGATCTAAATAATCATGCCTATATGTATATTATTTGAGAAATCTGGATTTCAGGATTCTTTCTGTTTTCGTTTGGCTGATATATGATATAGTGAAAGTGCACGATATGAATTATATGTCATATCTGTGCATATTCTTTATTAATTGTCGGTGTATTTCACCACAATATTTACCAATGCTGTATCTTAAATATGACTGTCAAATCTATACTTTCATATAACTGTACACACGTAGTCTCCCATATATGTATGCGCACCCTAGAAATATCAGTGTGTTAACCTAATTGACAATATAGAGTTTATTGGTCCCTCAAGGCAAAACCTTTTAAAATGAAAAACAACCTAATAGGAATCCAACCATTTGATATTCACTAGAGCCATTTATGACACTTGACAAAAAGGTGTTAACAGAACCTTGTTCAAAAGGGATTAACAATGATAGGGACACTGCCACAACTTTTAGTGAGCCTGTTTTATTAGCAGCTGAGCAAACCGTATCTTAGAAAAAAAAAAGAAAGAATAATATACCTGAAAAGTCCCCTGCTAATATCAATGCCATTGGTAACGTAAAAAACAGTTCCTTGAACTTATGTAAAAAAAAAAAAAAAAAAAAAAAAAAAAAAAAAAAAAAAAAAAAAAAAAAAAATGACAAATATGTAAAACAGATAAAAAAAATCATAAATGCGTATCATATTGTAGTCTTAGTTTAAAAAATATAATGGATGTTTTGAGTAAGCACAATAAGTATCATTATCACATTTTCATGGACAAGTGTAGGGTGCACTATTCTCTGTTAGTCGTAGATGCCATAAGCCAGCATGACTACGAACCGCTATTAATGAGCCCCCATATTCACTCTTTTTGAGCTCTATCGAAGATGTTGGTTCGAGATAAATAAAAAAAAAACAAGAATTCTTTTTGGAAAAACCAGACATGCATACATCTTGTATTGCTGAGCATTATAAACAAGTTTATGTTGCTAATTGCTAAAGACGGATGTGATATACAGAGGCTTTCTGGGATCGAGGAAATCCTCTGTGTTCTTAAGTTGAAATTTATCAAAGGAGCATAAGGTTAAAACGCACTTCATTACATTAGACACAATACTTCTGCAACGTCTGTGATTCACCTTTTTTTTTTTTTTTTTTTTTCGTCTAATTTCCATTTTTATTCTGTCTAAAAATTAATTTTGATTCGTCCAGAAAAAAAAAACTAACATCGTCTAAATTTAAAGCGTAAAAACTGTATTTTAAGTGACCCCCAACTATGGCGCATTAGCCAGATAGTCCCAATCCATAAAAAAGGTGATACTTCTGACCCGGGCAACTATCGACCAATTAGTTTGACCTCAGTATTCCGTAAAATTTTAGAAAAATGCATGCAATATGAACTAATTAACACCGGCCCCACGCTGGATGTAGCTCAGGGAGGCTTCCGTGAAGCTAGAGGGTCGCTTGACCAAGTACTTTGTCTAACCGAATTATGCCAATTATATCATCGTAAACACTTACATTACAATCCAGTACTAGCCTTTCTCGATATAAAATCAGCTTATGATACGGTTGATCGAAGTATCATTTGGGACGAGCTTTCTTCAAGTGTCTCAACACCTCTTTTAGCCCTCTTATACAACATGTTTGAAGAAGTTTCTGTCGAGGTGATTCTTAGCAACCATATATCCTCCCGTTTCCATCCAAAAACAGGCGTTCTACAAGGCTCTGTCTTATCACCTTACTTATATTCAGTATATATTAATAGTCTTCCAAATTTCTTACGACCAGCACCTCTCCTTGAAACAGACTTTAATGATCCTTCCCTTGTGGCGCCAAAGTTAAATTGCCTATTATATGCAGATGATGTGGTTCTCATTTCTGATGCTGATTCCATGCAGTCCCTCCTTACCAAATGCGAAGAACACAGCCTTTCTTTAGGTTACAGATGGAACCCTAAAAAGTGCGTTATTGTGAATTCCAATCTTACACCTCAAAAATACTACCTCTACAATAATGAATTACCCAATGAAGATTTCTTCCCGTACCTCGGTGTTCCTATTAAATCTGGTGGTGTCGTACATAAATCAGCACTTTTACAACAAAACATCAATAAAGCACTTGGAACGATGAGACAGCTTACTACCCTTGGTGTAAACAAAAATGACTTTGACCACCTTCTTTCAGCTCGTTTTTACGCCCAAATAGTTCGACCACAATTAGAATATGGATTAGCAATCACAACCTTCAACCTACGAGAAATCCGCTCTCTAGAAAACTGCCAAAATCAATGTATGCGTCAAATCTTCGGTGGACGACCTTTCACCTCAACCAAAGTAATGTTACACCTAACAAATTTACCTAACATGAAAGATCGTATTTCAATACTCCAAGCACAATTTCTTTTTAGATCCTCCTTTCTACCAAATGATGCATTATTGACGAAATTGCTACCATACATACAGTCTCAAACTAAATCAAAATGGTCCCAACTATCCAAATCTCCTCTATGGATATCAGTTTGCAATGAAAATCTTAACACTAAGTCTCATAAGGATTTTAGTAGGACACGAAGACAATTCCTACTTAACAGCTACCACTCAAAACTACAAGAAAAACATTCGAAACTTTTATCCCATTGCCGTAATAATCTGATTGTTGACCCTATTCTTACGATACCAATGACAAGAAGAGAATGGTTTCGTTGCGTGCGATGGCGACTTGGTTGGTTACCTCTTGGTAAACCCCAAGCCTGCCCCTTCCATCCAAACGAACTCTTCACACGCTCACATAGTTTTTCTTGTTTACATATGCACAACCGCCTTCAGATGCCCAAATCTATTGAAGATCCACTCTCTTATCTCTTGAATCTATTACCATCAACATTCTATACGAAGAAAGTGAAAAAATCAATTGATGCCTGGCTCATACGCTGGCCTTCTATATGTGCAATTCTATTTGAGATGGACTATCTAGCTCACTCCCAAATCCCTGAACCCTCCGACCATCTTGGTGAACCCTTTGTCAATCATCTTCTTTCAATACAAAAACGAATTTCTGATAATTAATTATCATCACTTATACATATACTTTAACATTTTCCCTTTTATCCCAAAAGGGTTTTTATTTCCTTTTTTTCCATAGCGATCTGACCAGGGCAAAACAGCATATATAAATGCTATGTGCTCATTGGTCATTTTTTAATTTTTTAAATAAAATTCTTTAATCGTATTTTAAGTGACCCATCTCGTTCCTCCTCAACTTGCTTCCACTGCATAAACCTCGTCGTCCTTCTGATTGTACGAGCTGGTATACTTTATGGCCTATTCTTTGTACAATTCTACATGAACTTGATTACTACTTCCATGATGAATTTCCTCCTGATCCTGTCGATCCTGGTCTCAAGCTATTGAATTGGTTATCCAAGTAATAGTGTGTGTCTTCCTGGTCACTTTGGTCTTATTTGTTTTTTTTTTTTAAATTGTTTCTTCTCACTTTTTCGCTTTTCCCCCCTTATATTTTCTCTTAATTCCAAAATACTGCTCTTTTCTTTTTCCTTCTCGTTTTCCTTTTTCCCTTCTTGTCCTTTAGGAAGGTTTTTATTCTTATTTCCCCTCTATAACTGGCTCGGGCAATATTGCGCATTTATTTCGTCGCTACATGCTCATTGCCAAAAAATTTAAAAAAAAAAAAAAAAAATAATAATAATAATAATAAAACTCAGAATTTAATCGTATTAAAAATTTATTAGCGTCTGAATTCAAAAAAAAAAAAAAAAAACAAACATATACATATAATGCGGTTCGATAACTGAGTTTAAACATAAAATGTTCCGGTATATTATTTAGAATATGATTGGTTGTACCATTCTTGCGACCTAACTTACAACAACCTTCAAGGAAGTATATGCTATCCCCCTTTCCCCTTCTCTATATTTCTTCCTATTTTAGATATTAGACATGGTATCCAACCGGTAAGTTGAATCCATCCATCCATAATGATGATGATGACTCTAGTTTCCTATTCTTTTTTTCACCCTCCCATGACATGTACAACAAAATCAACAACCATAGAGAGAGGATATGAAGAAATGTTATAGTTCAAGTTGTAATCTTTGAATTTTTATTTTCGATTGAGGAGATTCGAAACATTTAAAATGTATTACATCCGACAGTTTACAACTATTGACGACGATAATATAAGCTGTTAGACTTGATTAGTACACACATACACACACACACACACAGGAGATGGAAAAAAAAACAATTCAGTTATGATTTATTTATTTTTTTCTCTTCAAAAAAAAAAAATATGTCATGGAAGAAAGAAAGGAAGAGCAAGCTTAGAGTCATTGTTATTTTTTTTTATTTGTTCTAGTGTAGTTTCTAATATCAGAAAACCCATTTTTACTTTTAAATAGTCTTTACAGCAAGGGCCGTGTTTTGGGCTATGAACGTGCTAAGCGTAACCAAAACCCCAACGTCTCCCTCATCCAAATTGAAGGTGTCAAGACTACTAAGGATGCTCAATTCTACCTTGGTAAGCGTGTTGCCTACGTCTACCGTGCTCAACGTGAAGTCAATGGTTCCAAGATTCGTGTCATTTGGGGACGTATCGCTCGTGCTCATGGTACTAACGGTGTTGTTAAGGCTCGTTTCCGTAAGAACTTGCCTCCTAAGGTCTTTGGTGCCTCCGTTCGTGTCGTAAGTATTATTATTTTTTTTCCTTTATATAAATTGGGATTAATAGGTCATCATATTAATGCACATTACTTGCTTTTTTTTTCTTTTATCATTAGATGCTTTACCCTTCCAACATCTAAATAATTTAAAGGAAGATTACATGAAATTATAATTCAGTTTTTTGTTAATTATAAATTCTCCTTTAATTAAATGATGAAATTTTTTTATAAAAGAAAAAAAACGTTTTGTTTGTATTTTATTTTATGTGTCAAGTGTGTGTACACTTTTTTTTTTTATGTCGTACTTGTAAAAGTTTAAAGTAATGTCGTATTTAGAAAAAAAAATAGTGAGAAGAGTTTTTAAGGCATAATGGAAATAAATTCTAAATCTAACACGCTCGCTGAGCTTCATTCTATCTTGTCGTCGTCTTCTACTACACTAATTATCGGTTAAGCTCTGACTTGACAGCTGAAGAAAGATCATATTTTTAACACAGGATTTTTTTTTTAGAATAAACCTTGTGCGTACATAGCAATGACAAAAAAAAAAAGAAAAAGAAAACAACTACGCCTATGCCTTACGTGAAAAGGATTACAGAGTGACCATAATAAAAATATAAAGTCAAGAAACAAACAAGAAGAAAAAAAAAAATGAAAGGAACCTGCATAGTATATTCAATTTATAAGAATAAAGACCAGTAGAATAAATAAACGTGTGTGTGTGTGTGTTTTTTGGTTAATATAAAAGCTTCCTGTTAAAAAAAAATGACAGCTTACTAGCAAAATAATAATAAAAAAAAAACATTATTTCTAAATAAGGAAAATGGTAATATTATTTCCAGAAAATAGGATCAATCATAAATTCTGCTTTTAATATCGTGAGAAAGATGCAGTAAAGCGGTTTCCAGGAGATTAAATAATTTCAAGAAAATAAGGAAATAAGGAAAAAAAAACACACACATACACACACACATAATTTGCTTTATTTTACAGTAAAAAAAAAAAAAAAAAAAAACAATTGATTTCATTTGTTTGATACATTAAAAAAAAAACTATTGTTTATAAATTTATCATCGAAAATTTCGGTTATCAGCATTTAAGAGAATGTCAAGTGTCGTGGGAAATGTTATCTGGGACGAATATAAATTTTGATATATGCAGCTTTAAATGCGTCGTAGTAGTAGCAGCAGTAGCAGCGGTAGCAGCAGCCAGTTTTATTATTGTATCAAAAAAAAAAAAATAATAATAATATTTTATATATAAATACTTTCATTATTATTATTATCTTCATCTTTTTTCTTCTTCTTTTCTTTATTAACATATTCGTTACATTATTTACAATGGTAACTATTTAAATTTTAAAAAAGATAAAATAGATACATATACATATGTATTTTGGTTATTCATTTATTCATTCATTATTAGGCTCCAGCAGTAAATGGAAATTCAGCTTCTGAGACTAACCCTTATTCTGGTTTTGATCACCTTCGATTTACAGTTATGAATGCTAAACAAGCAGCTTCCTTTTATTGCACTAGATTAGGTTTTAAGCATATTGCTTATCGTGGCCTTGAAACTGGCTCTCGAGAAACGGCTTCTCATGTAGTTAAACAAGGTGATGCTATCTTTGTCTTTGAAAGCCCTATCCATCCTACTGCTCAAAGAGAGATGGCTCAAGAAATTTCTGTTCGAGGCGATGGTGTTAAAGATATTGCTTTTAATGTCAAGGATTGTCGAGCTGTATACAATGTAAGAAGAAGAAGAATAAAAAAAAATCTTTTTCATAAACTCATAGAAAATTATATATATAGAAAGCAATTGATAGAGGTGCTAAATCGATCAAGGAACCAGAAGAAATAACCGATGAAGATGGTACAGTGGTCATTGCTACCTTGGCAACAGTAAGTACATTTTAAATGACATCATTTAGCATTTGACTGAACATTTTATTTATTTATTTATTATTTTCTTTTTTTTTTTAAAAAAAAAGTATGGTGATGTTCATCATACTTTGATTGAACGTAAAAATTATAAAGGTCTTTTTTTACCAGGTTATAAATCTTCTTTTGAAGTATTAAGATACAAAGATCCTCTTGAAGATGTATTGTAAAGTTATACATAGTAGAAAAGAAGATGAAAACAATAAACTAACATTCCTCCATAAATAGACCACCTGTTCCACTTGGATTTATCGATCATATCGTAGGCAATCAACCAGATGGGCAAATGAATCCTATCGCTGACTTTTATGAAAAGGCCTTTGATTTCCATCGATTCTGGTCAGTAGATGATAAACAAGTCTTTACAGAGTATAGTGCACTTAGATCAGTTGTCATGGCAGATCCTGAGGAACGTATCAAGGTCCCTATCAATGAACCCGCTGTCGGTCGTAAGAAATCTCAAATTCAAGAATTTGTCGATTTCTATGGTAGTGCAGGTGTTCAACATATCGCTATCAATACAAATGACATTATCACATCTGTCACCAACATGAAGGCACGTGGTTGTGACTTTTTAACCATTCCTTCTAATTACTATGATTCCTTACGCACTAAACTTGTCACTCATAATAAAGTAGCCAAACGACCTATCGTAGAAGATTTAGATGTATTGCAAAAATTGAATATTTTAGTCGATTATGATGAAAATGGTTATTTATTACAAATCTTCACAAAACCACTTGAAGATCGTCCTACTGTATTTGTCGAAATCATTCAACGAAATAATCATAACGGCTTTGGTGCAGGCAACTTTAAAAGTCTTTTTGAAAGTTTAGAAATTGAACAAGCATTACGTGGTAATTTGACAGATATGGAGTCTGTCGTTGAAAATAAATAGTAGTCGTGTAGCTGCTTAATAATTGAAAAAAAAAAAAAAACGTATTTTTTATTTTATTTTATTTTAATAATGAATTCTATTTTGTAATGCTCTTGTATCTACATATTCCAAATCTACAACTCTATATCAATAAATTTATTAGTAAAGCATTCTTAAAATAAATACATAAATATATTCATATATAAACGAGTTCCAAATTTTACCCTATAAGTAAATTCTTAAATCTATTTACATGTTCTGCCATTTGATTTACTTGTTCTTGAGGTACAGATAACGATGTCACTTCAACGACCCAAATATCTTCTTGTTGCATGATTGGTATCAATGTTTCTACTTTTAGTTTTTTAGACTATAAAGGTTATTCATATTTTAGTGAATGCATTTTCAAAATTGGATGACTGTAGCATTTTTTTTTTTACTTTAAATAACTGTGTCACTGTAATTCTTAATAATTTATTATAAGCTAATAAATATCCCTTTTTAACTACATCAAAAGAGAAACTACATTCTATATTTTAGTATTTGTCTTTTCTCATAATAATAAATAAACTTAAACCTATATCCTAATGACTTCATAAATCGAAAAATATCTCCAGATAATTGAACGCGTGATATTGGACGTACTGTCACTGTTCTTGCACGTTGTGGTTCAGGATTACCTTGCAAACATAAAAACCTAGTTGATATATTTATTTGTACGTGGCAAAGGAGAGAGTTTTACAATTTTACCATTGTCTATATTTCATACTTAATTCTTTTTCATTTGTAATTTTTGATTGAAGTCGAAGAACAACATCATCATTACGTGCTGGTCCAATAGGTGTTTGATCTAATTTAATAAAATCAATATAACAATTCAAAAAAAAAAAAAGGAAGGGGGCGCACATGTATATGTAATTGAATCATTTACTTGAAGGTATAAAGACTAATTCATGTTCAAATAAATCAATGATGGAATTATTGCCACACAGACCAACAAGTCGTTGCAAGAGTTTTTCTTTTTGTTCTTCTCCCATAATAATTCCTTGTAGACTACATTCATAATTCGACATTTTTATATTATTATTATTATTATTTTTTAAAAAAAAAAAAAAAAAAATGAGAGAGAGAAAAAGAGAAATGAAATAACGTTTACTGCTGCAAGTCACGAACTGAGTCGTCTTTACTACACTTTTTTATCTGTTGTTTCCCCTGAATGAAGAAATAAAATTTATTTCCATAAGTGCGCCCCCTAGAGAGTTGTGTAGTCTGAGTTTTTTTTTTTTCTTTTTCTTTTTCTTTTTCATTTTCAATCATGACAGAAAAAGCCAAGGTAGAGGAGAAAGCAACAACATGGATTGATAAACAATCAAATTCACCTTATCCTATTTGGGCACTTTCTGCGTTAAGTAATATAAACATGTATAGATGAATTTCATTGTCTATTTATTAAGCTTTGCTATAATAAATAGCATTAGCCACTTTGCCTTTATCGATCAGGAAAAGCCCTGGTATACCTTCATTATTTCAAACAATAGCATTCTCTAGTATATTTGCAGGAGCAGGGTAAATTCGAGTATTTATATTCATGTATGTATTTATGTATCTGTTTCTATAGTTATGTTATTAATACAGGAGATGCAGAGAATGGATCTGGTATTTCTACAGGTAAGAAAAAAGATATATGAATGATGATGCTTTGGAACTTATTTTTATTATATTAGCTTGGTGTTTATCTTGGAGTTTTTTAAATGCAAAGACAGCATTAAAATCAATGAAGCCTGTACCCATTACTTTATTAAGTGCAGTGACTTTGAATACGATTATATATGGGAAAAGAACATTAAAAGTGAATGGTTATTTATAATCATTCTATGCATTTTTATATAATAGCACAAAAGTTACATATTGTCTTTTTTTTTTATTATTTTTATTATTTTTATTATTTTTATTTTTTTTATTTTACTTTTTTTTTCAGTTTTATTTTATTTTATTCATTTTTTTTTCTAATTTCTTATGATGGATGGTCGTTTAATGTATAAAAGATCTCAACGATTACGTGAACATGTGAGTTCACTTCATCTCTTAATTATGGTAAACTTCTATTTTAATACTTGCCTTGTCACAGAAAAATTGATATAGTCTATATTCATATATAAGCTTATAGGGCTCGTTTTGATATCAATAGGTATAATAATAATAATAATAATAACTGTTGTTGTTTGTTAAAATAATAAATGGAATATTTAGGAGCTTATATCATTGATTCTTCTAATATCAGTAAAACAATTTCTATTGGAGCATTTATAGTTGGTGGTTTTATTACATTTATATCCTTCATTGGCTTTTTTGGAGCTTATCTTGAAGATATTCATCTTTTAAATGTATATAATATCGTTACTGCCTTACTCTTCGTTGTAGAGCTTGGTAAGTTGAATTATATAATTTGAATTAGATTATAAATAGAGAGAATACTTTTCTTTTTTTTTTAAAAAAAATAGTTATCATAAGACTTGCTTATATCTACAAGACAAAAGTAAAGCTATTATCCCTTATAACATATTATAAAATAGATAAACTACCAATAATCTTTTTATACCTTAGTTGACTGAATATGGAAGTCAAGCTTGGGATTTCTTTATAACAAATGATTCTAAATTTATATACAACTTTGAAGAATCGTAAAAAAAAAAGAACATATATATTGAATTGTAAAGTCATTCCAATTAACACATTATTATTATAGATTGAAATGCTGTGGATATAATTCAATCAAAGATAGAGCAGTACCTGATATGACATGTTCTATTTTGTTAGAAAGTAATGTTGGATGTAAAGAGACAACAATAACGTTCATTCAAGGCTGGCAAAATTGGATTATTACCAGTTTAATTATTTTAATAGGCATTCAACTGACGATTTTATTAATGACAATAATTACAACATTTTTAATTAAGCAAGACGTAAAAAAAGAAGAGACATATTTATCTTTATTATCACCTAGTCTACAACAACCTTATGCTTCCTATTATTTTAATAATGGAGAAGAAGAAGAAATTCGTATAAATAATAATACTAGTTTTTATCGTCCAAGAACAGCATCTTTACCAAGATATGGTTCAACGATATTAAAAAAAAGCAAAATAAATCCAAGTTAAAAGCCTGTTTTATTTGTTATCTAATTTTTAGCACTATTTTTTTATTTATTTATTTATTTTTTCCCTCTATTTTTAATATTATTATTTATTTATTTATTTATTTATTTTATTTTATTTTATTTTTATACATTTATTTTATTTATTATTTATTTTTTTTTCTTTAAAGAATAATTTATAAATGTCTTCTAATAACTACAATACATCAGCAAATGATATACCTTTATTAACAACTCCATTCTTACATTATATACCTACTTCTCCTCCTTCTCAAGAATTAGATTTTCATTTACCATCTCGTACTCCTCTTCATGGTATTACTGTTGCTGAATGGGCTGGTTTGAAATCTCTAAGGCAGCCAAGCAATACTAATAATAATGATAATACCAATAATACCAATAATAATGATAGTAAATTAACAATTGATATTTAATAATAATCCTATTTTTTTTATACAAATATTAAATATTCATATATTAGATGCTATAAATAATAATCTGACAACAACAACAACAATTAATTCAGTCAACATTTCACCATGTAATAAATCGATTATATCCAAAGATTCTTCTGAAGACGATAGTAATTGGAAAGATGTTTATCGAAATATAAAATGTATGGATCAATTATATGATGCTTCATTTTATTCATGGTTAAAATCAGAAGAAAATGTATTAGTAACAGCCATGTATTTACATCGTATTGCCAATGAATATCCTCTAGTACGTATCATAAATGCCCTTAAATGGCTTATTAGTGATTGGAGACTAGAGAGTATCAGTACTTTGGTAAGACATGTGACCATAGATTGGTGCGATGAAGCAGGTAACTCTTTGAATACTATATCAAAAATAGATGTATATCTTAATGACATATATTTTAGGTGATCTACGGCGAGCCCATCTTTTATGTCATTTAACTCATAGTTGGGCTATTCAGTATACAACTACACTTATCACAATGGTGTTGTCTTCTGCTCCTTATACAACAGCGGATAGTATTCAAAGAGAAAGATTTTTAAGGGCATTCACAAAAGATTGGGATTTTTCTAAATTATCTGAATTTTTCATGTATTTACAAAGTCCAGCTAATATTGATTATAAAGTGAAATGTGTTATGCTTCAAGAAGCCGCGAGAAGAGAAAGAGAGACATTAGGTGCTAAAATTTTGAGAAAGAAGAAAATGAATTCAAATCACTGTATAGCAAGTACATCATCGTCATCATCATCGTCATCGTCATCTACTACTACTACTACTACTACTACTATTACTAGAATAAATGATAAAGAAAATGAGGATACTATGGATATATTAGATGATTCATCTTCTACAAGTAATAATCGAAGACATCATCGTCGTACTTCTAGTAATGATGTGAATGATATTAAACGCTTAAGACTCTCTACACCTGATTTAGACCATTCGGATAATGAAAGTAATATTTCGACCTCTACAAATACAATGACAAACACTGCTACCACTACCACTACTCCTAATAATCTTCGTCGATCAGCATCTCCTGATTTACGCAATACTAGTAACCCTGGTAATGAATTATCACATCTACATTTATCAGATGATACTACTGAACAACCAGATCCAATACCTTCTAATGAAATGTTTATGAACACTACAACATCGAGTTGTTGTTACCCATCTAATTCAACAACTACTGGCTCAACTACACAACTTGCAAGGCATTTAAGAAGAAGAAGATCTAGTTCAAGTAGTGGTTCAACTATAGTTGAATCAGATATCATGACTGTAGATGATTCAAATAATAGAAAAAAGGGAGGTCCTTCTTCATTACAATCTCATTTTACTGAAGAAACCATATAAATAAAAATTTAAAAAGAAAAAGAAGAAAAAAAGGGGAGGGAGGAATATTATTTTAAGTGTGTTTATATACACACACACACACACACACACGCATACACACATACATACATGTAAATCATCTTATAAAAAGAGAAAGGAAAAAAAATATTTACCTTATGAAATATAAGTTACTTTTTTTTTTCTTTTTATCAATAAAAATAATTCGCTTTTGTACTTTCCTCAAGGTATTTACTACATTGACTACGAAACATTCCAAGTAATTATTTAAAAATAATAAGCCAAGACATATTTGTTTCAATAACTTTAATTCATCTTCTTTTCTCATTCTATTGATAGAACTAGAAGCGTGATAAATATTCTTTTGTTGAAAGCTTTTTGATTTTCATCATCAACCATGATAAGCTACAAAAGCGTCTTTTCTCCTCCTCTCCCCCGGATCAGCCGTACACGGTCTCGACTGCTTAATATCGTATGACCTGCCATGCTACAGAAAGCTACAAACTGGAATCGAGTATTGGCTTTTTTTTTGCTTTCGGGTTTTTCTTGTCACAACTTGCTTTTCAGACATCTTTTCTTTTTCTTTTTTTTTTTTTTATTTTCTTTTTTTTTTTTTATTTTCTTTTTTTTTTTATTTTCTTTTTTTTTTTTTAGATGAAGAAGAGGGGCCTGACTTTGACATAGGATTGGTTTATATTGTTTCTTTCTGCTTGTTCACTTTTACCATCAATTCATTGTCCTTGTTGCGTATTGAACTTTGCTTCTTTCTTTTCAGTGATAAGCCTTTTTCTGCCTCAGGATATAGAATTGGGTGTGGCATTATTACTTTCTTTTTGATGATAAGAACACCATTTTTTATTTGTATTGCTTTGATCTAATTCTTTTTTACCAATCTTCTTCTTTCTATGACGTCTCCAATGGTTCATGAGCGAATTAGTATTTTAACTTTGCGACTTATAAAATTTAAGGAGAACGAATTCGAGAAAAAAAAAATACTTAACAAACTCATTGTAATATTTTGTTAAAAAAAAAATAGGTTCAAATTTAACATTTAAAGTAATTTTTCTTTTATGCAAAATAAATAAATAAATATTTATAATGGTGTATAATCCTCTTTTCTTACTATTATTGACCTTTTGTCAGGTAAACAACCACTTTTATATGAATATTATTTTTTATTTTATTTTATTTTATTTTTTTATTTTTTTTTTTCAAAATAAGCCCGAATTTTCCCGGCTTTAAAACAACGTCACCTTTTAAGGTTCTCCACAGAGTCCATTTTTTCCCCCTGATTTAAATATATTAGTTTTTATTTTATTTTTTCATTTCTTCTTCTTCTTCTTCTTTTCTTTTATCATTTATAATACATCAAGCTTCTTTCATCATGTTCTCGGCTACAAAAACTACTTCTGTATTACGTTCAACTATAAACAGTAAGTTAATAATGGAGAAACCCTTTTTTTTTTAAAGAAAGAAAAAAAAAAAGGGCAGCAGCAAAATAATGTGGGGTTAATTTAATTTTGAAATTAGTTGCTCGTCGTACATATGCTAATAGTAGTGGATATGACTCTACTTACAAAAACTTAATAATCAACAAAAATACAAAAGTAATCTGTCAGGGTTTTACTGGTAAACAAGTAAGTCATTATAACGAATAAGATTACGTATTATATATTCATTAAATAAATAAATAAATAAATAAACAAAAAAAAAAGGCTACTTTTCATTCCCAACAAGCCATTGAATATGGAACCAAAATGGTAGGTGGTGTATCACCCAAGAAAGCAGGACAAACTCATTTAGGTTTACCTGTCTTTGGTTCTGTTCGTGAAGCAGTCGACGCCACGAAAGCAGATGCCTCTGTCATTTATGTACCACCACCTGGTGCAGCAGCTGCCATTTTAGAAGCAGTTGAAGCTGAAGTTCCTTTAGTGGTTGCTATCACAGAAGGTATCCCTCAACATGATATGATGCGCGTAAAACAAGCTTTGATGACTCAATCCAAAACTCGTCTTGTCGGTCCCAATTGTCCTGGTATGATTTCTGCTGAGCAATGTAAAATTGGTATTATGCCTGGCACTATCTTAAAACGTGGTAAAATCGGTATCGTCTCTCGTTCAGGTACTTTGACATATGAAGCTGTTCAACAAACAACCGATGTAGGTCTTGGCCAAACACTTTGTGTAGGTATTGGAGGTGATCCTTTGAATGGAACCAATTTCATTGATTGTCTCAAGGTCTTTTTAGAAGATAAAGAAACCGAAGGTAAACAATAGGATGATTTATGGGTTTTTATTTTTTTATTTTTGGGTTGTGTGCTTTGAAAGTAAACACGTTTTTTTTTTCTCCCTGTGTGTGTGTATATATAGGTATTATTATGATTGGTGAAATTGGTGGCACTGCTGAAGAAGAAGCAGCTGAGTTTTTGAAACAATACAACTTGTCTAAAGAAACACCTAAGCCTGTTGTTTCCTTTATTGCTGGTTTAACAGCTCCTCCTGGTCGTAGAATGGGTAAGTGTATATGCATTATAAGAGTAAAATAGATTTATATGTGAATATTGATTGTTGTTGTCGGGGGGGGGAAATGAAATTATCTAATTCAGGTCATGCTGGTGCTATTATTTCTGGTGGTAAGGGTGGTGCTAGTGATAAGATTGCTGCTTTAGAACGTGCTGGTGTTCATGTTACCCCATCACCTGCTAAGTTAGGCGTTACTTTATTAGAAGCCATGAAGAATGCTGGTTTGGTATAAAAAACAAAAAGAATTAAAAACCAAAAAGGAAATTAAAAAAAAGTGTATTATACTATTTATGCTTGTATAAATAATAAACTATTATTCTATGTTTGATTACATAACAAACTTCTTTTCACATGTATTGATCCTTTTTTTTTCCCATTGATTTTTGTAAAAAATTTATCTTTTTTTTTTTTTTTTTTTTTTTTTTTTTTTTTTTTTTATTGTTGTTGTTGTTGTTGACACTGGCTGTAAAATTTTTTATATTTTTATTTTTTATTTTTTATTTTTTTTTTTTTTTTTTTTTTTTTTTTTTTTTTTTTTTTTTTTTGAAAATTTGTTCTTTTACCTTCTATACCAGTAAAAAATTAGTCATTTCATGTCTTATCCATTTGAGTTGACATCTCAACTGGTCCCTATTAATGAACAACAAAAGACAACTCTTTGGTAAAATTTTGGATTTATTCATGTTTTTTTTTCAAGGAATAATTACTAAAAATGTTGTTAATTATTCAAATAGGATGGGTGAGTTGGAACAATGGCAAGACGAAGCTTATATTCAACAGTTGTGGTTCAATCTCAATGAAAAAGTCATGGTCAAAGTCATTAGAGACAAAAATACTGGGTAAAAAAAAAAAGAGGGGGAGCGTATAGAATTTAGTATTTAAACATTTTATCTTAGTATAAGTGCAGGGTATGCTTTTGTTGATTTTGGTACTGCAGCAGCCGCAAGACATGCAATGAATACTTATAACGGTGTATTAATGCCTAATTCACTTAAACCTTTTAAGCTTAATTGGGCTTCTGGCGGTGGCTTAATTGATAGAAGGTACATATAATATCTATTTACAGAGCTATACCGTAGATTTTTTTTTTAAAAAAAATTTATTGTTTTTAGAGAGGATAGACAACCTGAATATTCTGTATTTGTTGGTGACTTGAGTTCTGAAATCACAGAAATTGACCTTTTGGTAAGAAAGAAATACAGAGATGATATATGTATAAATATACTTATAAACTTACCTTCTTTTTTTTCCACTATTTGTAAAGACTGTATTCCAGTCTCGTTATCGTTCTTGTAAATCAGCCAAGATTATGACAGATTCGAGAACAGGTATGACGCGTGGTTATGGATTTGTTCGTTTCTCGGATCAGTTAGATCAACAAAGAGCCTTGATTGAAATGCAAGGATTTTTTATCGGTTCTCGTCCTATTCGTGTATCAGTTGCAACACCTAAAAATCGTAATAAAACTTGTACCATGTCACCTACCCCATCTTTAACCTCACCTAATAAATCACCCTTGACTTCCCCTTTATTACAACCTCCTGATACAAATACAACCGTCTTTGTTGGAGGATTATCGGCCCCTATTCGAGAAGATGAATTACGTCAATACTTTCATCATTTTGGAGAGATTGTCTATGTAAAGATTCCACCTGGAAAAGGATGTGGATTTGTACAGTATGTTAGCCGAGCCTCAGCAGAATTGGCTATTCAACAAATGAATGGATATCAAATCGGTAATTCACGTATACGTTTATCCTGGGGTAGATCTCAAAATGAGAAAGCGAATATCATCGTTCGACCCACTCCTACCACTACACCTAGTATGCTTTATAATACTATCATGTATCCACCCATGATGCAACAGTCATCCTCTATTCCTAATACGTCGACCCTTATCACTCCTACTCATACTACCACTACCACCACTACTACTACTACTGCTAATATTGGTTATAATAATACGAATTTATTTTCTTATGGTCAAATATATCCATCTTCCGATCATCATTTTAACAATTTTCTTACTGCAAAGACTGACTGTTTACTTGATTCGACTGCAGAAGAGTTATTTAATTCAGTAACAAGAACCTTATTGGATACTGATGAAGATAGGAAGCCCAATGTTAATTGGAGATTAAATCAAATCTATGCTCAATAAGTTTTGTTTATATATACATTCTATACATGTATATTCTATATTTATATATATACATATATATCTGTTGTACTTTTTTTTTCTTTCTTTTTTTGTTATCTGCTTTATGTTATTATTTTTTATTGCATATTATAATATATTTACCCTTTTTTATTTTATATTAAAATCAATGTAAAAGAAAAAAAAAAAAAAAAAAAAAGGAAAAACTTGACAAAATTTTATTGGTTTACACTCTTTTTATACATGACAAATCTATTTTTTTCTTTTTTCAACTTTTTTTTTTTCTTCCTTCTTTCCTTTATCATAATGTCACAAAATCTCATTAACGCTAATCCTACAGTTTATAATACAAAGTCATTTATCCGTAAAGAGACAGACACAGAATATGACGATAATGTAGAGGATCCCATTGATGAACAAGAAATCTTTGATCTCATTCGTTCCATTTCCGATCCTGAACATCCCTTGACACTTGAACAACTTAATGTCACTCAATATGAACATGTGGTCGTTGATAATGAAAATAACAAGATCTTGATTGAATTCACACCTACCATTCCTCATTGTTCTATGGCTACCTTGATTGGGCTTTGCATTCGAGTTCGTTTATTGCGCAGCTTACCAGACCGATTTAAGGTTTAAACAAACAAACAAACAAACAAAAAAAAAAAAAAAAAAAAAAAAAAAGCAGGAAACGTTGATAATGATTATTAATATACATATTTTAGGTCGATATTCGAGTACGTAAAGGAACTCATCAATCAGAAGGAGCAGTGAATAAACAATTAAATGACAAGGAGAGAGTCGCTGCTGCATTGGAAAATAATCATTTATTAGAAGTTGTTAATCAATGCTTATCTACTGCTAGTCTTCGTGGCAGAGACATGATTACTTCAAATTAAAATATATATATTACAAGAAAGAAAAGAGAAAAAAAAATTATACATGTACATATACATATAATAAATATATATACATGTATACGTTTATATATATATAAATATTCATATACATATCTATTTATACATATATGGATATTATCATCATTCCATTCATTAATAAAATAGTGGTTATGAACATCCTTTTTCTGTACTCTCTTCTTCCTCTATCACATCTTCTTCTTCTTCTTCTTGTTGTAACATTTCTAATCTACGTGTTTCTTCAATTAGTTCAATTATATCTTCTGCTGTACCCACAGAACGTAGAAAATGATGCTTTAATAACGTTTCTGCATCTGGCCTTTCTTCTGGATTCTCTATCGTACATAATTTCAAAAAATCTTTAAATGGTTCTGACCATCTATCTGGTTCTTTTAATGGAGGTAAACCATTTGATACAATTAAAAATAAAGCCTATATAAAATAGATACAAAAAAAGTAAGTAAAATGAACATAATAATGCATTCTCTCTCTCTCTTTATATATATATATCTATTTTACTCTTAAAGGCGGGTATTCTACATAAGGTGGATTGCCTTCTGCCATCTCTATTAAAACCACTCCTAAACTCCAAATATCGATTTTTGCATTATAGTTTAATCCTTTAATCACTTCTGGTGCCATCCAATAAGGTGTACCCACAATTGAATTACGTTCAGGTTGAGATTTTGAAAGCTGAGCACAATGTCCAAAATCAGCTATGAGATAGTAAGAGTAAGAAAAGGAGGATGAAAGATTTTTTTTTATGTATGTATGTATGTATTTACCTAGCTTAATTTCGCCCCGTAAATTTAACAAGATGTTATCACTTCGAATATCTCGGTGTATACGATTGAGTCGATGAATTCGACAGAGAGCTCTCAAGATATCTCTTGCCACACGTGCAATTTGATCCTCACGCATACGAGGTTGTAATGGTTCAATCGAAATAATATCAGCCAAAGAAACATCCATGCATTCCATCACAACCCAAATTTCTTCTGGGGTGGTATAACAGGCAATAAACTCAACCACATTCGGATGTCGACTCATCTTCATCGTTGTCAACTCGTTTCTTATCTTGCTTAGTTTCTCTTCTGCCTTGTGGGGAATCTTTTTGATGGCAACAATGCGTTTTGTACTGGTATGTTTAGCGGCATACATGGGTCCTGATTCACCTTCTGCTATCAATATAAAGTCGGTATATAATGTATTAGGGTCTGCTGCATCCAATAAGTCATCTAATATGTGAATGTGAGTGTGAGTGTAAGTGCGGGAGTTAAGCAATGAAGATATCAAATCTTCACTCCTTATCTCTACTTATCATTTATTTACTATACTTCACTACTGCTTACCAATAAAATTCGAATTTAATGCTAAATGTGAATCAGAGCTTGTATGACTAACGGAATTCATAAAAAGTGAAGAATCGTCTATTTCAGGAAGGGGTGGTATATCAATAGAGGATTTAAATAAAGATAAATGTAATAATTTAGATGATCTTGCTCTTGAAGGAGGTGCATAACCTATTGGTAACGTCATTTCCTTCTTTTCTTTAAACTCTCTGTCTCTGTCTTCTTCTTCTCCTTCTTCTTCTTCTTCTACTATGGTATGATTAGAAGAAGATGAAGTTGTAGAAGATGACAGCTGCTGTTTATTATCTGACTGAAGTGAATCTGGCATTCGAATATGATGCATCAAATTCTCAACTGTTTTCCGGTTATTCTGAACGACTTCTTCAGGCACACCTGAAGCTAATAAAATCTTTTGCCATTCAAGTGGTAAACCTTTGAAACCATATTTACCCACTTGGACATGAATGTTGTGTTGTACATTGTATGGTTTTCCAATTAATGTAGGCGTTTTCTGTGATGCATCTGAATCACCTATTAAAGATCATTAATGAGTTTTAAGTTGTCTTTATAAATATATGTATACATATAATGAACAAGAAATGTCTCTTATTTTAAGAACATAGAAATATAATATTCACTTTTTTTTTTCTATTCATATTTTCTTTTTTTTTCTTTTCTTTTTTTTTTTTTACATAGATACAAAAAGAAAAAAAATGAATTACAAAAACAAAACAAAAATAAGGAGACATTCCTTGTTCATTTCTTAAACATTGCTTTAAAGGGAGGGGAATACTTTTACATTCTGGCTTAACTGGTGAGGGTACAAGATGAGGAGTAACGTAATGTGTATCTAATATATCATCGCTTGGTAAATTTGATTGCCATACATCGGGTAATCCCTATATGCATATATAAATATATATATTTATATGTATATAATATATATATGTATACACATATATGTATATATATATTACAAAAATGAAGATCTTATCCATGGTTACTAGCTTACCATGTATTTCCCACTATCTCTATTATATTCTACATGAATGCCATGTTCAAATTTAGTTGGTTTACTAATGTCCAATATTTTCTCACCAAAAGTAGATGGATGACGATTCGAAGACTTTGTCGACATTTTAGAGGATAGAGAGGTTTCAGACTTATTGTTTTGTTTATATAATTTTATACTAGATAAGGTAGATGATGAAGTCATTTTACGTAAACTCCTTGTAGATGATGGTTTTTGAGATGGTCGTCTACTTGACTGATAATTGCCATGGCTACTGGGCGTTGCTATAGTATTGCCCATCTATTTTTATAAAATATATATATATGTGTGTATATATATATTTATATATATATGTATTTTTTTTTTTAAAAAAAAGGGGAGGGGAAAGGAAGAAAGGGTAATGCTTATATAAGGGTTAAGCAAACAAACTAATAAAAAAAAAAAAAAAAAAAAGGAATATAATAATAATAAAAATAATAAAAATAATAATAATAATTTTATTTGGTAAAAGATAACATTGTCTTACTAGATGAATGAGACAATTTGAAAATTTTTGTAAGTAGTCTGGGATTAAAATTGAGACTTTGTGGTAATAGTTTGAGAAAGTGATAAACCAGTAGACTATTTTTATTCCATGAAAAGCAACTTGATATGCATATATCTTCAAAGGAGGGAAAGTCACTTTAGATATATACAGTGCTCTCAATGTCAATAAACGATCCTTTTTTTTTTAATATTTGCATCTTTGATCATGCTCAATAAATGAATTTTCTTTTAGCCAATAAATACCATCTGATTCCTTAAAGAAAGAGGGGAGGAGGAGAGTGTGTTTTAATAATTGATTCACAATTTAAAAGTGTGTGTGTGTTTTTTTTTATGAAAGAAACTAGTGGACAATTCCAACTGTGATCATGAATCTTGGTTTTAAGGTTGATTACAGATCAAAGTAAATTCTACGGGAGAAGAATGCTCTTCCTTCTTTTAATATTATTTTATTCGATTTAGGAGACTAATTGAACACATGATTGGGTATCTGATATTTTTATTTTTTTACAACTGGATAGTATTTCACAAAAATGAGTATCATTCTTCATAGATAACAAGTAAGTGAAATCTTTTATGTTTATCAATCGAGCTATACTTTTCAATTTGCTCTACATGCTTCAGTCAGGTTCAAGCCATGTAATCTTTGGCGGCATTCATCAATAAGATTGTTGTTGATTGAGGTTTTGTGAGTGTCGGCAACTTCCAGATTAGCAGGGTAAATTACTTTTTGATTGGTACAAATAGCATTATATACCCGTTCAGCTAGGTCGCGTTTGACACCAGTTCGGAAAGGGAGGTCTGGAAATTCAATTGTGTCAGAAGGCCTCGTAAAGAGATAGCGCAACGTTTTTGGCTTGAAGTTGGCTCCAACATGATTCTCTATAAGCATCTCAAAGCTACGCATGACTATTGAGATTAGTGTGCTATACTGAATGTTGGGGAACTGTTGTTGCCTATTAAAATCTTCTTCTATTTCATTACTAAATTGTAAGAAAGCTTCAGTGATCTCGGCATCGGCATTCTTTTCTTGACCAACAAATAAAGCAGCAAAGTTGTATAGTTTTTTGTGAGTCAGTTTTGGTACAGCCTTGACCAATAATTGATGGGTATCAGCATAAATGACTAAAATAGGAGAAAGGGGATGTCATTTAAGTTTTCATTCTGTAGAATCGGTAGATAAAAAAGATATACATATATAAAAAAACAAAACAGTGGGTTAATCTAGATGCTTGTGTGAGTGTTTATTCAATATAAACTGACTGAAGAACTTTATTGATCCAACATGATTTCCTTTTACATACATTTATCGTTACTTGTTACTTGTATGAATGTAATCATTTGTAATTGTCGGTTTTCTGATCTGCTATTATCATAATATTGGTACCTGTACTACATATGGAACCCAATATTACAGAGCATAAATAATGATTGTAACCAAGACTTGGTGGTTCTAGGTCTTTCTTTCTTACAAATAATAAAAACCCTACATTCTACGTATCCTAATCACTTTACTTGGCTTTATTATTTCAAAAACGATAGTTCACTCACTCTATCAAACTCACAGAAATGCTCCTTATTGCCTTAAGTAATTCGAATCTGGGATGATTGTTCGTTCTGGGATCATTTAAGTTAGGTGAATCATATCCTAATTTGGATGATCATCTTAGTAGTCTGATAGTCTATTAGTGGCCTTTCTTGTTAAATGGAACAAGATTACAGCTTCTTGTTTATATATATACATTCGCCCAAAAAACTAAGCGTGTCTCAATATATCCCACTTTCATGTTGATGCCCCATTTTTGCATTGGTGTCCCAATCCAATTTTGAAACGACCCATTTTTTTCTCATTGGCCCAACCTAGTTTCTTTGACTGTAATAAAATAGACCCGTTATTCTCCTTATTAGTTCAAAGAAAAAAAAATACTTTATTTTATTGGCTAATAGAATAATCCAGTAATTTTTTTTTCTCTCTTTTTTTTTTGGAAAGAAAATATTTTTTTTTATAATTTTTTTTTTTATTCGAATCTAGATCAAAAAGAAAATGGGCAAATATAAAGAGAAAAAGGAGAAAAAGGAAAAAAAGGAAAAAAAGGAAAAAAAGGAAGAACAAGAAAACATTCCTTTAAATATTATTGAAAGGAGTGATCCTTCTGAAGACTATAAAAGACCTGAATTATGTAAGTTGAGATTTGGTTTTAATTGTTGGATCCAAATTCTAATATTTTTTTTTTAAAAAAAAAATAAAAATACAAATTCAACAGTGCAAAAAGCAATTGAAGGTAAATAAACAAATGAAAAAAAAAAATGCAAGTGTTTAGTTGTAGATCATGATCTAATTTCTTGTTATATATAGAGATTCAAGCCGAAATTGCTGAAAAAGAAACAGAGAGTAATGACGCTGAAGTTGAAGAATCAAGTTCAGAAGATTCCGATGAAGAAGAAGATGATGACGCTCAACTGTTGACCCCCGCTGTTGATTCTCAAATTTTCCGTACCATTGCTGCAATCAGAAATAAGGATCCTCGTGTATATGAAAAAGATGTCAATTTTTTTGATGATGCTACCTTTGAAAAGACAGTCAGCAGCGAAAAAAAGGAACGCCCTGTTACCCTTAAAGATTATGAACGTGATATGCTACTTAAACATGGTGGTTTTATAGATGAATCAGAAGAGCTTAAGAAGACAGTAAAGACACATGAACAAGAACAAGAAGAATTAAAGAATGCTTTCAAAGCAGCTGCTGAAGAAGAAGAAGATGATGAAGATGATGATGACGATGATGGATTCTTAACCAAGAAGATTAAAACGGATAAAGAAAAAGAAGAGGAAGAAAATGAATATCATAAATTCTTATTAGAACATATGAAGGATGATGAAGTCTCTAAAAAGACCTTTGAAGAATGGAGTAATTACAAAGATAACCCTAATATTGATCCAGATGATGCCTTTTTAATAAACTATGTCTTAAATCGTGGCTGGGTAGATAAAGCTGGAAACAAGACAGATGCAGACTATTTGGAGGATATTGATAAAGATAAGGATGAAGAATATTTGGATGACGTAGATAGATTTGAAAGCAAATATAATTTTCGATTTGAAGAAGAAGGTTCTTCAACTATTCAAACATATGCTCGTGAAATAGAAGGTACTGTACGTCGTAAAGAAAGTAAAAGAGCAAGAAGAAGAGCAAAACAAAAGGCACATAAAGAAGCTTTAAAGGCACAAAAGATGGAAGAATTAAAACAACAAAAGAACAAGAAGATGAAAGAAATCCATGAAAAACTCAAGGAACTTCGTGATATTACAGGCATCAATGCTTCTGGTTTAGAGGGCATTGATTTAGATGCTGACTTTGACCCTGCTATGTTTGATGCACAAATGAACAGTGTCTTTAACGATGACTACTATGAACAAGGAGAAGCGGATGCTCTTGTAAAACCTGTATGGAATGATGATATCATGGATGCAGATTATCTTCCAGACCATGAAAATCAAGAAGGAGAAGCTACTCCAGTACCATCAAATGAGATTCAAGAAAAAAAGGAGAAATTCCAAAAGCTAATGGATGAATATTATTCACTTAACTATGAAGATGTGATTGGTGGTGATGTATTTACTAGATTTAAATATACAAAGACTGAACCAGAAGATTATGGTTTAACAGCTGAAGAAATCTTATTAGCAGATGATGCTGTATTAAACAAATATGTTGGTATAAAACAACTTGCGCCGTAAGTAGTGTCTACTATTATTTTATTTATACTTGACATATTTATAATAATTTTGCATCTATTCTAGATATCGTCCAGATAAGAAGAAAGCACGTGAAAAGAAATTATTCGAAAAGAATAAGGATGTTAAAAAGAAGGATCTCATAAAGCATATTAATAAGGTTACAAAGCAACTTGAAGAAGAAGAACAAAGAGAACGAAAGAGAAAAAGAAAAGAAATTGAAAAGAAAAAGAATAAGAAGAATAAGAGAGCTAAAACAAAGTAAATAAATGATGTAATATAATAAAAATAAATAGAGTCTTTTTTTTTGTTTTTCGCCTTAGATTTAAAGGGGAGGGAGGCTAAAGACACTTGAATAGTTTTCATACTTGAATCATTTAATATGAGTGAATCAAGCGAAAGAATGTTTTAGTGATTAAAAAAGAAAAAATATCCTTATCTACAGTCTATATAAAAGAGATCATTATATGAAAAGGGAAATTTCATACATTTGAAGTCATTCATTAAATTCAAATCTTGACGATGTTCATTTAAATACATTCACTATCAACATGCTATAGTCTATTAACACTAATTAAACATCAAAGCTCCCCCTTCTCTCTTTTTTGTTTTGAAAGAAAAAAAAAAAGGGTATGAAACAGCATTTATTAAGAATATCTACAAATATTAAATTTCTATTAATTGTGTGTCAGTCTAATGATGATATAAACTACTAACTTTATTAGACTGGATTCTAAGTCACTTTTGTTTATGTTGAACCTTTTCATTGGTCTGTTGGAAATAAAAAGGTTGTCATGACTAAGAGATATGTTTGTTGATTGATTTGACAAACAAGTCACTAACACGGATTAGGGAGAGAGAGAGAAAAAGGAGAACAAGCTCATATATTAATAATGCACGTGCATATAGGTTGCATATAACCTTTTATTAAAATAATATGACATGTAATACTTGTTCTGAGAACTCTCTTTATTTATAATAAGGGAGTTTCATTTTGTTAAAAATTAGCCAATCAAAGATCTGATATATTTTATTTATTTTTTATTTTCACACGTACATGAATTATCTGTTTTCTCTCTCTTTCTCTCTTTCTCTTTTTTTTTTCTCTCTCTCTTACATACATACATACGCACACACACACACACACGCATACACACATATATACCAAATAACATTAACAACAAATTAAGTTGCATGCTTATATAATGTCAACATCTGTTTCTGAAATTAACGACGATGTTCAAAAAAAACGTGAATTGTCCCCTTCTTTAAATGACACTACGACATTGTTAAAAAAGAGTCGTATGGATACCCTCTTTGATACTCCTGTACAATCTCCAGAAGAAGAAGCCAAATATAGTTATATAGGCGCTCAATCGCCTGTAAGAGATACCATGTCATCTAATTGGACTCCATCTAGAATGAACGCACCTATGGTAGATAGACATTCTAGTTGGTTAGATCGCAACTATGGTTACAACCATTCTCCATCAGATCATTTAAGAAGTAACAATAATAATAATCCACAAGAAGGAGGGTCTAGTGGAGTATTTCATGATTTATTTGGTGTTGAGCATAGAATAGATGATGAGGATGATGAGGATGAGGATGAATACGATTATGTAGAGGCCTTTGATGTTGAAGACGATGATGAAATGCGAAAAGAAAGAGGAAGCAGTTTATTTCAACGTTCTCTATATAATGAACTTTTATTAAATAGTAATAACACGCCAATAAATCCAAAAGAGAATAATATACCAAGAAGAAATTCCATATTTGCGTCTATTTTCGAAGATGACTTTGAAAGAATAAGTAAAGATCAACAAAAGTCTGTTATTAAAGAAGAAGAAGAAGAAGAAGAAGAAGGAGAAACAGATAATTATGAAGAAAAGACAACATTACCTCTTACACGACATACCTATAATGACGAAGTGGATGCATTCTTTTCAAGTCATAATCCAGAAGATGAACCTGATGAATATGTTTTATCTTCCTCTTATAAAATGAAAATACTTCGTCGACAACATCAAAGAGGTCCACCGTGGATTACTGATTGGCCTCACTTTTTAACGACAGAATATTTCGAAAATTATGGTCCTGAAGATCGAACGATACCCGATGACGAGAAAGAAAGACGTCAACCTATTCCTGAAGGTGCCATGTTTACACATTATTTTGATGCTAAATTTCCTATCTTGGGTAAAATAGATATAGGTGAATTCTCTGAAGTTTGGAAAGCGCGTTGTCCTGTTACAAATGAATTATGTGCAGTCAAGAAATCAAAGTCCATATTTACAAATTGGGATGATCGATGGCAGCAATTAATTGAAGTAGAAAACCTGAGAAAAGTGAAAGGAAGTGAACATTGTATTGAGTTAATGAATGCATGGGAAGAAAGAGGATTTTTATTTATTCAACTTGAATTCTGTCCTGGTGCAAGGTAATGATGATATTTAATGTGATGTGTAGTCTATTATTATGTAAGAAAAAAAAAATAACAGTTTCTATTCTATGTGTGTAGCCTTGAGAAATACATTAAATTCAAAAAACGTCAAATAGATGAAAATATAGTATGGAAAATATTTTATGAAATTGTACTTGGTGTACAAGATATTCATCAAGCCAACATTGCTCATTTGGATTTAAAACCGTCAAACATATTAATTGCTAAAGATGGCTGCATAAAAATCACGGACTTTGGTATTTCAGTGCAAATCCCTGCAGTAAGTAATACGGGTTTATTGGAAAAAAAAAAAAAAAAAGAGGAGAAAACTAATAAATACATATTTCAGAATATGAAATGGGTAAAAGGAGAAGGAGATAGAAGATATATGGCGCCCGATTTACTTCGAGAAAACTTTGACAAACCAGCTGATATCTTTAGGTAAAAAAAAAAAAAAAAAAAAAAAAATACATATACACATATGTATATACATATATCTATTTTTTGATTCTATTAGATGGGACTTATATAATATATATACATAGTCTTGGACTTATTTTACTTGAATTATCAACCGGTATTATATTACCTGATGCAGATGAAACATGGGAATTATTAAGAATTGGTGACTTCTCCAAGCAAAAGAAAGCTTTGTCAAAAGTATCCTTGGAAATGAGTGAAATGATTGAATGGTTATTAACAACTGAAGCTAAAGAACGTCCAACGATAAAAGATATTATGTCACATCCATCTTTCGTTAAAATTGATAATATGCAAAAAAAGAAAAAACATATGTATTAGCAAGTTATTTAGATGAATTGAATAATGCTGAAGCAGAGAGGGAAGCTCAAAAAGAAGCTGAATTATTAAGAAAAATTGAAAATGGTGAATATGGTTTATCAACTCCAGTTGATAGAATATTTTAATAATTAAAATAAATAACAGCTTATGACACACCACATACTTTCGGCTCTTTAAAAAGTTGATATTGTTATTAATGTGAGACAGGAGAACTCTCGTAGTCGCCCTTTTTTTTTATTTTTGTTGAGTTTCTTTTCTTTTTTTTTTTTTTTTTCTATCCTTTTCTCTCTTTTTCCTTTTCTTTATTATTATTATTAATAATAAATGTCTACACCTGTCGATAATAGTACATCTCAAGCAGCTCAAGCTCAAGCAGCCGCTATGAACATGCTTGACTTGGTAAAGAATAAAGCCAACTATTATTTAACTTCCTTGGATAGAGAGCTTAGTAAACACGAGTGTGCTAATGAAATTGAACGTCGTACTGGTTTGCCCAAGGCCTATGTTGTCCTTGGTACTGCCTTTGTTTGTGTTTTGATGATTTTCTTTAATCTTGCCGCTCAACTATTAACAAATGCTCTTGCTTGGGTTTATCCTTGTAATATATATAGATATATAATAAAAAATAAAAATAAAACGCGTCTAATTTTTTTTTAATTCTATAATAGCTTATGCTTCATTCAAGGCTATCGAATCTCCTTCAACTACGGATGATACTCAATGGTTGACTTATTGGACAGTGCTTGGTTTTGTTCAAATAATTGAATACTTTTCTGATATTTTGCTTTATTGGTTCCCCTTCTATTATACTTTTAAGACTATTTTCATTCTTTGGCTTATCTTGCCTCAATTTAGAGTAAGTTCATCAAGTTATAACTATATATATATAAAGAGAGAGAGAGAGAGAATATGCTTATTTATTATAATAATTACTATTAGGGTGCTCAATTTGTTTATGAACGTTTCTTACGTCCTTTCCTTTTGAATGCTCAACCTAGTATTGAACGTCATACTAACGCATATACAAGTCAATTTGGTGCTACACCTGTCGAAAAGACTCAGTAATGGATTACATAATTCATTCTTCTTTTTTTTTTTCCTCCTTTGTTGTTTCATAATATAGACATAAATTTCTATTACATATATGAATATGTATATGTATAAGAATACAACTATATGATTTCTATACTGCATAAAGAAGATTGTATAGATACATGTCTTTTTCTTTTAAATTATTTTAGATGTATGAAATAAATCATATCTCCGAGTTATTTATATATGAAACATAAAAAATAATAGAAACCATGGATAGATTTTTATTGTTTTGTAATCAAATAATAATACAGATTATTTTATTTTCATTGCATTGAAGCAGACTATTAAAAAAAAAAAAAAAAAAAAAAAAAAAAAAAAAAAAAAAAAAAGGAGACTCTAGGTGTGTGTTGAAGAAATCATATGATCAATTCATCAGACAGAATTTGTGTAATCTTAATGCTAAACGTACGTTGTTCATCACAATAGTTTTTCTAAAATTATATACAGCGAGAACGGTCACATTGCAAAAAATTAAATGTCCTTTTACTGAAAAATAAATTCTACTCTGCCCAAAGTGAATGGCACTAAGCTGAAAATAATTGTCCTTAAATAAAATCTACTTTGTTTATTCATGCCAATAAAATTTGTCTTTTTGATTGAAGGGGGAGGGGGGAAATGTCACAATAGATTAAATCAAATTGGCTATAAAAAAAAAACAGTATAAACTTTTAAAGATTTTAAAACTGGTCGACTTTTCTTTCTTCGCTTTTGTTTCAAAGCTTCGCAAAAACGAATATATATTTTTCTTTTACAAAGATGAGTAGGAAAATATCTATAACGAACAGGAAAGAATTTTTTTCGACCCTATGGAGGATGTTCTAGCGCAGATCACAAATCTCAACATTGTACTGGAAATTATTATCTCTCAAAGCTCCTATTTAGACACTCACAAGTCTATTGAAGAAAAAAAAACGGGAAGAAAAGCGATAATAAAAAGCCAAAAAGGCCGTTACCCAAACTAAAAATCAAAGCGTACTACTTATTACACTGATTATAACGATAAGACAAGAGAGATATTTATGAATCGAACGCTAGAAAAATGCTGAGTTAAGAGGAAGGACAATCTGATTTGCAAAGGAGCTTGATATCAAGCCTCGTACTGCTCGACGATGGTGGGAGCATTTCTAAAAAAGAATATATGTATATACATATATATATATATTATATAAACTTTTAGAAAAGAATGCTGGCTGTAAAAGCTCTTTCACATTTGAACACGAGGAATACATTCAAAATCTACTTGACGAGGATTCTCAGCTTTACACTGAAGATGTTATTAATAACTTATCTAAACATTTTATGGAGGTCTCTATTTCTAAAACGCAACTTATCCATCGCTTTGAGAAACAACATACTAGTGCCAATCAAAAAGCCTACATTTGGACCCCTAAACCAGAAGCTCTGTCAGCTATTATTTACAGACAAAACACGAATGGTTCATGGAATGGAAAGAGTCTGATTTAGATTTCATAAAAAAAAACAGTGTCTTTATTGACGAAACTAGATTTTATACTAATTTGAGGCGTAAATAGGCCAGATCCGATATTGAAACACCCGCCATAGTAAAGATACCAAAAACTAAAGTCCCATTACAGACAAACACTGATGCTATACACGCACTTATTGTCATTCATGTAGCAATAAAGAAGTCACCACAAAGAAAAGATAGGGGGCCATGCAAGAAAAAAAGTGAACAAAAGTAAAGAGCGTGCTTGCAGATGAGTTTAATAGAGAGAAACTAATCATAGAGTACGTTGGTATTAATGATAATAATGCTCAGGATAATATCCACGTCTGTAACCAAGAGTACAACAACTGTGCACTTTATCAAACGCATTCATATTCTGCTTAATTTTTATGAATTTTATTGAAAAACTAAAGGGAAACTACATCATTATGTACAATCCGTCATTCCATAAGTTTTTATTGATTTAAATACATTGTTGAATTTCAAAAAAAAAAAAAATACATTGACTTAACGAGTCACTTTTAATATTTTTTTTGGCGAGATAAACGACTTGACAAACAGTTGCCGTCTTCTAGGAGGAGATCCAGGAGAAGATTTTATTTTGAATACTTTCAAGCATTTTTTAGGACTATTATTTATTAACACCTAAATATATAAATAAGATAATTTAACAAAAAAAAAAAAAAAAAAAAAAAAAAGCAACCAAAAATGAATAATTTTTGACAAGTTTGTGCATTTATTTATATAATCTGCATATAAAAAAAAATAGTATTTAAGATCTGGGCTTTTCCTTCTTTTCCTTGTACAAAGCAAGAAGGGAAACACCAGCGACCTTGACGACCTTGAAACGGACACCAGGAATATCACCAATAGCACGACCCTTACGACCGAAACCAGCAATCAAAACTTCATCGTTTTCATCAACATAGTTCAAACAACCATCGTTGGGAACGAAAGCAGTGACCTTCTTACCATTCTTAATGAGTTGAACACGAACACACTTACGAATAGCAGAGTTAGGTTGCTTAGCTTCAACACCAATCTTTTCAAGAACAATACCCTTAGCGTGAGAAGAACCACCGAAGGGAGAAGAACGGAAAGCGGTACCGAGGGCTCTCTTCTTGTATTGTTTATCAGCCCAACGTTGATCACGACGATGAATACGGAGCTTACGAGCTGCGTTCAAACCTCTAGGTTGTCCCTTACCTAAGATATAATAATAGATTAATAACTTAATTCCATAAAAAATATCATGTCAATTAATGAATTTAGCAGCTTTTTTTTTCTGAAAAAAAATAATATGGAAATAGATAAAATGAATGTTGTTTTTTATTTTTGCTCCTTTGTTAATGTAAATTCCAAGTCGATATATATATATTTATAACTCTCCTGGAGCTGTATGTACAGTACAAATAAAGAACGTTACTGAATATTCGAGTCCATCAATTTAATTGAATGCTTTCATATACACATTTGAATGAATTATATATGCTTCTTGTGCGCCATTCCTATAATGTCTTTTTTTTTTGACAGCCGAAACTTTTGAATTTCGAAATTGCCCAATCTATATACCATCCATCCCATTCTCTTTATCCATATCCATTTTATCTATACGCTAAATCCATTAATTGACATGTTTGATTATTACGCACCCATGATGGATTATATTCAAAAAGGAGGAATATTATTATTTCTGCTTTTCGTTAATAATTTTGTTGTTTTTTTTTTTTTTTTTGTATTTTTTTACGCTGCGCCTGCAATACGAAATTACATTATCTAATTTTCTTTGGTTTATTTCATGTCCGAGTCGGAACAGAATCGAAGTGATATTTTTATCGGAAATAAATATTAGTGTTGAATAAAATTTTTAAGCACCATAATCAAATAATATTGTATTACTTGAGAGAGATCAAAGAAAAAAAAAAAAAAAAAAAAAAAAGCTAACAAAGAAACTAAAAAAAAATCTTTTGGTAATCAAAAGGGAAGAAGAACAGAGGACTGTATAAACATTTGATCAAGTCAGTATAAGGAGAGGGCATGATTTTAAGACGAATTCTACGATGGTAAAGATAATCAAGATTAAAGAGTATACTACATACTGCAAACCAGCAAATAATCCTCGAAGGAATAGAGAAGCTGTTTCATGCCATATGTGGCCTTTTATATTTGTTGAGAAAATGTTGAAGTAGAAAAAGTTGTCATAGTTTACGTTTTATCCAAAAATTATTGAGATACATTGAAAAAAAAAAAGAACTCTTTCATACAGGAACATGAATAACCAATACATACATATCATACGTATATTTATTTATTTACTATACTTATATTGAGATAATAATGTGAGAGATTGATAAACATAGATAATACATTAATAGCCAATAAAATTATAATCAACTTATTTCTTAGTCTTACCGTCAATGCATCAGCTTGCCTTTACGTCAACTAGATGGCTTTATTTTATTTTTCGTGTATTACTGTTGGTGACTACAGTCTCCTTTTTATTTGATAGGAGTGGGGGGGCAATGGTAGAGGAGAAGGTTTTCACAAAATATACTGGTCTTGAAAGAGTCTGTAGACCTTAATACAGACACAATGTGTCGAAAGTTTAAAACAGCAACTCTATCATGAGTCCAAAGTTCATGCTCAGCAGAATTCAAGCTGTTTTCGGTGGCACACTTATTAAATACTACTAATCAAGTCTGCTTTTCACCCGTTGAAATACGAAAACAATTACCTGAGAGATACATGGTAAAGAGCCTTTGAATTTTTTCGCTTTTTTTTTGTTATTGTTGTTGTTGGTTTGTCTAGAAAAGAACTAAGAATACCTGAAGTCAAGATGTAAATACTGTATTAGTCAATATATAATGATGTGTTATAAAACACTCAGTAGTAATATCTATTATATTGTTACAATAAAATAGATATCGAATGAGTAGATTGATGACCTTAATATACACAAACATGACTGTTTCCTTCTTTAGACATATACTATGTACATATAAAAAATTTATAGTAAGACAAACTAACATATAGTTGTGCCTGAATGACGAACATATCACAATCGATCTGTGTATCCTAATTCTATTGTGTGTTTTATACATGTTTGTATTTTATTATAATATACAAGCCGAAATACATACAGGCATATATATATTTATATATGAGAGCTTATAAATGAGTAGATATCAAATTATTTTGAAATCTATAGATATTGTTGTATTAAACATCATAATAAGAAAAGATGTATATTGCTTTAAACATCCTACTATTATCTATTATATAATAACATTTTGCTATTCAAGAGAGAAACATACTAGATACAAGGGCCTTTCCTTTTTTTTTTTTTTTTTTTATGCATTCCACTATTCATTTATTCTATATAGAGGAATTTCATCCTTTTTCAATATAAAAATATTAAATTCTTTTTTTTTTATCTTCTCTATCTACATTATTGCTATGATGACAGCTGATATTTCAAAGGTGTTACCCTATTTTTGAAATAGACATATCTATTATTATGATGGCCATTCTTTATTTATTAGCTATGTGAAATTAATATATCTAAATTAAAACTTATACGGTTATACATTGTGGATTGTACAATTAGGTCATGGTCTCTTATGTCAAGCTAAATGTATACAGATATATGTGTATAGACATGTGGTCTAAGAGTAAGGTATTAGGGCTGTGGGCATATATCACAAAAGTTTAGATTTCTCAAATCCTAAAGAAGCATTTAATTTGTATAAGGTTTACAAAATATAGCATTCTTCGCAATAATGATCACCGTATTCAAAGGAACAAATATGTATATGAATAAGAAATTTATACATATACAATGAGTAGATATTGGGGGGAGGGAGGGAGGAAGTGTAACGATATGAAGTATATAAAAGAAACCTATTTTTTCTTTCTATCAAATCTAATACAATACATACATACATACATACAAAAAAAAAAAAAAAAAAAAAGGAAATGAAACTTTTAAACCCATTATTTGTTTTTTCTAGTTTTGTAGCAAGTACTATTGCTCTTAATGCAGCATCCATATCTGATTGCCCTTCTTTAACTCCAAGAACAGGACCTGCAAAAGATATTACAGATCTTCGTATTGATGATATAAAAGTTGTAGGCGCATTAGGAGATAGGTACATACTTATTTAGATTGTCTATAACATTCTATTTACATACATAAAGTATCATGGCAGGATTCGGTATGCACGGTGTTGATTATGAAGGCTCCGGAATTATTAATATAAGCCTTATAACTGAATATCGTGGCAAAAGTTATGCTGTTGGTGGTGATACAGATGCGATCACTATTGCTAATTTTATGAAACACTATAATCCAGATATTGAAGGCGCCTCTGTACTTTCCCATCTTGCTTCATTGTGTACTGGTGGGAATTGTACTTTACCACTATCATTTTGTAAGTCAGTTAAATTCATAGAATTAAATAATCGTTCATAGTAATGACTTGTAAATATGATAGATCGACCTTTAAGGGATAACCTAAATGGTGCTCAAAGTGGTGCCATTGCCAAGAACTTGGATTATGAATTGGACTATCTTATTCTTCGTAAGAATCTAGTTCTAGTTTTATAATTGTATATGATTCTAACTCTTCTGCCATTACAGGTATGAAGTCTTATATCCTTTCGACTAGCTATAAAAATGATTGGAAAATGATTACTATTCAAATTGGCAGTAAAGTATTCATCTATATTATATATTGACATTTTTATTATAACGATACTATAAATACAAATATAGGTAATGATCAATGTAATACTTGTAAAACTGGCTCTAGTGTTAATCATGTCACTCCCGAAGCGTATGGAAATTATGTTGAAGCAGCCATTAAACGTATTAAAGATGAAGTACCAAAAGTTATTGTGAATTTATGTAAATATATATATATATATATGCATGTATAATTATTTTATATATATAACTAACTGTTATTTGAAATAAGTGGGTACTTTTAAAGTATCAGGAGTATATCCCTTGACTCATGGAAATGCTTATTGTGTACCTAACGGATTCTTAAAGAATACAGATGAATGTGAGTGTTTTAGTTCTGCTGAAAACATGGCTAACATGGACAAAATTTCTGATGGTAAATAAATAAATAATTAAACAAATATAATAGGATCAATCTCATATATTTATATCTACAACATAGCTTATAATACAAAGCTACAAGCTATTGCTAACAAATATAAAGGAACGACCAATGGTACCTTTGCTGTTATGTATAATCCTATGCCTATTGATTTATCAAGTTTCCCTATTGATGCTCTAAGGTTTACATACATATATGGCTGTATAAATTAGAATAAAATGCTTACTAACACTAACTTATAGTAATATTGATTGTTTCCATCCCAGCTTAAAGGCTCATCGATGGATTGCAAAGGTAAATCAAATTTCTAACAATTGAATATATGACTCATGTATGTTAAAAATGTATACAGGCTGTTTGGAATCAAATGTTCTTAAAGAGTGTATCAAAGCCTTCAGACATGAAATTTAATGATAAACTTCAGGTAAATAAGAAAATGATTTAAATGTATATAATATATCAACTTATCGTTTTCTATATTATTATTTGATAGGTGTATTGTCCTACTGATAACGACAGATTACCTGTTGCTTAAATCGGCCCTTTTTTTTAATTATTTTTACTATATAAAATATGACTTCTTACATCAATTTTACTTGATTGCAGTAGTATTTTTTTTTATCTTTATTTATTATTGTGTTTTATACATGTATAAATATATGAGCTATGAGCTAATGGTTGCTTTTTGGGAAGGTTTCCTAGTAGTACAGTATTACTGTCTTTATTAAATTCTGCAACAAAAGACATAAACTAAACTCTGCAGAATGCTTCACAACTCTACCATCATTGGTATAGAAAGATTCACCCCCTGAAGAGTACATATTGTTTTTTGAATCTAGTTTAGTTAGTATATATATACATACATACATATATATATACTATATTTGCTTCTTGTCTCTTGGAGTAACTTTCTTCACTAAAACATTAGACTCATTTATAATATTTTTCATTTTAACTTGTAAGACAGACTCAAAATCGATTATGGTTTCAATTTTATCGAAATCTATTTTATTGGAGGAGCTCTCTCTCTCCTTTTTTTTTTTTTTTGCCATTCAATATGATGACTCATTTGCTGAATTGGAATGGAAGGAGTCTACGAAGGGGGGAGGGTCCTTTTTTTTTCTTTGTTAGTTTAGGATTACTGTTTGGTAATATGTCTTAAAAAAATGAAAGAAAGGCAAAATACATGTGTTCAATAATAATTTGATTGGTTTAAAAAAGCTGTATTTGGAAGGGGGAGGTATTACTAACAAAAATTTGTTTATTTTGTTGACAGTATTTATTATATACTTGACTTCAAAACAATAGAATTTGTTTGGCTGAAATTGAATTAAAAATAAAATAATTTCAACTTTTTTTTTTTTTTTTTTTTTTATTTAATTTCTTTTTTGTTTTTTAGTATTTCTTACAAACACATTCATTTCGATAAAAGATGACTACTTCGAATTCGGAAAGAGCACCACTTTTAGGTGCTCAACTTCCAAGTGATGGAAATGTAGTGTCTTATACCTATACTCAGCAAAATTGTACAAATGTGACTTTGAAGGATCGCTCAGCAGCAGCATTAACAAAAAAAAAGTTATGGTTTGCAGTTGGCTTGGCTTGTCTTTTCTTTACAACTGAATTAATTGCCGGATATTTTGCTAATTCTTTAGGTAAACTATAAAAAGAAGAAAAGGCCTTTTTTTTACTTGGAATCCACTGCTAACAAAAAATTTTAAAACGTATGTAGCTTTAATGTCCGACGCGTTTCATTTGTTATCAGATGTTGCTAGTTTTATCGTCGCTCTTGTTGCTATTTATTTGGCAGAGAAGCCAGCAACGAAAAGTAAGGTTTAATTAAAGGTTATTGTTAATCTCATTTACTTAGGAGGATGTTTTTTCTTTTTTTTTAGAGCATACATTTGGATTTCATCGTGCAGAAGTGATTGCTGCTTTAGTTTCTGTTTTGACTATTTGGATTCTTACAGGATTCTTAGTAAATGAGGCTATTCAACGTATAAAGAATCCTCAAGTAATCAATGCTAAGTTGGTATGATTAAACTGTGTATGATTTTTACGATTTATATTCATATCTTTTTTTTTCAATGTAAATTTAGATGTGCGTTACTGCTATAATTGGCGTTTTGGTAAATGTCATGTAAGTTTTGATTATTCATACAAAAATATACATGTATATTAATAAGCATATTAGCTTGGCCTATGTATTAGGTGGACATCATCATGGACACTCTCATGATGGACACTCTCATGATGAAGAAGACCATTCAATTACAACCATTGGTAATGAAACCAATTCTCATGTGCCTCATAAGGTATATAAAGACATATAATAGTTATTTCGAGTGTGGATATTTGGTATTCATATATTCTTATAGGAAACTAATATTAATCTTCGAGCTGCTGCTCTTCATGTTCTTGGTGATTTATTAGCATCTGTTGGTAAGATTGAAAGAGGGATAAAGAGTCAAAGATGATTAATTTTATTATGTGTGTTTTTTTTAGGCGTCTTGATTTCTTCAGTTATTCTTATTTTTAAACCCGAATATACCATTGTTGATCCAATGTGCACCTTTTTGTTTTCAATTTTAGTTTTATATACAACTTATCATCTCGTACAAGATTCATTAGCTGTGCTTATGGAAGGCGTTCCTGGTAATATTCATCCTGATCTTATTGAGAAATCCCTTTTAGAAGTTCCTGGCGTTATTGCTGTACATGATTTACATGTTTGGACTTTGTCTCCTGGTAAATACTCTTTGACTGCTCATATTAAAGTAGATCAAAGCGTTTGTAGTTATGATGAGGTCTTATCTAAAGGTCAACATATCATTTGCGATCTATTTGGTGTACATCATTCTACTCTTCAAATTGAATCTGATAATACTGGTTTTACAAGTCATTGTAACCCAGAATTATGCTCAGTTCAACAAACTCATTAAAAAAAAAAAGAAGTATATATTATTTACATTTTATTATTTCCATACGTTATATAATAAGCACGCAAATCTTTGTTACATTATAATCATACATACATTTTTTTTTTTTTTTTTTGGGAGCGAATATGTAATAAAAATATAACCTGTTTCTCTAACTTGCATTATATACAATTGAAGTGACTCTATAGTAATTTTAAACAGGTGTTTTTCAAGTAAAATTACTACTAATATTACGTGGAAGATTTTATGTACATCCTAATGATGATGATTCATTCCTCAAATATACTATGTGCATAGCTACTCTATTTTTATGTCTACCACGGATAGTTTTTTTTTTTTTTTTTTTTTTATACAAATGTACATAAATAAATCTTTTTTTCTTTTTTTGTCCATTATAAATTAAAGTAATTTAATAGAATAAACAATTTATATAAAAACAAATACTATAAAAGTTGTGTTAGAGATTGACTATGACTCTCTTTTTGTTATTTTAAAAGTCAAATAACACTAATAAATGTGAAACACGTTCTCCTCTTTTTTTTTTTTTTTTTTAAAAAAAAAAAAGGGAAAAAATAGTATAATTTTTATTTCATTTATAATAATAATAATAATAATAATAATAATAATAAAAGTATTGATGTATGCCTCTGCTAAAACACTTTAATTACGTGCTCACGATATATACATATATATAGGACATATATACACATATATATAGAACATATATACATATATATAGAACATATATACACATATAGATCATGATAAATAGCTGAATGCAAATATTAATCTAATCCTAGTTAGGGATATGTTTGGTACCAAAATCCGACAATTTGTAGAAGCTATTGAAGAGGACATGATATGGATAAATGTGACTGGACAGTCGACTAACTTCCTCTAGCACTGAAGCGGACTCCAATACTAAAAAAAGCTTCTATGCCACAGTCATAGTGGCACGGGCAACATGTATGAATCGTACCATCCATGTCTCTTAATAACTTACTACAACTACTATGTAGTGACTACTATGTAGTTTGAACTAAAGAAAAGAAAAGAAAAGAGAAAAAAAAAAAAAACAGATAATCTCAGATAAACTAATAAAATTAAAAGGTCACAACATTCATCATCGTTATTAATTGTTATTGGCTACAATTTTTTTTTCATGCATAATAGTAATTAAAAAAAAGGGGGGGAGGGAAGAGATCATCAGCGTATATTATAGTTTTTTTTTTCACATTATACTATATATCTTGCTTACTATTACTCTTATAATAAAATTCTTTATTTAATAGAAAAAAGAAAAGAAAATGCATACATGTAGTATACTCGTATCATTTATAGAAGAAGAGGGATATTTTATAGTAAAAAAAAAAATATGTGTATATGATAAGCATATAATATTATAACAGATGCATTTTTATTATTTGACAACATTATCATCAACCCTATACAACAAACACTAAACATGACATGAAAATGATGATTTATTTGACAACAAAAAATAGACAACAAAATTAATAAAATCATTTTATATATACACATATTCAAATAGATGCTGTCTTGTTGAATTTATCCTCTTTTTGTGTGTGTATAAAATATACCTTAATAAAGGAATTGCTATAGAATAAGCTCTGGATATAAGCATAAATAATATTATAAAAGATGGATTACATAACACAGGATAAACGATAAAATATATCATATCTTACTGTATATAACATTTTATAAATAATATAATATAAAACTTATTGACATTCAATCGTCTAGATGTATAAATTATATTTTTATAACCTTGACAAAGGATTCAGGTCGTCTTTGATCCAATACAATAAAATATAAAAAGACATCAGGAACCTATACTTAAATCAAACAATTTAAAACCTTAATCAGGTCATTATAACGCCCAATAGATAATAATATATATAAATCAGTAGCTTGAATCAACAATACGTATATATCTGCTGAATACTAACACTGTTTCAAGACTCATTAATATAAATACAAGCAATTGGTATAGACACAAAATAGTCTTTATATCATTCTTTTTACATTGAATAAACAAGTCACAAACTATACTGTACTTCTTTTTAGTTTTCTTTCTTTTTTTTTCTTCTTTAAATCATACCGTCAATTAAGCATATATTAAAGTCATATACTCTAGTTTATACTTGTATAATGTATACTATAGATCATACCGCAACATAATATTTTTTATTTTATATACTCTATATATACCATTATTTACAAATCAATAAATAAAATTCTTTATCATTATCTCGTCTATGCTGTTGTCAAATTGGACAGCATATATTATTATTTGTGTGTAAAATAATTTATTCATATAATTTTAGGCAGTCAAACATTATATAGGTTAACATGTTTAAGTCAACCCCATAAAATTCAAAAGGTTGTCTGCGCAAGTTTTTTTTTTTTTTTTTTTTAGAGCTGAACTTTAATTTCCTTCTGTTGCATTAACTGACTCCAAAAAAAAAAAGGTACAATTTGATTTTATGTGTATATATTTTTTTAAGAGGAAAAACCATTCCAAAATAGTAGTAAAAAGATACATGTTGGCTCACATTAGTGCTAATCATTCATTTTTTTTTTTTTACATTTTATATTTTATATGATATCATAAAATAGTATAAAATCAGAGAAAAAAAAATTATGTATAATAATAAATTACGTATTATAATAAATAAAAAGTAAACCATATACAAAATTAGAAGCAAAATGCCTTATATGTTGTTTAATGATGTAATATGATATGAATAGTTAGTTAAAATTTAAAATTGGGCAAGTGTAAACACTTCTTTGTTACACTCCCCCATTTTTTTTTTTTTGTAAAAAAAAAAAGTGTTTTCATAATTTTTATTTTTTGAGCACGTAAAAAAAATGAGTCGCGCTTTTTTTTTTTTTTTTTCATTCAAAAAAAAAAGTTTTCAAAGCATTAGTCTTTTTTTTTCTCCTGAAATTTACACATCCAAAAAACCACGCTCAAAAAGGAAATTTTTATTTAATTGGTTCTTGTTCCCCCCACCTTTTTAACTATTATTTTGCAAATGAAAAAAAAAGATGTTGTTTTTTTTAAAAAAAAAACATGAACTCAAATTTATTCTGATGGGGAAAATTGTACGCGATGCATTGTTTTTTTTTTAACTTTTGACAAAAAAAATAACTTACTCCTGTTTTTTTTTTTTAGGCAGAAGCTTGACACATTTTTTTTACTGAACTTTAATTCTTTTTTGCTGCATTAACTGACTTCAAAAAAAAAAGGTACAACTTTTTTTGATGTCTACATGCATTTTTTTTTAAAAAAACCCCCCCATTCCAAAAAGATGATAAAAAGTGACATATTATATTGGCTCACGTTAACACTAGTCATTCATATTTTTTTTATTTTACATTTTATTTTATAAAATAGTATAAAATCATAGAAAAAAAAATAAATATAATAATAAATTAAAAGTAAAATACATACAAAATTAAAGACAAAATGTATTATATGTTGTTTAATGATGTGATGTGATATGATGAGTTAAAGTATAAAACTGGGCAAGTGTAAACACTTCTTTGTTACACCCCCCCCATTTTTTTTTTGAAAAAAAAAAGTGTTTTCATAATTTTATTTTTTGAGCACGTAAAAAAAGAATCGCGCTTTTTTTTTTTTTTTTTTTTTTTTTTTTTGAATGAAAAAAAAAGTTTTTAAAGCATAAGTCTTTTTTTTTTCTCCTGAAATTCATACATCCGAAAAAACCACGCTCAAAAAGGAAATTTCCGGTTAATTGGTTCTTCTTCCCACACTTTTTTTATTATGATTTTGCATATGAAAACAAGATATAGTTTTTTTTGAAAACATGTAATCAAATTGATCTCAAAAAGGAAAATTGTACGTGATGCATTGTTTTTTTTTCTTTACTTTTTGACAAAAAAAAGGAGTAAAGTTCTTTTTTTTTTCTTTACTGAATGAAAGAGTTTATAAAAAAAATCATTTTATTTCCTTTTCCTTCCCTTTTTTTTTTTCTTTAATTAAATTATTTTCTAAAAATGTTTAACTGTAAGTATACTAATAATATATAAAATATGGGATATAGAAAAAAAAAAAGGGGTGATCATTGCTATGATTCTAATATAATTTTTTTTTAAACAAATGATAGTCTTCTCTCGCTCTTATGCTTCGTCCGCTGCTTCAACAGCAGCATCAACTGTTTACTATGCCGCTTCAACAGCGGCTTCAACTGCTTACGCGGCCTTGACGGCTACTTTCTTTCCTTCTCCTCCTCCTCCTCCTCACACCACCTGGCAGGCCGGTGGTGATGAATCCGACGATATAGCTGGTCTATTTTCTTATACTCTTCCTCCTCCTCTCTCCTCCGATGGCGTTGACGCCTTTCCCTTTGGTGCTGGTTCACTTGATAACGATGAAAATCGTTCTACATCGCGCTGGTCGCATGCTCTTCCTGGTGAAGAAGATCATTCTGTTTCGCGCTGGTCGTATGCTCTTCCTGGTGAAGAAGAAGATGGTGGTCAACAGACCGCCATTTTGTTAAGAGAAGATGTTGTGTCGCGCTGGTCGCCCCCACTTCCTGGTGAAGAAGACGCTGTTTCGCGCTGGTCGCCCCCACTTCCTGGTGAAGAAGAACCTGTTCCGCGCTGGTCGTTTGTCCTTCCTGGTGAAGAAGAAGATGGTGGTCAACAGACCACCATTTTGTCAATAGAAGATGTCGTTTCGCGCTGGTCGCCTCCTCTTCCTGGTGAAGGGGATTCCTCTGCTTCCTGGGTGTCCTGGCTCTCCCCTGAAGAGTCTCCTCTCGCTGCTGACATGGTCTCTCTCAATGGGCCATCCTCTCCGGCCTCCATGAAGTCTGAAGAAATGGATTTGGACATTGACTTCATGGAGGTCGATGATCCCGTAGATTTCCTCTGCGAAATCTTTGAGGGGATGGTCTTGGCTGCCACCGACGGTGATCCTATGGAAGGAATAATCTTTGGTAACTTCTAGGTCGGTGGTGGCCTTCCGAAAAGCAGTGAGAAGGAGGCTTTTGTTACAAGAAAATCAAAACTGCTACTACTACTGAAGCCAGGGCACCCTTTGTAAATATTGTGAATAGTCTTTGTATATACTTTTGTAAATATTTTTTTTTTGTACATATTCTTTGTAAATATTTTTTTTTCTTTTGTATATATCTTTGTAAATATTTTTTTTTCTTTTGTATATAATTTTTATTTTATTTTATTTTATGCCCCCTTTTTTTTTTATTTACTTTATGCCCCTCTTTTTTTTACTTTTTTTTTTTTATATTTACTTTATGCCCTTCTTTTTTTTTTTACTTTTTTTTTATTTTATTTTATGATTACGTTTTTTTTTTTATTTTTTTATGATTACCTTTTTTTTTATTTTTTTTATATTTACTTTTTTTTTATTTTATTTTATGATTACTTTTTTTTTCTTTTATTATTGCTCAAAAATTTTTAAAAATAAATAAATTGCTTCTATATTTTAACCCAAAAAAAAAAGTTTACTAGTATGTTTGATAAAGAATGCTAACATGATCCATATTTGAATTTTAGTATTTTATTAAAAAAAAAAGTAGTAGCAGATACATGGGTCAATTGATATAGACTAAAAGGTAATTGTGAATACGATAAAGTAGATTGATAGAATAAGCTACCAAGTGATAATAGTGTGCATGTGAATGTCAAATGCATGTTGATTGATGATGTCGAGTAAGTTAAAGTGAAATGCACCCACTTTTTTTTTATTAAAATTATATCCTAACATGTTAGAATTTATTCTATTGTATGATGATCCAAAAGAAAAAAAAAAAAAAGGGGGAATACTCTTCACTTGTCGTTATATTAATTTGAGGAATCATTATTACAGGAAATGTAAATTATATGGAAAACCGGTAAACTTTAATTTATTTGTACTTCTTTTATTAAATTAAAAAAAAACACAAACATACACACATACTTTTTTTTTCTATTGCAAAATGTGATTCTATAATGTAGATGAACAAAGTTGGAATTGTCACCAAGATCACTTTGTTTCAATTACTGGGTTAAAATTTCAAATGGAATATTGATGAGATTCTAGATAAAATAGTTGCTCAAAGTTATCATTACAAGAATAAAACCACTTTTTGTTAATAGGAATAGAATCAAGTAGTTTTATGATTCATTCATGAGAAAGTGGAAAAATCTAGTTTCAATACTACTATAAAAGGTAACTATGGTTTATAAATTGGAATGATTTTTTTTTTTTTGTTAAATACGATTATAGGATGCTTCTTTTATTATTAGTATCATAGTTTAAATGTTCTAAAAGGATCTAGTCTAAATTTAAGCTCTTTTAAACGAGTACTGGTGGGCTCCCATTTCTTAAATAAAGTCAACATGGTAGACAAGTCTTCTTTAAGAGACGTATTTTCTAATATATTTGAATCATGACAAATAGCATGCAAAGCCCAAGGTAAATAAAATGGATTCAATTGCTGTTTAGCAGTAAAGGGTATTAGGGTGGGTTCTAGGAGAATGGATGATTCAGGTCCTGTTGTTCTTGGAGAAGAATGTACAGATCGTATACGATTTCCAAAAGGCGCAGTTCCAAATGTATATTGAACAGCAGTTAAATAAACACCTATCTCTTCGTAAATGGTGGAATGTCCTCCTTCGAGAACATATAAACTTCCTGCAAGTATATCACTTAAATAGACCAAGAGATCATGATCAGATAAATCCATATTACGTAACCGTAAAGCAAAAACAATCAACCGAATCAAAAACTCATTATCAGATGTAGAATAAAGATGATGATCAATATAAAGCGTTCGTAAGAGAGAAGGATGCTGGACGGAGGACATGAGAGCTGAATGAAGTGGTACGACTTGATCCTGCATTGAGCCAGTCAAGACAACTTTAACTCCATTTTTTAATACGTAGTCTACAGACTGTCGATATTTAATTGAAATAGGGCTTTCTGAATCCATAAACTCGAATAATTCACGAGCAGCATCTGCCTCAAAATACTACTTTGGTAATTAGGATTAGATATGGTGTCTTTTTTTTTTTTTTTTGTTTATTTATACATATATATCTATTTATATCACTTACCTTTACAACTAAATTTCCTTTTAAAGCAGGAAAAGGACCTTGAGAAATGCCTGCCATAGCTAAAACAGTGATGGATTGTCGAATAAGATGAACATGACCTCTTTCTAGCAAACGATGCAATAACATGAGTGATACAGGTGTACCTTGTGAATGAGTAGCCCACATTATGACGTCTGCAGATGAGACAGCCTCTAACCATTCAGAATTATCCAACAATTGACTATATAAATGATTCACTCGATCTTCTACTTTGCCTTCCCCTTCTAAAGGGACTAATGTAATAGCATCATCAGGTAATATGACCTGGTGTTCTGACTGAAAATAAAGTTTTATTGCAGCCAACATTTGCTCACAGAATTTAATAGAAGTCCCAGTTGGCTCACCAATCATACTACGAACCAGCTAATGATAGGATAGGATAGGATATACATACATGAGTAATAATAATATTATATAAATGTATCTTCTTTTGGATCTGATTACCTTCATCGGGAACCAACCATGAACACCAACAATCACCATACGCTTATTTATCATCATTGCTTTCTTTATAGGATCTTGACTGGATAAAGATGAAGATTTGATATCTTCAATAAAGTTTGCAAATTTATTTTTCATCTTTGTTGCAATCCAATTAGATGGTGATGATGTTGTTGTTGTTGTTACATTACTAATGTCATCAAGACATGGCTTTGGTGGTATCAAGATAGAATTGATAGCATTTATAATTCTTATAAAAAAGTGAGGTGTAGTAGTAGTAGTAGAGGGTGGTGAAGATGGAGTAATAGCTTGTTGAAATTCAAAAAGGGAATCAAATGAAGGTAAAACGAGGTTATTCTTTTTAGTATTTATGAGAGAATCATGAAAGGAATCGATTGAAGCAGGCTGTCTTAAGGAGGGAATTGTAGTAGTAGGAGAAGAAGAAATAGGTAATGAAGAAGTACTTTTAATTTTACGAATGTTTTGGTCTTTAGTATCAAAAGACTGATGTTGCTCATGATGATGATGATTAGCAATAATAGGTTTAGTAGATAGATGATGATGATGATGATGATTGGTTGTTGATGTTGAAGAAAATAATGAAGAAAGTGACCATGAAGGTAATGATTTATTTACAGTTGTGTCATTAGTTACAGCTTGATTCGCTGTATTATTATTATTATTCAAGGTTGAAAAAGTATTTGTTATTTCTTGTGTATGTTTAATGAAGTCTTCTTCTGAATTTGTTGAATCAAACTTGAACCAAGACCAAAAGCCAGTTTTTGTTTCCAAATTAGATACAGACACTTTCTTCTTCTTCTTGTTGTTGTTGTTGGAAGAAGAAGAGTCTTTTGATAAAGAAGCTTTATCCTTTAATGGATAATCAATATGATCTGATTGTTCTTCTATTATTCGTTGATGACTATTTATTTCTTCAACAGCCGAGTCTATTGAAACAGTAGATGAGGTTGTATTGGTTCTAATAGAACTACCTTGGTTCATCATCATCACAACATCTGCTGCTTCCGTTAAATCATCATTCATGTCAAACTGAGTTCGTTTTATTAATAAACTTTTAATAGCCGCAGATGGTTGCTCAACTAATTCGATTTTATTGCTATCTTGTTGCTGTAATGATGATGCAACAACAACAACATCGTGAACGACATTACCATTAACAGATACACTAGTTGGAGAAGTAGCTGCTGATGCCTTTTTAGTAGGTGAATGAGCCATACGATGTAAAAGTGATTGAGATGAATAATGACTACCCAATGATCCAGAAGAAGACTGTTGTATTTCTTGTTTTAGAGTGTTGGATAGATTTGTTGGATTTTGAGTGATCTCAGTTTGTTGTTGATTGTTGTTGGTAGAGAAGGTATTTTTAGTCAATTCAATGGATAAAGAAATAGAAGCGGAAGAATGGAATGTATTCGGAATACTGACAGGATCAGAAGAAATATGAGTCATATCATTCATAATCACATTAATTGAAGTTGATTTTACAGTAGGAGCTACCTTTAAGATGCTATCTTTTGTTGGCATTAATATATTATTATTATCTTTAAACATAATTCAAAAAAAAAGAAAGAAAGAAAGAAAAGACGAGTACACAAAAAAATATATATTTGTATATGCATGTATAAATAAATGATGTATTTCAACAAGTACACGTGATACAATGGCTGCTTATGACTGATGATTATTTTCATGAAATAATGTTTCTTGAGTCATTTTAATTTCTTCAAGTTCAGGCACTAAATTTGAAAATAATTCTTGAGCTTCTTTAAAGTAAGATAATTGAACTTGGACAAAGTCTGCTAAATCACGGAAAGGCTCGGGCTAAATAATAAAATAAAATAAATAGATAATTTGTTAAAAATCTATTTCTTCTTGTATTCTCCACATCCACACTTACGTCTTCTAATAAAGCCTTCATCAAATGAGTCGCTTCTTCTACTGCACCTATAAATTCATCTTCAGCTTGTTCAACTTGTAATCGAGCTGAGTCTAATTTATTTGTAGGTGATTCTCTATAATTTGTCTTGGCAGCGTCTAATGCTAACCTTTTGATCTGAACTTGACGTCTTGCTTTATTCGTATTCTCAAATGTCGTTTTAAGTGATACCAAAAGAGGTGTATTAAATTTGGACACAATTGCATGATCCATGGCTAATCTCGCATTACCCAACATAATGGAAGTTTCACCTAATTTTTGAAGTGCAGCACCAAATGCATCATCTTGGCCTATTTCAGCAGCTCCTTCCAAGGCAACACGACCTACAGCGTGAGAAAGTGTTCTAGGATGATGGTCCGATGATGTCTGTGCACGTTGTTGGTCGGACTTGTTTGTTAGTTGTTGAATCTGGTTAGTCACAGTATTTGTGAATCCTTTCAAAGATTCTTGAAGTTGAAGAGGATAATCATAAGCGGGTGAATTATAAGTTTTAGTGACTTTAAGGAAATTTTGATGAATTTGTTGAAAGGTATCTACACGCTAAATATGTATAAAAGGGACTGGTTTATTTTATATATCCTATCTATTTATATGTATATAAATGACTTTACCTTTTCCAAATCCTTGTATTCTTGAGGCAGTTCAGTAATATCCTCAGCTGTACCCAATTTTTCTTGTGCATACTATAAAAATGATGTAAGAAGAAAGAAAGAAAAAAGGCGTGTGGGAGGGGATATAAAAATAAAAATAACGTTTAATACCTGTCTCACTTGTCCTAATCCCTTGCCAATTCTTTGAGTAAGAGGATTTATTTTTGAAGAAAAGGAAGCTAAACTGTCTAAAGTAGATTCTAATAAAGCTGCAGGAGTAATGGAACTACTACGTTGTCTTGATGGCTGTTCAACAGTCGTATTTGTAGTAGCAGGCGTATCTAAGAGAGTCGTTTTATTTTGTTGAGTAGGAATTGAATTATCCTCAACTTCCATTCCCTTCCCTTCTTCTTCTTCTTCTTCTTCTTTTTCTTCAATATCATTTTTATCCAAAACAGTAGGTTTATCTTCTTCTTTCTCCTTTTCTTCCTTATCATCTTCTTTAAGCATTTCCTTTTCTTCTTCACTTACTTTTTTGTTAACAAAAGTTTCATTTTCTACATTTATATCTTCAGACTTATTTGAAGTCTCTTTAGGTACAGAAGTGTTTGTTGACATCTTTATTTTATTTTATTCTATTTTTTTTTACAAGTGAATGAAAAGAAAAAAAAGGAAAAAAATAATAATAATTGGATTGACATTTTGTTTTGTTAATAAAGTAAACTTCCCTTTTTTGGAAGAAATAGAACTCTGTGACCACTAGATAATACAAGGTTTCAGTTGCATAATGAACTCAGTTTATGAATGTTATTATAATTTACCCATAGTAATCATATATTATTTACTTAACAAAGTAAATTACCTAAATCAGCCTAATTGCTACTACTGATTAAATTATTGCTAACTATTAAATAGTAGCTATACTTGTTAAATTTTACTTTTTTTTTTTTTTAAAAAAAAGAATAAATAAGGACATGATATCATTCTTTTTTTTTATGATTATTATGCAGCATAATTATATACCAAGTAACACAAACCTTTTTTATAGAATACAAAATAAAGTGACTATGTTATTAAGCCACAATAAATCTAAAAAAAAAAAAAAAAAAAAAAAGATTCTATACTAAAGTAGCTGATAAATAAAAGGGTATTTTACATGCTTATAATACATTCAACAAGCAAATAAATAATTTTCTAGTACAAATACAAAGCCATTACAGCAAACAATAATGATCACTTTTAAAACCCCGGTTTTATTATTATTATTTTTATTATTATCACTTACAAAATAGTGTCTGAGAATGAAGTTTCTTAATATCTTCACCAAAGTTAGTAGTTCAAATAATTATATATTTACGATTTCTCAGTCGATCTCGAACCTTCACGTCTAGCAACATTTTATTTTATTAGTAAAAAGGGATCCCAACACGTAAACAGTCTAAAAATATTCATTATTCACAAAACAGATGAGAAACACGATTTTTTTCTTTTCTTTTTTTAACTATGACTGATAAGCAGCAGATAATGGCAGTTCAAGATGTTTCAATACGATTCTATAGATATTAAGATCCCATGATCTATTGTAAAACTCTATAAATAGTCGCTTCTTACAGTCTTGAAGTTTGTATAGAAAGAGAGAATTAAATATGTACGATTGTGAGATCATACTATAGATAATGTCTTGTATATAGGAAACTTGTTTGTATTAATCATCTTTTTTTTTTTTTTGTATTTGTTTACTACTGCTACAGTCTTTGTACCTTATTTTTGTTGATATGACATATATATGTATCTATATATATATAAAAGATCCCTAGGAACTGACTGTAGTTTATTTAAAATAAAAAATAGAAAGAGTGAGCCAAACACATTGAGATTTATGATGATAAAGAAAAAAAGCGTATCATCATTATTTTTTGAACCCTGAATTAAATAAATAGTTTAACTTGACTGTTTTCATTCTTGTGGAGCTGAAATAGCTACATTATGAAACCATCTTTTTTTTTTTTTTTTTTTTTTGAAAACTAATAGCATATGTTTAGTAAAACCTATGCTTATGTTAAAGTACATCATTTTAGTTAATTACTAAAAGGGTTCATTGTACTTATTGGCAAAGCTTATAATTTAATAAGTTGGTATACACATTAAAAAGACTTATTCATATTAATGATTTGCTAAAGGACGTAAAGACTTGCTACCATTGTTTAATTCAGCAAATCTAAAATAAAGCGTTTGAATTTGTTTAGTATAAATTGAACCAAAATAAATGCTGTATTCGATAGATTGAATCCTATTTAAAGTGAGTATAACCTTGATATATCTTTATAGTAACACTTTAGTCCTAGACTTTAACGATCAGATATATCCTATCAAAAGATAGAGACTATCTAAGCTTGCAATGAAATCTCCTTCTTTATTGCTTAAATCTGGATACAAATGATGCTATTAAATTATTCTATATTTAACACTCTTTCCTTTCATTTTTACTGTTACTTTTTTATTTTCTCTAACTTGATCTGAGGAAATCAGTGTTATTATTTTATATAGTCATTTGATAGATTATCGAGTGGGCTGGCTAATCATTTAATTTCCGATATGTCTATTTCTCAGTCTAGAAAGAAAAAAAAAAAGCAATTTTCTTATTTTTATTTTCGATATACACATATATAAGGCATATATTTATATATTCATATATATATATATATTTAGATAATTCATAGTAGTTGATTTAAACTTAATGAGCGACAGCGACGATGAGTATGGTCCCATTACTGCAACCTGGGGTTCACAAACACCTGTTGCCAATTCAGATAATATAGATGCATGGAAAAAACTTGTTGATCCGGATGTGAAAATTGGACCCAACGATCTTGGAAGTGGCAATCTTCATCGTCGTGGACATAATTACAAGCCTATTGATGAAGAAATTATTTTGGCTCAGAGACTCAAAGTTCAAATACCTAAAAAGAAGATGCAAGAGGCCATTCAAAAGGCAGAGACTAATTTAGGCTTACCTAAAAGCTTTAATAAAGGGCAAAAAAAGACGAATAAAACTAATAATCCAAAAGCATCAAATACAACTGACCGTTTTTCAACTAGTACTAAAAACAGTAATCCTATAAAGCATAATCAAATTGCTCGATCAACATCTTCTAATGGCAGTTCACCATCAACTTTACAAAGATCTTTAAAAAATGATTCTAATTGGGCAAATTCAGATCTAGTTGAAGTACCTTTCTGGGAAACATCAGAGGTATTACATATCATATGTAATTCTTTTTCCGAGTTGTTTTATTAATTTTTTTTTTCCTTCAAAGGCTTGGAATCAACTATCTAAATCTAAAAATACGGTTGAAAATAACTTCAAAACTGAAAATAATAAAAAAGAGAATTGGGGAAAACGAGTTAATTCTATCGGCAAACAAGAAACAACAACTAATGCGATAAGCTCTAGTAAAGATGGGGACTTCAATAAGATAAATAGTAATAATGACTTATTTAATTTCGATTGTTTTGATAAGAATGGAAACAATCAAGATGGCTGGGATACAGGAGAATTAGTGTCATGGGGTTCTGAAGATAGCTATCAGTCTAATCATAAAAGTAATATACCACCCTTACGACATTCTATTCATCATCATGAGGAACATAGTAGACCAACAAGGTTTTCAATTCGTTCTAAACAGCGCTATTCTGATACAGCATCAGCAGATATACCAGAGCCAATTAATTATAGACATGACGGACGTACACCCATACCAACCGAGATTGCACCACCACCACCGCCTGAAAATCGACATTTAATTACTATTAATGTAGAATTATCTGACACTATTAAAATACCAGTACCTATTAGAGAGTTAGATGATCCATTCAAATTAGCGACTGAATTTGGAAAGAAGAATAATATCAATACACCAAAGGTGATTGAAGCTTTAACAAAACTATTTACATCACAAAAAGAGATGGAATTAAAGAAAAGACAACGAAAGCTACAGAAAAGAAACTTACCAAGACCAACGTCTTCTTCTTCTTGTAATCTATATAATGACCCATCTTTTTTTTCTCAATATGCATCTTCACCTGCTTATCAATCACCAAATACATCCACTACCACTAATAATACTTTTACTAATTCTCTTTCTACAACGCCTCGATTTTCACGTAAAGTATATTATTAGTATACTTTATTAAAGGTGATGAGGTAAAATAGGATTCAAACACACACACACATACATACATTCCACTCTATTCCACTCCACTCCAGTTCTATACATATTATGCTACATACATCTATATATTTATCTATAGTATTTCATTCTATTTCTTTTGTATTAAATAAATCAAGTAACTAAAAAGAAAAAGTTCTTATATAAGCAATCTTATAAGTAACTTGTATATGCATATATGCATATATACTAAATAAATATGACCTGCAATGTTCTTTTAACTGTGATCTTTTTGATACTTTTTAACTTTCTAATGTCATGGAGAAGGAAAAGAGGGAAAAAAAAAAAAAGAAAGGAGAAGAAGAGTGTTTCATGAAATCAATTTTTTTTTTATAATATTTAAAATTTACCCCTGAAGATTTCATTTTATATGAGATGCTTATATTTCCATACTAATTTTACTTGCAATCATGATACTTTATGTATAGTATAGTATAGTTTATTATTATAATAAAAAAAAATTATATCGTATTTAATTTGCCAATAGCTGCCATAATGAGACCATTGAATAAAGGAGAAGGTTTTAAAGGACGAGTCAGATATTCAGGATGATACTGACATCCAACAAAGAAAGGATGACCCTCTAATTCAACAATCTCCATACGCTCTCCCTTTTCATCTCTACCAATGAATTTAAGACCCTTCTTTTCAAATGTTTCAACATGGATAGGATTCACTTCATAACGGTGACGATGGCGTTCATCTACAGACTCTTTCCCATCATATAATCGACGTACAATCGATCCTTCAGTATTAGGTTGGAAAAGAGTAGGACGAAGGCCGAGACGCATGGTACCACCTAAATGCGTCTTTGAGATCTCTGGCATATAGATGACGACAGGTGTATCCGTATTAGGATCCACTTCAGCAGACTGAGCGTTTGGCAGATGACAGACATGACGAGCAAATTCAACGACGGAGATTTGCATACCAAGACAGATACCCAAGTAAGGTACGTTATGTTCACGAGCCCATTGAGCAGCCAAGATCATACCTTCGATACCACGACTACCAAAGCCACCAGGGACAAGGATACCATCTGAGCTACAGACATGTTTCCATGCCTCATGGTACTTGATTGGATTTATCGTACGGATGCCAGGTTCTAAATCAGAGGCATCTACCCATTTAATTTCAATCTTACGACCATGAGCTAAACTAGCATGTTCAAGTGCCTTATAGACGGAGATGTAAGAATCATGAAGGTCCGTATATTTACCAACGATAGCAATCGTGACTGTTTCATGTAAATGGTCATAACTCGATGCTAAGCGAGTCCAAGCACTCCAGAGACGCTCGCCTGCTAAACGTCGCTCATCACTGATCTCGAGGGCATCCAAATGAAGACGACGACGAAAGAAATCAATCACACCATGTTCACGCAGCAAGATAGGAACATGGTAAACGGAAGAAACATCATGGACAGCCAAGACTTGTTCAGGGGCGACATGACAAAACATGGAGATTTTAGAAGCCACGCTTTCATCAAGAGGTTTAGAGGAACGACAAGCAATTAAATCAGGTGAAAGGCCTGCACCACGTAAATCACGAACACTCATCTGAGTAGGCTTCGTCTTTTGTTCGCCTACAGAACCTACAACAGGTACGAGAGAGACATGAATCAAACAAAAGTTCTCATGGCCAACACGAAATTGAAACTGACGCATGGCTTCCACAAAGGGGGCCGATTCGATATCACCCACCGTGCCTCCTAACTCAATAATACAGACATCAGGCTTGTTCTCACCGTCGATAGGCATGTTGGCTACCTCTTCAATCCAGTTTTGAATAGCATCTGTAATGTGGGGGACGACTTGAACTGTCTTTCCAAGGTAGTCGCCACGACGTTCACGTTCAATTACCTGACGGTATATTTTACCGGTTGTGATATTATTGATCCGACTCAACTCGACATCAAGAAAACGTTCATAATTACCCAAATCAAGATCCACTTCACCACCGTCATCAAGTACAAAGACTTCACCGTGGTCAAGAGGGGTCATAAGTCCAGCATCGATATTCAAATAAGGATCAATCTTAATTGCAGTTACATTCAACCCTAGACTTTTTAAAAGTGTACCTGTACTTGATGCTATAACTCCCTTACCAATACCTGAAATGACACCACCAGAAATAACAATGTATTTTGTCATGAGTACAATGAATAGAAAAAAAAAAGAAAGTATAAAAGGCAATAATGGTTTATATGTATAAAATATAAAGTTTTTATTGAATTATGCGGTTTTTTTTTTTTTGTTTGTTTCTTTATAAAGGAATATAAGTTATACGATAAAGTGTACGCCCAATTCAATGAATATTGAAAGGGGAAGGGGCGTAGTCGTGCAAAGATAAGCTTCCCTTTTATACTTTTTTTTAGCGGGTATTAAAAAAAAATTTTTTTTTTTCTGTATTTAAACAATCTTGGAGTGTGTGAAATTTGACATTTACTTCCTTTATACGACTAAAAAAGACCAATAAGCATATAGTTTTTTTTTATTATTATTATTGTTATTATGTATGCTGTATCGCCCTACCAGCCAGTTTCAAAAAAAAAAAAAAAAAAAAAGCAGCAGAAACAGATATAAATCATCAAAATCCTCTGTGCATTCATTCAGGACGATCACGAAACATCAAGTAATAGCACAGGATGCTAGATTGAGTCTAAGGTTTAAACCAACTAAGCACTCTCTCTCGATAAATGTGTCAATAATGAATACTTCATCCTATTGAAGTTCATGATAATTACCGAGAAGATTATTTTCAGGGCCAAATTATTCATCTAGTACTTTATTTTAAGACCATATATTACTATTTTCCTTTAAGGACACCCTTTACCTCCACACCATATTTTTTTTACTGTTGACATTTCTGTTTTCAAGTAATAAGACTACTTTCACATCAAATGATTCTATCTATTTTAGAGATGTTAAATATTGCATGTATTAGTTTGAGTATAGAATATAAAGCAGGAATAGTGTGTATTTAAATGACAAAAACGTGAGAAATGATATTTAAAGTAGTGTGACCATTTAATAATATGGGGGGGGTTTTTCCTACTATCTTCATTTGTCTTGTAGATTTATTTATTTATTTTTTTTTCTTAATTAAATGTCAAGTAATCTTAGATCACAAGTCATTGCACTTTATAAACAAGTAACTATAAATAATATTTTTTTTTCTTTCTTACACATAAAAAACAAAAAATAGTTGGTATATTTAGGAAGAGATTATCCACAAGGATATACACATTTTTTTCGACCTAAATTAAAAGCAGCATTTTTGAAGAAAAAGGATTTAAAAGATGAACAAGAGATATTAAAAGCAATTCAATTTGGTGAATATATTATTAAAGGCATGCATATTCATTGTATAAGAAAAAAAAAGATTAACAACATACTATAGAACTAGAAATGATGTACTACTTGAGAAAATACCGAACCTTACAAAAAAGATATAACCATGACAGTCATTAGTAACATGTGCAAAAAAGCCTTATTTATACGTTACACTAAACCATCTTTAAATAATACAATACATGTATATTTACTGCTATAACGCTGATGCTTATCATAATAAAAGATATCCAAATCAAGCGTATCATTATGTATAAAAGGGGAGGGGTAAGGTTCTATTTCATAAAATAAGCATTAGCAATGCCGCAAAAAAAAGAAAAAGAAAAAGGTTATAAAGGGGTATATGCTTATTTTCAAAAAAAAAAATAAGCTCATTGTTGTTGTATAACATATTTTTATTAGAATACATACATTATTCTTTTATCCTTTCTTTCTGTTTATTTACTTATTTCTTGATATAAAAAGGAATATGCTACCTAATTCTCGTATAATTCCACCTAATGAGAATTATAGATTTCGCCAAAGATCCAATTCCGCAATTAATGAAAGCAGTCTAAAGAAAGGTTTTATATCTAGATTACTTACCAGTTCTCCTAATCCAAAAGAATATAACATGTCAAATAAGCCCAAGTATGAATCAATATCGGAAAATCAGACAAAACATGAATATGCAACATGGAGTGCGTCTTCATCTATTGCACCTTCTATTTCTAGATCTTCTGAACTAAATAAAGTAAATAATTTCATACATTAAATAGACTATTGATTTATTAAAATATACAAATATATTTAAAGACAACAGAAAAGACTTTATCTAGTGGCTTTACAAACCTTTTTAAAAAGCGAGCAAAGGTAAATAAAGTCTCAAAAAAAAAAAAAAAAAAAAAAAAAACTCTTTTATTTCATTTTTAATTCATTTATTTAGTCAAATAAATATTTAGAAGATGATATGGATAATTCACCAAAAGTACGACCTATTTATCGAAGTATGCCAAAGCATCCAAAGATACCCTTAGCTCCTCCACCTACAGAGATTCCGTTAAGGAATCGTGCCATCTTACAGCCTAACCAGCAACATTTTTTAACAAACTTACCGGATCAGTATATCGTAAAACATCCTGAAGTTTTTGAACCAGTGCCAGCTTCAATAGTTCAAACTAAATCATCTGTCTCCACAAGATCTTCTATGAGGAAATCCTCTGGTTCTTGTTCGATATATTCAACATTTGGATGTGATGAACAGAGATCCACCTCACCCTCCCTTGAATCAGAAGAAGAACATCATTCTAATTCAAATGAAAGTAGTGTTCATTTATCAACTATGGCCGAAAATAATGAAGAAAGAACCGAAGATAAGCCAACAACAACAACAACAACAACAACAGCAACAGCTACTACTACTACTACTACTACTGATGAGGAAGAGGAAGAGGAGGAGGAGGAGGAGGAGGAGGATGATGACGACGATGACGATGACGACGACGACGACGACGACGACGACGATGAATTTGTAGATGCAATAGATATCTCACACGAAGATATGAATACAAGTTTATCTAAACGACTAAGTGGAGAACATTTTGGTAGTGCAGGTGGATTGATATTAAATATGCAAGCTTCGCCCGATGACACTACAATGATAAAACGTAAAAGTCATAAGCTACCTGCAGATGATGAATTAGCTCAGTCAATGCTGAATTGGAAACGTCATAGTGGCAATAGTAAACGATGGAGTATGCGTAAAGAAGAAGATAAACGAGCAAGTACGATTACGATGATTGATTTAAGAGAAATAAAAGGTCAACAAAAGAATGAGCCTATCACGAATGCAGAAGAAGAAAAAGAATTATCAGAGCCAGATAAAATAAAATTACGTGAAAAAACAGAAGAAAGATTATTAGGAGCCATAGCGATGAAAAAGCCATCTGTCATTCAATCACTTACGACTGTAGCAGCACAAGATAAGAAGCTTGATTTATCAATAGAGTTCTCAAAAACAATTGATGATGTATGGAAACCATCGAACGATACTTTGCATTTATTTGATGATCCTAAAACAAAGGAATTACAAAACTCAATTCAAATGCATACTGACAAGCAGAATCTAAATGATGAAGAACAAACAGATCAAGAATTGATAACTAAAACTGCTACATCCTTATGGGAGGAAAATGAAACGGGTATCGAGAAAGAAAAGATGGCAGAATTTCTTGGACAAGGGTAAATAAATAGCAACATTCACTATAATATATGAATTGTTCATTTTAAATTTATTTATTAATAGGAAACCATTTCATAACGCTGTACTTGAGGAATATATGAAAAATTTTGAATTCGATGATATGAGATTAGATAGTGCATTTAGAAAACTTTGCAGCAAATTATATTTCAAAGCTGAAGCACAGCAAATTGATCGTATCTTGGAAGCATTTGCTTATCGATATTGGGATTGTAATCCACAATGTATTTTTGGAAGCTCTGGTATAGATAGACATATGCATACAGATGCACTAGAAACAATATTAATGGGATTTATTTAGACATTGTATATGCTACTGTTTATTCTTTACTATTACTCAATACTGACCTTCATGTTGCTCAAGGAAATCATCCCAAGATGACACGATCTGAATTTATTCGTAATACGATGTCAACTATCCGTGATCAAAAAGAACATGAAATGCTTAATAAAAGTGTTATAGTAGAAAACCGAAATTGGGAAGCTGAAATAGAGTTTTATTTAAAGGTATATTATAGATGACTTGAAGATCAAAATCAACAGATAGAGCTAAATTTTATTTTTTATGAAAAAGGAAATGTATATATCTGTAAAGCATTATCAAATTTTACAGCCCCTTTCAAGAAAATCGAGTTTAAATAAACGAAGTAGTATTCTGGGTAGTCGTCGAGTACTTGGTTTGAAACGAAGTGTAAACTCGATTATTCGTAAATCCGGAAGAGAAAGTGTATTTTTAATAGATGATTGTGATCAGGTAAATAAATTTATTTATTCGTTTATTTTTATTTAAAGGCGAATAATGATTCCATTTTAGTCTATCCCTTCCTCACTTCCACCACCTCCAAGATCAAGCGCAAGCTCCGGCTATCATCGCTCAATAACGCCAACATCGGCAAAATCACTTAGAAGAGAATCATTTTCTTCCTCATATAGTTCAAGTATTGCTTCATTTAATTCACGTAGTGCATCTCCCTCACAGCCCATGATGCAATACATGAACATGCATGCTACTTCTCTATTTTCAAGTAGACCACCTTATTATAAAGAAGGTGTAGTGATTAGAAAGCATTTATTAGAAAATGCGACACAAAAGGCACGGCATCGTGAATGGCGTGAATGCTATTTAGAAGTAGGACAAGGCGAATTATGCATGTATACCTTGCAATCGAATACATCAAATCAAATGATGAGCGATAAAAGCCTATTTCGTCATTCAAGTGCAGTACAACCTACTGAACCTACTAAGTCGAGAAAATTAACAACTTCTATGTCATTTGGTGATGTGTTAACCAATAACAATCATACAAAAGTAACCAAGTTTTCTAATTCTGTATCCTTTGGTGGCTCTACGCCAAATAAATGGGCAGTAAGTTTAACAAATAACTCCAAAAGATCTTTATTCAATTCTTTTTTTTTTTTTTAATTATTATAATAATAGTCCTGTTCCCAGTTAATTGGTAAAATCGCATTAAATCATACACTTTCAAATCCATTACCACCGCCTGGATATAATCGTCAACGACCCTATGTCTTTGCTATCCAACAACCGAATGGAGGAGTTTATCTTTTCCAAGTTGCATCAACTGAGCAAGCCTATGAATGGGTCTCAACTTGTAATTATTGGGCAGCGCGACAAAGTAAAGAACCATTGCATGGTGGTGTAGGAAATATGGAATATGGTTGGGGAGCTTGTCTTGATGATGTTATTATTGACTTGGATGCCATAGAACAAGGATATAACCAAAATCACTTTAGTGGTGGTCGTGACCCTGATTCAATTATGATTCATGATTGGATATCTCCATCAGCAAGTATGGTATCAAGTCAACTAGACGAAAAGGAACAGTATGATACATTACAACGGCACTTGGAAGAATTAAATACTGAAATTAATGTTCATCGTGACTTGAAGACAAAAATTTTAGTGAAAGTAAGATTTGTTTTTCTTTTTTTCTTTTAAAAAAAAAGAGGGGAGGGAGAAAAAAAAATGGTTAAATTTATTTTGATATAGTTTCCTAGTAAATGTAATAATTATAGTAAAGTGATTCATAATTGGGAGGCTAAATCGAAATACCTGTTACATGATATCATCAAATATCAAAATTATTGTGATGTATTGGAAAAGACAATAAAGAAGCAAAAGGAGTTTATGTTGACTACTACTGCAGCTGCGGCTACGGCTGCGGCTGCAGCTTCTTCAGAAGAAGAACAAGGGTATAACCTTAATAGTAAACTCGAAATGACAACTAACTCGTTATCATCGACCAAATTAGTATATCATAGTAATTCTGTAGATCTTTTTAAAGAAATCAAACAAGAGCTTAGTCTAAATCTTCAATAGTAAAATCTAAGCTCCACCACAATAACATATATCATGTATATATTATGCATACATACATACATACATACATGTGTATTACCCATTGTTTTCTTGGTGTGCATATAAATATTTCTGAAACTGTTTGAAAATTTGTATCTTGTTTTATATACTTTTCATGGATAAAATAAAACTTATGTAATGGAAACAACAATCATCATCATTCTATCCATTTGAGTGTAAATCTGAATTAAAGTTACTACAATAAACGAGGCATACAAACATATACAAAAAAAAAGGAGGAGGAAAATAGAAAATTGTAATGAAAGACAAAAAAGTAAAAAAAAAAAAAAAAAAAAAAAAAAAAAAAAATTAATGTATTCATTAAAATTATTACACAGGAAAAGATAAATAAAAGTGCTACAATTTAATTGTTGTTTGTAGTTTTGCAGCGGCGTTATTATTTATTTTGGTACCTGAAAAAAAAAAAAAAAAAAAAGAACAGATCGCTGTCATGCTTCGATAATATAACGGTTACCATGGTAAAGTAGTATCATCATTTACACCCATAGTATTCAATACTATAAATGAGATTCAAAGGAAAAGCGCATGATCATAATAGGATTTTACACAAAACAAAAAACAAAAACTAACGGTTATTAAACTCAAAGCAAATGTGCTACGTCTTGTCAATTCTTTTGGAAAAAAGATCCAGATTACAAAATTAATGCAGTACATAGAATACATAAATACGTTACAAAAGGCTATCATAAACATCATACATTTGTACTTGTAGTATAATAATATTTTTTTTTTTGAATAAAAATTAATTTACCTTACAATCTATATTTGACTTAATTCTATGTACTCATTTAATTAGCAAGGTCCCAGAAAAAGAAGTAAAAATAATAAATAAACAAATAAAGTTTATTTTTGTTGTATTTACTTTTTTTTTTCCTTCTTCTTTCCCAGCCCCTGCTGTAATTTACATTATAATTCTTTCTTTTTGTATATATAAAAAAAAAAAGGTAAGATCCCTATTTTTTATTGTTAGTCAATAAAGGAAAAAAAACAAGAGCAGTAATAAGAACATTAAAGAAAGAATTAAAAAAAATGATATTATTACACACATGACCATTCTTTTTTATTATTGTTAAAAAATATACACTAGTGCTTCAATAACAAAGACACAGACAAACAAAAGTGAAATTCATTGTTTTCTTTTGTTATTTGTAATTTAAAAAAAAGGGGGTGGGGAAGGAAAAAAAAGGGGGGGAAATGCTATGATATGAAATTGAACAATTTTTTGTAATTTGATTTTTTAAAATGCTTTGATAAAAAAAAGAATTTTTTTTATGAGAGTGAGTGAGTGATTGAGTGATTGATTGATTGAGTGAGTGAACAGATATTTATATACTTTTTTCTTATGCAAATATAATAAAACATTATTGCTTTGAGATATGTTTTACTCTTTTTTGTTGCTGTGTACGAGAAAATACATTAATTGATGTGTCAATAATTTCATTTGTTTGTCTATGATTAGGAGGCGAGGAAGAAGGTGTGTTAGTAGCTCGACGAGGACAATAACGATATTCAGGAAATGCAACTCGATGAGCTAATTTTTCTTGTTCAGCCAGTCCATGCCAGGGTTTCTTTTCATTTTCAGAAAGTTTACCCCATCTACGAGAAGCTCGTCTAAAATAAATAAATAAATAAATAAAAATTCATTATAAATAATCTTCAATTCTTCTTACTTTGAAATTTCTTCAGCACGAAGTGTTGGATCTTGAGATTTTAATGCTTGACCATAATGACAACGAAACTATGTATAAATAGAAAAATGAATATTTAAGTATTCACGTAAATAGAATAAAAGAAAGGTATATCTGTATATTTATATATTACATGAATCCATGCGTTACGAGGTCTTTTAATATGTGCATTCTTTGTTAAAAACATACTCTGATCGACATTATTATCAGAAGGAGAAGCAGAAGAAGAAGAAGATAGTTTTTTTTTCTTTTTATTTGGCATATTTGATTCTTGTCTATCCTCTTTATCCATGTCTACCAATAAAAGATTATTTTGTAGATTGATATCTAATAATCTCTTATGATGACTGGTACTACCACGAATAGACTGTAAAAGAGCTTTAGCTACTTGAGAACCAGGGTGTCTATAGTCAGCAGCGGCTGCAGCAGAAGCAGAAGCAGCAGCCATGATAGGTGACATAGGTATGATAGATGATTTTGATGTATCATTGGTATAAGTGAAAGGTATTTTATTATTTTTAAAAGGGTTTTGACGTGAACGTTGATGAGTAGATATAGGACTTTTTATTATTCTATTATTGATAGATGACGGTAATTTTGTGACTTTAAATAAATCCAAAGGAAAATAAACTTTTTGATTAAGAGGTTCCATAAATGGAGTAGGTTCCAAGAAAGGTGGTGGACAAGATAGTTTATCACTATGTTTGTCTGAGGGAATAAGTAATGTTTTTATTTCAGGTGAATCAGGTGAAAGAGGTCTGTTGTCTAAGTATAAAAAAAAAAAAAAAAAAAAAAAAAAAAAATTAAAAACAAATAAAATAAAATATAAAATAAAATTCTTACGTACCAGTTAAATCACAGATATTTAAAATAGGTGCTAAATCAACTACTAAAGAAGAAGAATAAGGAGGAGTAGAAGAAATAGAAAATTTTTTATCGTCTGTCAAACTTTCTTCTTTTTTATTAGTATAAAATCGATGAATAAAAGGAGACGAAGTAGTTTCTATCGACATTATTTTTGTTTTAGTAGGAATAAATGTCATTTGAATTAAAGTAAGTAAAAGAAGAAAAGGAAGAAGAAGAAAAGGAAGAAGAAGAAGAGAGAAAGAGAGAGAGAGAGAAAAGGATATAATTTATAGGAATATAAATGTGTATATATTTATATGGAATAAAATAAAATAAAATAAAATAAAATAAAATAAAAAAGGAAGAGAGAAAAAAAAAATTTTGTTTAGATCTCACTAAACTTATTCTTTTCTTATTGTATTAATAACTCCACAACATATCTTCCTCTTCTTTCTTTTGGACTGGGCTTAAATTGACTTTAAATAATATAATTCCTTTTGTACAATGGCAAACAAACAGATGTTATTATTTATTCGCGTTTTACTATACAAAATAGCCTAGTTTCATTGTACCTGATTCATAATAAGAACTATTTCTATTTCTCTTCTCCTTCCTTTATATAATTTAGAGTTTATAATACCCAAAAAACCTGTTTGTTATATAGATCAACGTTTAGACTGTATATGTATGTTTTTAATATAAACATTTTATTATTCTTTATGCTTTGAATATGCTTCATTATAAAGAAATTAGATCTTCTTCTTTCTTTTGTTTTTTGGTTATTCTTTACTTCTCCCCTTTTATTCCCAGTTCTAGTGCATGAACGTGATAAATTGATTATTACTTTATTTTGGTAGATTTATAAAATAGGGGAGAATCTAAAAATAGGTTTCTTATTCAATTGATTTAATAGAATAGAATGTCAAATATACACATCTATTTTACTATCAAAATAAGTGGCAAATATATCTAAACTCATTATTGAATTAAATTGTCGTATCTTGCTTATTTTGATTCAAGTCCTTTGATCTTTTTTTTTTTTTACATATAATTATTTTTAACTTTGCACATTTTGAATCATTTTATTAGAGTACAAATAGTTTTTAACTTTGCTTTCTAACCCTATTTACTAGCAAAAAAAAACTTGAATTGCTCTAACAAATTTAAACTATTAAATGACTCTTATTATGTCTACTATAGCCCTTACTTAATCCTATCTGAGTACAGCTGTTGTATTCGTTACCAGCTCGGCTAGTTATCCGGTAAAAAGTCACAATCATGTCTGCAACGTCTTTCTGAATTCCTGACTAAAAATGAAAAAAAAAAAAAATACACAAATACTTTCCTATCTAGCATAATCATGAATAATGTCAAGTCAATCTCGACGTAATTAATTCATTCTTATTTCTTCTCGAATAAGCTACAGAAATCCAAAACTTGTATCTCTACCTGTCGAATCCCATGTGAATTTGCTCATCTTCATCACAATCATACTTTTCTCGTTCTTAACTGTTTCTTCGGTAAATATTTATAGAATTGGTTCCAACCCAAGCATTCTTGACTCCTCCCTCTTTCCTTTTTTACCCCTCTCTTTATCTAATATCGAACTGCCCCGGGTAATGTAGATGAATAGTAGACGGTATACACTCTACTAGACCATGATAATAAATTACGAAATAAATAATCATTGTTTTTTTTTTAGAAAAACTTTAAGTGGAAGAAATGATATATTCTTTATTTAAAATATAATGGTCACAACGCCAATGGGAAGGAGTGTATGAAAATTGCAGATTTATAGTTTCCAATAGATGGTTTTTTTTTTCAAAAGATAGCTTGTATATCCTAAAAAGCATTTATTATTTTCAATCATTTATTATATATAATCGTAATTATGATACTTGTAGTGATAAAAAAAAAACTGTGTAAAGAAACTAGTTTATGAATAAACATGTTTGAAATAACGAGAGTAGACAGTAAATTACATTAGACTTCTATCAGCACGCTTTTCAACTAAAAGAACTAAAGTGTATGTAGTATAGACAATCAATATATAAATACTCTTTTGAATGCTTTAGAACAAAAATCAAATTTATAAAGAATATAAACAGTAGGAAGGCGTGTTAGATAGAAATATTCTCTAAAGAAGTCCAATTAGCAATATCTCTTATGTGTACAAGGATTAACAATTACCTGACACAAGTAGATTTTCAATATTTTTTTTTTGCAGTGTACACTTCTTTTAACTCTTATTTATGTGTCACAATTACCACCTATTATTGTCATGCGCCAAAAAATAAATAAATAAAAGAGATATGTAATTGAAGTATAATGGTAATGATAAGATGAACAATAATGGCTGGAATTAAATTACCACTCATCTGTGTTTAATGTACTAAATGTCTTCTTTTAGCTTGGGAAATATTATTTGTCATGGATCTCCTAATAATCAGTTGTAAGCAAAATAATTTTAGCTGAAAAAAAAAAAAAAAAAAAAAAAAAAAAAAAAGCACAAGTTTGAAATATATTACATAATCAATTTTATTTTATAGGATGAATTTAGTTCTCTCGTTTTTAGTAAATATTATATAAAGAAAATACACTTATTCATATACATTGCTTAGATCGTAAACATGTATTTAAAGTAGGAGAGGAACATGTCTAGGATAGTTAATACAAAAAAAAAAATTGACGTTAAGCTTTAACAAGATTAATGATATTAAATGGCAAAGTTCTACTGTTATCCTCTTACGGATATAAAGTCGTTACAAGATTTTAAACACCGTCGAATAATGAAGTGAACTTCGTATGCTATATTCCAAAATAGATATTTGTACTTTTTTTTTTATATATTAATATACATATTTATATACACGTAAACTTTATAGGATTAACAATGACTCAAAAGCGAGTTATATTATTCAAGAAACAAGATGATCAAGATAAATATAAAGAACTATTTTTAAAATATAATTATATACCTCAATTTATTCCTGTTCTTGATCATAAACTTGAAAATATTGACATTTTAAAGAACATCATTTTAAATGGACCTCACCAAGAGCATTTAGGTGGGCTCATTTTAACTTCACAAAGATCTGTAGAAGCTATTCAAGAAGCATATGAATTGATTGAAGACGATATTAGCAGTCAAGTAATTGAAGAATGGAATAATTTACCCATCTTTATTGTAGGACCACAAACGGCTAATGCTTTAGAGCAATTATCTCTTTTTAAAAGTCACCGATCATGGACAGTTGCGCCTCGAGCGGCTGAATTAGTTAAATTTCTTTTGGAAGAAAGATCAAAGTCAGCCTTATTGTTCTTAGCAGGAGACAAAAGGCGTGATATCATTCCTGAGGCCTTAAATCAAGCAAAATTACCGTTTAGAGAAATTCAAAGCTATTCAACATGTGTACATCCTAATTTGGCACATAGGATGCAAGGATTGGATATGAGAGCAGACTGGGCAGTTTATTTTAGTCCTTCTGGTTTAAAATTTATTCTTTCAACTATTGATCAACAAATAAAGGAGAAGCTTTTTACCGTACGGAATCACCCTAAAATAGCTGTCATAGGTCCTACAACATCAGATTACATAATAAATGAATTAAGTTTTCATGTTAATGTAGTTGCTGATAAGCCTAATGCTGAGCACCTGGTAAATGCTATAATCGCATATGATCAACAACAACAACAACAATAAATAACCACTGAAGCTGTCCATTTCTATTTCAAGCTTTTGTTTGAGCTAAATATATCAAACATAAGTTATTTTTATTATTTACTAATAGTTTAGTGACTATGAATTAGCTTAACTTTGCTGAATAAACCAAAAAGAAAAGAATTCTTAATAGCTTTGTACATCTATTGAAAGACAAAAGTATTGTACAAGCTTACGAAGTAAATATATAAATAAATATATTACACTTCAAGTTCAATCAAATGACATGGAATACATCAAAAAACTCGTTTTAACTTGTCAAGTATTGCTTGTCTAAAGTATAGTCATTCATAGTATGCAAATAGTTTACTGTATTCGTATGTTAATAAACTATACATTTAGTTTTTTATTACTTCCTTTCTTTACCCTTATATTAAAGGATATAAATTCAAAAGAAATAAAGTCTGGTTTTAGATGTTTAAAATAGGAATGGATAGTAGACATGTGAAACTGCTTTTTTTTTTTAAAGGAGAACTTTTAATAGGCGTTAAACTTGCTCTCTTTAATGGGCATACTTTTATTAAAAAAAGAAGATAATAAATCGAAAGTAATGACTGATAAAGTCTTGTTAAGACCACTCATTATTTTTGACTTTTATTGACTCTTATTTTTTTTAAAAAAAAAAAAAAAGGCTTTGGAAACCCTTTTTGAAAAAAGTCAAGCGCTAGCACTATCAAAAGAAAAACAAATAAGATAAAAAGGCAGGCTGTTATGAATTATAGTACAAATTTATATATTCAATTATAGCTCATATATTACTCAATTTATCATTTAATTATAAATAGCATGTAATTTATCTACATTATTGTATTAAACATTTCTATAGTACATACATTATCCATTTACAAGAAGAGGACTACCATTAGATAATTAATTAATTAAAATCTAAGCCCCAGTTTAGCGTGACTGTTTATCAAATATAGATTAGCATTTTTTCGTGCGCGTAGAATTATTACATTTTTCTAAAGAAAAACCCATATATCTATTACCAACTCGGTACAACTAGGTTATATGCAAGTTTAAGCCAATAACTAATGAATACAACTCTCAATACAACCGAAAAAGATAACTCTCAATCAGTTTTTAACTACGCTCAAGCTGCTCAGACAAGCTCTCAAAACGTGGAATCGCAAACATCTAACAACGACAATGGACCTATCAGTGAACTTGAACCTGCTGAAGCCAAGAATGCAACTGTAGAAGCATCTTCTTCCGAAATAGTCTCATCTATAGATGCCCAAGCAAATGAGTATGTAGTTACTTCAAAGCCAATCAGCATCTTTTATAGATCTAATTTGAATAATTTCTTAAAAAAAAATTTTTAGAAGTAATCCTGAACCTTTAACAAGTAACGATTCTGCTAATTTGGTTGAAGAATCTTCCATTGAAACAGGTAAATATACAAGTTTTTATAGTTCTTCAAAAAAAAAATATTTAACTAAATTAATTTTTTTGTCTTTAAAGTGTCAAACCAATCTGATGGTACAGAATCTAATAAAGAATCCCAATCTAAAGTTAATGAATCTGTGCCCTCTATGGATAATGTATCAACCGTAAGTTTAATTTATTGATAAAAGAAAAAATCAGCTGCTAAAATTATTATAGTCTCCTGAACCAAATAATAGCTCCTCTCAAGAAATGCCAGCTGGTTATAAAAATCCTACATCTCCTAATGGTACCGGAAACTGGCAAGGCAACCAATATGTAAGTATTTTTTTAAGAAAAAAAAATACTTAAAAGTCAATATCACTAATACCTATGTAGTATGGGCAGTTCTACGGACGTAATACTTACCCAACATTTGTCCCACAACCTTCTGTCAACAAAGCTATTCCTATTATCAATCCTGACACAAGTGAGGTTATTAATCTTTCAAGCTCTTCTTTAAAGACTGATGAAAATAAAGAGATTAAAGCAGTATCTCCTTCTCGTGCTGTTAAGATCGTGAACCCTCAAGTGAGTTGAAGTTTTTTTTTTTTGTATGTGTATAATGGATAGCGTATTAACCTTAAATTTGTAATGGTGATATAGGAAAAGGAAGAAGTTGAGCAAAACGAAAAAGAAGAAGATAAAAGTAAGGAAAGTGAGAAAACAGTTGAAGAAGGCGAAAATTCTAAAACAATGGAAGAAACGAACGACAAGCCTGAACCTGAAACCGAAGATAGTGAATTTAAAAATGATGATAAATCTAAAGATGAGCCTACTATTGAAGATGAAGAACGTATTGCTGCTATCACTGCTGATAAAATTGCTAGAGGTGTTGCACCTGGTCGTCTTGACATCTCAGCTATTCCTGCACATGTATTCCACGATTCTCCTGTAACTTCGCCTAGTAGTAATACCCCTCCCAAGGTTAAACGTGCTCCTTTACCTGTGATTGAAGATTTTAGTGCTATTCAATATCCCTCTGAGATTATAGCACCAAAAGGAAAAGATCCAGTTTCCGGTAGGATTGTTTATGAGCGTGCCTTCTTGATCCAGTTCCAAAAACTTTGTACCGAGACAGACGAAGACTTATCACAACTCCCATCTGCAACTGAAGAGGCAGGTAGTAATGAAAATAGACGTAGTATGTCTCGTCGTCAAACATCCGAACGCGGTCGTGGACCTCGTACTCCTGGTGGATCAGGAGACAGTATGTCTAGAAACAATTCACGTGATAGTCGTGGGGAAATGGGTAAATTCTCTAGTGGTCGCTCCTTCTCTCATCGTCAAGGTAGTAGTGGACCTAATTCTCCTGGTATGGAGCGTCAAGGATCTCAGGGTGGTAGAAGTAGAAGTAGCCGTGGTGGTAAGAACCGACATAATCCTAAAGAACAGTCTGGTGGTCCTACCATTCCTCCTGAACAAGTTGTACCTTTGGCCAAGAGTGAAAACCGCTGGGTCCCTGCTGTCATTAAAACAGGGGGAGCTGCTTCAACAACATCTGAAGCTATTGTTGCTGAAGTTGAGGCTGAATTAATTCCTCAAGAAATGATTGCTCGTAAGGTGAAGGCCCTTCTTAACAAATTAACTATTGAAAAATTTGATTCTATTTCTGATCAAATCTGGGAATATGCTAAACAATCTGAAAAAGAAGATAATGGACAATCCCTCCGAAACGTCATTCAACTTGTATTTGATAAAGCTTGTGATGAACCTAACTTTGCTAGTATGTGGGCACAACTTTGTAGAAAAATGTATGATGTTATTTCACAAAATACTGAAATTAAGGACGTCAACATTCTTGATAAGAATGGCGAACCTGTTTCCAGTGGTTCTCTTTATCGTAAATACCTCCTAAATCGTTGTCAACAAGAGTTTGAAAAGGGTTGGAAGAGTAACTTACCAAAGATGGACGAAAATTCAGCAAGTGAAATGTTAACTGATGAATACTATGCTGCTGTTAAAGCTAAGCGTCAAGGTCTTGGTCTTGTTCAATTTGTGGGTGAGCTCTATAAACGTCAAATGTTATCTGACCGTGTTATGATTGAATGTTTGATGCGACTCTGTTCTGATCCTCAACAACCCGAAGATGATGAAACAGAGACAATGTGTAAATTGATGACTACTATCGGTCAAACATTTGAAAGTAGTAGCAGAAAGAACAAAGAATGGCTGGATACCTATTTCGAAAGAATGAAAGAAATGTACAAGTCTTCAACTTTAAGTTCAAGAATCAAATTCAAGATTTTGGTAAGTTTATTTATAATTCCCTTACCCTCTCCTTCCCTCTCCCCCCCTTTTTTTTTTACTTCTTTCTTCTTCTTCTTTGATATATATTTATATATATATACTTACAATTGTTATTAGGATGTATTTGATCTTCGTAAGAGTAAATGGACTCTTAAACGTGGTAATCAACCTGCTCCAACTACTCTTGCTGAAATTCATGAACAAGCCAAGAAAGCCAATGAAGAGAAAGAAAGTATGAAGCGTTCAAGTAGTTCCCGTGGAACTGCATCACATCCTGTCTCTCGTCAAGGTTCTTACCGTGGTGGTAGTCGTCCATTATAAATGTAATATATTTTATATAGTAGAAATAAATAATAACAGTACATAAATAGTATTCACAATACACAATCTATTATTACATAATAAATTTTCGAAAGGTTACTACTTTTTTTTTTTAAGTCTAATATTGGAAATGGCAGGATTTGAAAAAAATAATAATAATAATAATAATAATAAATTTATATTTATTTTATAAATCTATTTCCTTTAAATAGTTGTAGAATTATGTATTCAACTTTTTAGATCTTTGTTTTTGTTCTGAATTTCAGTAAAGGCGCCAAAATTTCTAAAGGACCAGCCTTTTTAAGAAACTCATGCTAAAAAAAAAAAGAATGAAAATAAATATAAGCAAAACCAAGAAAAAAAAAAAGAAAGAAAGAATAATAATAAACTTACATTCATTAATTCTAAAGAAGTTGCTCGAGATCTGACATCAACGCAAAGACATACAGCTAAAAAGGATTTCAACTCATTTGATAATCTTTCAGGGTTTTTCAATGTTGGAGTACCATTTGTTGCGATAAGATATAGGGCCTTTAATGGCTCTTCATCAAGATAAGGTGGTTCATTCTCGATCATTTCAATAGCCATAATACCAAGTGACCAAATATCCACTTTAGCACCATATTCTTTTTGCTTTACTACCTCGGGTGCCATCTATGATAATAACGAGTTATTTCAATTGTAGTATATAATTAAGATGGAAACAAACTTACCCAATATGGTGTTCCTACCATAGTTGCACGTTTTCTCTTTTGATCTGTTAATTTTGCACAGAAACCAAAGTCACTAATTTTAACATGTCCCTGAGAATTAAGTAAGATATTATCGGACTTGATATCTCTATGAATAATATTTTGTGAATGTAAATGATGAAGACCTGCAACAGTTTCAAGACATACGGTTGAGATTTGCTGTTCAGTCATTTTACTATTGTTATCAATGACATCTGTTAAAGCGCCACCTTCCATATATTCCATTACTACCCATAAATCAGAGCTTCCAATAAGGAAAGCATCAAGGAAATTAACAATATTGGGATGTTGTGATTCCTTCATCACCAAGATTTCGTTAACAATAAGTTCTTTACGAGGTTGATTTGCCAAATCCATTTGTTTAACTGCCACTTTTGTATTTGTAGCAAGAGAGTTTGCAACATAAACAGAACCAGATGCACTAATTAACGAAAAGGTACATATAAGCATTCAAATCACATATATGAAATTACTTTTTTTTTCGTACCCTTGTCCCACTCTTTTAATTTTTTTATAGCATTCATTAGGATCACCTTTAGAAACAACAGAACCTATATATGCATATACATATATGAAAGGGAGAGGTGAAATCAATATAAATAGATACATATACAAGCAACTATATACGTAGATAACTTACGAAGTTTTTCCATAATTTGAGCTTCAGTCATTGTACTAATTCTTTGTTCAACCTTCTTCTTGGACGATACTTGAGCAGCTGCCTTTTCTCTTTCTCTTTCTTTATATAAGCGCTCTCTTTCTCTTTCACGTTCACTTTCTAATTGCTGTTGTTCTTTTTCTCTGGATACCTGTTGTTGATAATAATCGACACTACTTGTACGAATTGGAACCCTTTCTGAACCCAAAACTTTTTCTAGGTGAATATCTTTAACTAATTTACCAGTGGGAATCGGACTTTCATTTTGATCTCTAGATGGTAAAGCGTAATTACCCTAATAATTTATATTATAATTAGTTATAATTATATTATATTATTATATTATTATATGCAATATAATATAATATAATATAATATAATATAATATAATATAATATAATATAATATACTTACTGGTGAAGCAGGTGTAATCATATTTAATTTATGTGTAGGTCTTGGCAGCGGTGGTAATTGTGTTTGTTGTTCCTAATTGACTATTAGTTTGTATACATTTATTTCTTTACATGGGAAACTTACTTGTATTTTTAATTCAGAAAGGGCTTGAAGTGCAGAAGGGGGAGGAGGAGCAGGTCTAGGAGGTATATTTTTGGAAGGTAATTTTACATTAGGAATGGGTTTCTTTTGACTTGTTTGTTGAAGTGAGTTTTCTTGCATCATCTTTGCCCATCCCAAACCACTCATGCGTTCAACAGCGCCCTGAAGTTGAGATGTACCATATTCTTCTTCTTCACGTTTTGTTTGTTCAGCGTAAAACTCTAGTACATCTAAAACTGCTTGAGGATTCTTTGCTGCATCTTCAGCTGTAATGGCTGAACCTTTTAACAAACGAGTCCATTGATCGGGTAGTCCCTATTTAAAAAAAAAAAAAAAAAAAAAAAAAAAAAAAAAAGTTATTATTTTTTTTCTTTTCTTATTATTGTTGGTAAAATATCTTACTGTGAAAGCGCCTGTAATTGGATCAAAACCAACATGAACATTATGAATGAAATTAGTTGGACTTGAAGTTCCAACAGATGATCTCTATTTTAATGATAGTTATTATTATTTTTAAAATAAAACAGAATAAAAATAAAAAGGACTTACATTGTAAATTTCATCCATCCAACTATAAAGTTCTTCATCACTTTTACAAGCAATATAATATGTTTTGTCTTTTGCAGATATCTCAAAGCAATAAGGTTTAAGGTCTATTCTCGTTACAGAACCAATTTCTTTTAAAAATATTAAGCCAATACATTGTCCAGCCTAAAGAAGTTATGAATATAATAAGTCATGATGAAATTCAAATAAATATACCTCATTACGATGAAAAGTTAAAGATTGATCTCTTAATACACAATATCTTTTAGACCAGATCCAAGCCCTTAAACCTTCTTCTTTCAAAGAGAGATAACCTTCTTTAATAATTTCAGGCATATACAAATATAAGAAAAATAACAATAAGAAAAGAAGAAATTTAGTACCACTTCTGCTTTTAATTCGGAGATGTAGGCACACTAATAAGTTTGATTAATTTCAGATAAAAAAAAAAAACATATACAAATATATACAAATACATATAAATGCATATGTATAAATATATGAATATATAAATGTATAAATGTATAAATGTATAAACGCATATATACATATATCTTCATGATAAGCAGTAACGCCAATAATCTATATTAATATTTGAAGAATGGCTATTTCAACAACATAACTTAAAAAAGCTTAACTTGTGTTTATTATTTTTATACTTGTTTTAGAAATAATTTATCATTCTAAGACTCTCTTTTATTATAAAAGGCTTCTTTAAAGTACATTAGAATCCTCTCGTAGAATCATGTGAAGAGTATAACCAAGTAAAGTAACTTTATCATTGCCTTAAAAATAGTAGTAGTAGTAGTAGTAGTAGTGCATGTATTTAGGAAATCTATTATTATTATATAAAACATAAATTATTTATTAAAGGCCAATTCATAGTGCATTTTATTCATAAGAACCGGGGAAAATACAGCGTTACCAATTTAAGTGGGTTATTAAATTGAAACATATTGTGCTCTTTGTTTACAATAATAATAATAATAACACAAAATATTACGTAATAATAAAAGGACTTTTTTTTTTCTCTCTCTCCCTACTAACCCCTATAATGCGTTTTCATAGCAACAATAGCTGTAATGATAATAAAACGAGGTAAATCTCATTCTTTGTCTTTTATTTTATTTATTTTATCTTTTTTTTTTTATTTGACTTTATTTTCTCTTTTTTTATCTTTTCCTAACACCATATATATCTTCAGCACCTTTTTATATATTGATATATTCGTATATAGAATACTATGTTGGCTTTGCCTTTAAAACACAGTCATCCTATACAAACATCAGGAGATAATATAGTTGGTATATGGAGGCCATCATTCGTTAAAGTAGATCAACAACTATATGCATTTGGTGGTGGTGGTGGTAATGTTACTGATGATTTACATTGCCTTGATTTAATAACTATGCGTTGGAAAAGTATTCAGGTTCGTCCTATTATAATAAATAATACAATATATACATGTATACATATTTGTATATGTTTATATATATACGTGTGTATGTCCTTCTATTATAAAGTATTTATTTCTTTTTCTTTTTTTTTTTTTTGTTGGTATATTTTTAGAATGTAATAGGTACACCACCTTCTTCAAGATATGGACATACTATGACTAGATGGAAAAATACTATGATTGTATTTGGTATGTTTAAAAATTACCAAAAATAGATAATTATAACATTCCTAAAAAAAAAAAAAAAAAAAAAAATAGGTGGCTGTAATGAAAACCAAGACTATTGTGGAGATGTCTATATTTTTGATATCAAGACATCAGCATGGTATCAGCCTACAATTAAGAATAGTATTACAGCACGTTATTTACATAGTGCCATAGTCTATAAAGATAAATTAATTATATATGGTGGATTTGCTAGAAGCTCAGAATGTAACAAGTATTTAATGCCAGTGATAATAGTATTCATATTAATATGAATAGATAATATAGGCACTTATGTATTAGATGACATTTGTATACTTGATTTAAATGAAATGATTTGGACAAAATACAATCATATGCCGCCTAGATATAATCATTCAGCTACACTTATTGGACATAAAATGTATATATTTGCAGGGAAAGACGAGCAAGGTAGCACTGTGTCTGATCTGTTTATGGTCAATCTTTCGAAACTACCTTTTACGCCTCATTTAGTTCTTAGCAGTAATAGTAATCAAGGTATGGTGCTTTTAAAGAGTCAACATTTTTGTGATACAATATGTGGAAAGCTATTTGTATTTGGAAGATTTGTAAATGGTCAACATGATAGTGAGTCTATTCATAGTCTTTGGTCTTTAGATTTAGATGCTTTAGAATGGGAAAAACAGGATTGTGATCGACATTTTGAAGTAGGGAATTGGAATTATTTTGGAATATTTAATAAAGAAGAAGAATCTGAAGTAAATAGTCATCATTTATTATTTCTTGGTAATATGGATCCTTATAGAGCTTATGGATATGATCATTTTAGGCAAGTAGAAAGAAAGAGAACGAGTTTGATTATCTTTCTTTTCTTTAGCTCACTCATTTTTTTTTTTTGGTTATAGAGATGCTTTTATTATTCATAGTGAATCCTTAGGTTTTTATGATATACCTGACTCAAAATTATCAGTAGAATTTATGCAATTATTGAATACACCTGAATTATCTGATTTTTCTATTTTTGCTGCTAATGGAGAAAAGATACATGTTCATCAAGTCATCTTATTAACTCGTTGGCCGCACTTTAAGAATATTCATAAGTCTGGTATGCTAGAAGCTATTGAACAAAAGATGACCATTCCTGAACCTGTTGAAGTAGTGATGGCCTTTTTAAAATTTTTATATAGTGATCGATTAGACGAATCTGAAACTTGTGAGATTATTTGTGAATTGCTTGTGTTAGCCAACTTGTATTGTTTACAAAAATTAAAAAAGTTATGTTGTGAAAGACTTTATAGATGCTATTTAACTATTGAAAATTGTGGTTTGATTTTTGAAAAAGCAATCTTGGCTGAAGAAATAGGATTAAAAATGCTTGTTCTCAACTTTATGTTTCAAAATTATGGCTTTATATTAAAATCAAACATGTTGATGGATTTGCCAGCTTCCATTAGAAAAGAATTTTTAGATGCGGTACCTAATGAAGCAGTATTAGAAATAGGCAAAACAAGATTCATGACACCTTCTCTTCAATGTATTGTTACCTATAATCAAGATGGTACTGGTTATCATCAAAATAATATCGATCCTCAACAACGTAGTACACAAATAGCTACTATTATTAATAATAATGAATTTATACCACTTAATACGACAATAGCATTACCCTCTACTAATTCTGACATGACCGTTAATTGAATTATTATTTATAATAAAAAAGTAAACATGAGTTATAAGAAATACCACAACTTGACATTTCCTTAAAAGAAAAGATAAAGTTGAGAAATTTTTATTTTTTTAATTTTTTTTTTCAACTGAATTTGAACATAGACAGTGGCATCTACCTTTCTTTATTTTTATTCCATAGTTGATGAACGATTAGTTTCAAAAAGATGAAAGAATTCAACAAAACTTTATGTCAATGTTATGGCTTTGTTTATATAAAGTCATAAATAATAAAGTCTAGTTGATAAATAGTGTATTTACAAAAAAGAAAAAATAATAGACGAAAATAGAATGAAAATAAAAATAAAAATAATCATTATTGGTCCCAAACTTAAAAGATAAAAATAGACTTTTTTGTTCCGTGTGTGTGTGTGTGTGTGTGTGTGTGTCTGTTTGTTTGTATAAAAGGGCTTTATAAAAAGGATCCCTTTTCCCTATATTTTCCTTACAAACAATGCCTTTTACTACTACTACTACTACTACTACTACTAAAACTGTACGCTTTAATCTACAAGATACAATCATTTTAACTTATAGCGCTGATGAATATGATAGATCCTATTACTACACATCATCAATAATAAATGATCAACCCTCCTCTACTATGACTGCTGCTACTATACCTCATCATAAACAAGTGTCACAACAACAAGTCACAATAACAAGACCTTTAATAAAGCCACTTGATTTATCTATTATAAAGCCATCCAGGAGACCAAAATTAACTATTAATACTCATTCATTAACACCCTTATTTTTCACTCAATTATCTACTCACTATACATGTAAAAATGAAGAAGAGGAGGAGAATGGGTTTTTAATTCCTGTTATGTCTTATTAATAAAGTAGTGTATATATTTCATTATTATTTATTTATAATACATTATGAACGCGTTCTTTTAATATTCGCAGTTTTGATTACAATCTTTTTTGCAAGAGTTAATGGTTTACGTTTAGTTAACAAATCATCTTCATCTTCTTCTAATACTTTTCTTGACTTAAAAGGCGGTGGTAAAGATTTAGTACTATTCGATTCTTCCTTTTCCTCTTCTTCATTATCATCAACGGCTTTACGTTTTAGTGATCTTGATTCTTCTTTATCTTCTATTATTGCTTCATCATCGTCGTCGTCGTCGTCATCGTCATCATCATAGTTTACTAATGGAGTTATTGGTAAGTGAGTTTCTTTAGATGTTTGTGGCGTTAGTGAATCAGTTTCTTCCTTTTCTTCATCTGATGTATTAAAATATTCTTCTTCGCCGTCATCAACAGTGGATGATGACCAGCCATCATGATTTATATTTTTATCTGATTTACTATTAAATAGTGGAGTAATGTTAATATAGAATGAATTTTTTTTTATTTTATTTTATTTTTTTTTTTTTTACCTTGATAAATCATCATTTTCATTATTTAATTCTTCCTGAGCTTTTAAATTATGCTCATATTTTAATCGCAATTGTTTACAAGTTGAAATATATGTAATTGTGTCCAGCACTGAGCCAAATTTAGTGATTAAATGATCCACAAGCACTTTGATATTTTCCTATTCAAATATGAATAACGATATAAAATTCAGCTTGATTTTTTTTTCTTTTTTTTTTTCTTTTTTTACCTTTCTAATATATTCTAACAATTCAAGACATGCTGAATTTAGTAAACAATCTCGTCCATTTGTATCTAAAAATATACGAATTGTTGGTTCAAATACTTTGTTTTTTAAAAGACACTGGATATAAAATTCATCTGATATTGAGATACAAATACGAATAAATCGTAAAGCGCCTAATAATAAAATAATGAATAAAAAATACTACTGCTAATAATAATAATGAATGATTGCTTACATAATTTAATATATGTATATTTTGATCTGTATAATTGTAAAACTTTTTTTACTGTATCTGAATTTAACATTACATATTTACTACGGTATCCATGATTTCTGACCATAAAATTTATAAATTCACAAATGTAAAGACATAATTGTGCCTGATCCGATGTTAATTCTAAAGGTTCAACAGGTCCTACATTACAAAAAAAAAAAACACATTTATATACATATCAGTGTCCGTGTATTTTATAAATATATAACTAAATTACCTTTCAAATACATGTCTTTTATTTCTAAATCTTTAATAGGTTTTAAGAATGCATCCATGTATTTCTCATAAAATAAATCTAAAAATTCATCTATTTCAGATGACTTTTTTCCATGTAGCTAATGGTATATTTAAGTATATTTATGTTTGTAATTCTATTCATCTTATCATTCAACTTACATCATTAATAGGTGGTGAATTACTATGATTATTATTATTATTATTTGAATCTAATAAATGTCTCAAGATTTCAAAATACTGTATCTTCAATTCATGATTGGCATCTGCAGCACATTGTTCCACAATGATTTGAATTAATAGTGGCTTGTCTCTCTTTTGCATTGTCTGTGTTAATAAATGGCTACGAACTGTACTAACATCAAGTTCAGTAAATGATTGAAGTAAATTAACAGCGGTAGTACGAATAGTTTTATCAGAATGAACAAGTGAGTAGCACATAATGTCGAGTAATCCATAAGTTGATAACGATCTAAATAAATGGAGTCGAATAGATGCCTGCATTTGCTTTGCAAGTTGACATAGTTGATGAATGAATTGTATTACGTCATCTCGTTTATCTTCCTCGTATTGAAATAATTCATTTAATAAAGTATGATTGTTTTGTATGTGATTTACGATTTCAACATGATTTTGAAATATAATATTATTTAACAAACTAATTAATGAATCGTCTATTTCTTTTGTATTTTGTAATAGGATTGTTTGAAGATATTCCAATCGAAACGTTTGATTTATCTTTCTTTTGATTGATTTATCGTTAAATTCTACAATCTGCTTAATGTTACCTTTCGTTCTTAGGAATTCTCTATGCTTTGCTTTTAAATCAGGAGTATTTGGATTATCTATTTAAACATGTATGTATATATTTAATGATTAGCTATCTACATACATGTATTTTTTTTTTGTTTTGTTTTACATTCTAATATTCCCATAAAGTTAAATACATGTTCATCAGTAACAAGTTGTTCAATAATTCCATGATCAGTTAGCATTACTTTTTAATAGCAACATATATAAAAAAAAAAACTTTAATACAAGTACACACATGTATAAATAAACTTACATATTTTCAATATAATATCATACAAAAGATGTAAATCTGCAATGTCTTCCAAATCTTCGCAAGTTTCAAATAGGTTTAATAATTTTTGAATATAATTCTATTTATACAAATAAGTTTCAAGTAAAATGAGTGTCATGATTCTTTACCTCAATTGAAATGAATGTAGCAATTTTATCCTTTTCAAATAGAGAATAGGCTGAAGATAAGACTTTTAAAATTTCTTTCAAATTAGACATTTCAGGTTCAGGCAATGTTGTATTCTCTGGTGAATCAGTTGGAGAAAGGCCGCCATTATTATCTAAATAGAATTAAGTAAACAATACGCTACCCCTGGTAAATATATTACCTTCTTGTTTCTTATTTATATTTTGCCTACAGAAAAAAAAATATTGATAAGCTTTTAAGATGGACAATATTCCTTATTTTTACCAAATCTCTTCACAGCTATGATAATCTTGAAAACTTAAAGCTAGATCGCGATTATCATCTTCAGTCCAAACAATTAATGTATCTTTTTTTTTGTTTTTTTTTTTTTTTTTTTTTTTTTTGTTTAATGAAAACAAGATTAATTTGAAATCTAGACAAACTTTATATAGTATACCTTGTTGTCTTTGATATAAGCGACGCTTAAATACATTAGAAGCCAATATAATTTTATCATCATTTTCAGAACGAACAATGATTTGATCTGGTTTTCCTTCAGACCCCTATTAGATGAAATTAATAAAATCTACTATTTAGTAGACGCGTTATAATTACCAACTGATAGGAACAGAAACCTGTCCCTTTATCTTCCCAAACTGTATCCATGTTGAGCTGGTAAATCTTGACACGATGAGCTATCGACGTAAGTTCTTGATCTGAAATCAAAGTTTCTTCTGTCATCTTGTGTATAAAAATAAGATAAAAATTAAAAAGGAGAATGAGATTATAAAATAGGATTGTTAAAAAATAAAATAGAGAAACACAAAAAAAGGAGTTCAGAAATATATACTTCTTTTAATAAAGAATAAATAATTCAAATATGTGTTTGCTATTTGGATATAAAAATCTATAAATATTAATTTAAAAAAAAAAAAAAAAAAAAAAAAAAAAAAAGTTTTAACAGCAGCAATTTATGAATTTTGTTGGTTATGATTGGATAGGTTCTCATGACGTTTACTTTTTTCTTTTAGCGAAAAATTCAACTTTTTGATGCAAATTGTAAGTAAAAAGATACAAAAATAGTTATTTACAGACACTAAATGGAAAGTAGAGTATGATATTAGATTCGCTTATAATATTTATAGCAACCATTTTAAGAAAAAAAAAAATAAAAATAAAAATAAAAAAAAATGGAGTATATAATATTAAAATATTCATATTATGCTTTTAAAGTGGGGAAATTGTGTTCTTGCCTACTTAATAAATTATGTCATTCAGTAGATATCTTATAATTAACTAGTTGTAACTTTATATCAATAAGAATAGAATTACACAGAGTTTTGTGATTTTAAATTTTAAAGTTATAGCTTTTAAAAGCTTACTCTTTTTCATAATTAATTCTAGATATGCTATATCAGTATTGTTTTTTAATTATTATTACTTTTTTGTATATATAATTTCATAGCATTTCTATTCTTTTACTTAAATATTATAAATGGAATAAAGGCCCTCTTAACAAATTGTAGTATATTCAGATCATAATAATTACATCAAATTTGGCTCTGTGTATAAAGTATATTCCATAAATCAATATGTTTATACAATTGCATTGCTTGATTTATTGTTTAAAAGAAGTGGTATATTTTTATTCAGTATATGATAGAAGATA